AATATGAGTATCATGATACATATGTTTAAAAAATTCACCTAACCTTGTCACCGCTGTTATCTTTTCTTTCTTGTTCAAGTTCGCAAATACCTTTTCTTTTGCCTCGTTTCACGATATCCTTTTTCAGTTTAAGTCGGCAGATTCTTAATTTTTTTTTCTGTACACAAAGAATTTCAGGGTTACAATGGTAATTTACGTCCTAAGTCCGACAAGCAAATTTCACAGCAGATTGCGTAACACTTGGCTTAAAAAAGGAAACAGAGTTGATTTAAGACAGCAAAAAAGGTATCGTCACGGATATATATCCCTCTGTCTGGTACATTGTGTAGATTAAGTGTGTAGGCACGAAACTGATTTTGTTTGTGTTGATGACCTCAGAAACTAAACAGCTTGAAAGATTTAAAGTTAAGGATAGGTGATATATCAGAAAAGTGTTTTTATTATTTAGTCTGCAACGACAATTGTTAATTTGATATATTTTATTCTCGTCATTTGATTATATGGGCGAGACCAGTTATATTGATAAAAACAGCTTAATAGGACATCAGACTTAGTCTATCCATGTACACTCTCCTTAAAGGACGTGAACAGGTAGGTAAAACTTTCATTTAATGAGAATTTCATTTTGTTTGAAAGTTTATTTAATTGATAGCGGCTGGCATTTGACTTTCCGGGGAAAAGAGCGTCAACCACATGTATATATGTGAGACTGAAGCATGGCAAACTCAATTAAACCTTTATAATTTTTGGTGCATTTGTATATAATTATATTTCGCATTTTTCCCAGTATTAGTGTTTATTGCAACGTCTGTACTTTATCTTAAATATTTTTTCTGTAGATCAATTGTAGTATAGTTCATGGATCTGAGAAATAACAATACCAATGCTTAAAAGTATTAAAACTTCACACATTTAGATATATAAGGATAATTTAACGCTAACATGTATTTTTTCCCACACAGTTAATAGGTGTATTGCACAATCACATAGCGCATATAATTAGCGACTGAAATCGTTATCTTCGCAAGATTAGACATGGCGTACAGTGTAGGCGATTTTTCTCTTATCAGTCTAACTCTTTCAACATTTGATGTGGCCTTCCATGATTTGTACATCGTCTAAAAAGTAAAACGCTTTGTGAAGGGTAGGTAAGCAATGCACTATAATAACATTATTTCCGCAGTCACTTCCCTGGTTGTTTGGTCTATAGCAACATTACTAGACCTAAAAGGACATTTCTATCTATATATATTTCTATCTATATTTATATTCAATATCGATTATGATGCTAAATTGGTCAGTTTGGTATTGGAAAGTATTTTCAACTTGTTTGTCTTTGTGCAATCGCTACCAACGTGTTGCACAATTTCATTTTTAAAAAGAATGAAATACAATATACACCAAACGATGTGTTACTGGATACTGAAAGCATCCTCACTGAGGTATCAAATTCTGTTTGAAACGAGGCATTCCCTTATCAATGATCTCCGTGTATGTGTTAGACACAATGTGATACTAAATGATAACTTGTCCTCATATATTTAAAATTTACAACACTAATACGTATGACTAACAAATATGTTTCTGATAAACGTGTTTACGAGTTATCATCAGATTTAAATGTTTCTGTAATCAGCTTCTTGTCATCTCCTGGTGTCTAGCCCCTCGGGATATGTGTGATAATGTAAAGCTAGGAATATAAAATCATATCGCAATACAAAAAAAACACTTCAGTCCATCGGCTATACCTCATCTGGGTCGCTTTTGGCGAGTCTCGTCGTCTTATATTTTAAATGTGAAATATCGAGAATTTCCCTTCCTGTCTCCGCTCTGCTTTGCTTTTCTTTTTTAAACACAAATGAAACTTATCATCCTCACTGACAACACGCAACATACTAATTAGTTAATGGTTAAATGGAATAGATACATCTAGTTATTTTTTACAGGACTTTACAAAAAAGCAAATTCGCGTCACTTATTTTTTTCCCCGATGCTATTTTAAGATAACGTACCATTATTATAATGAAAATAAAAAATTCCATAAATTTGAACTCCGGAAATTTAAAAATGAAAAACCTTATGCACTATTAAGATGTACTTAAATAGTGAAGTGTATATTTAATTCTCTCTGGTAGTAAATCCTGATTCGTTAGCGTCCTTGTCAACTAATAGGCAAATATAGGGCTAATGCTAGAATAACGTTATATATCAGCAATAATGCGGACATTTAAAAGGTCTTTTCTATATTCCTTCTTTTGACGTTAAAAGAGTAAACACAAATGTTACAAGTTAGTGTTTGGTTTCATTTCGTGATTCTCTCTATCAACCAAGGTGTTCAAGTATGTATTGATTTTCACTGACGTAAACAAGAGACAGGTAACAGACTGTTACGTCATCCTATTGATAAAACAATAAACAAGTGTTTATTTGTATGAATGTATGTGTATAAATTATTACGTACATTGTAAATCAATTCAGGCATCATTTTACGAGATTTAGGTTGTTGAGAGTTAGATAAGCTTTTTGAAACTTTAATTTTTATTTAATTATTTATCTACTTCGGTTATAAAAACTTTGAGCAGCAGGAATGCAAATAAAACATATCTATTATATCATTTACACTAGACGGGGGTACATGATATAATAAAGACATGTTTGGTAAATAGTTTCTAAAAGAACAAAATTTAAAGCACTTGGACCAATAAATTTACAGATAAACGTACGTTTGCTGTATTGAGCTTATGTGTCTTGTACGTACATCATTGTATAGGTGTATAATACCTGGTTTGTTTATATATTAATGACATCAGTGCCGTCCAGACATATTGTGACTGAAACACCTGCTGGTGGGTCGCAGCTAGGTTAAAGATATATTTTACATTATGACTTTATCGTGGTACAGTATATATGAAACATGTATATATCGTCTTTCATCGATATGTGTCCCGCCAGTATTCAGTAGGCTTACAGTTTATACACACTATAAAAGGAAGTGCCGAATCATTCCAACGTGAATGGAAGTTACCATGTGTTTGATGATTCAGTAACATTTAAGGAACTGTTGAGTTGAAGACACGCCTGGCATTGTCTTTTCAGTATGTTTAAGGTGAGAATTAGAATTTCCTGTAACAACTTTTTATGTGAGCTTCATTTGTTTTTCTTACGCTATAAGTTAACAGTAAACTTAAACAACTTTTCAATCAAATTTCTGACCCAAAATAAATGCAAAACCATTGTTCTTTATTCGACAATGTATCGAGGGGACTGGATAACATATAAGTTAATTTCTCTCAAAAAGTAAACTTAACCTGATACAACTTTTCAACGTCACGAAGGGGCAAATTTACAAGTAGTTCATAAACTGCAGTTATATGCACTAATTCTTTTTCTCGTTCAGTGAATTCGGGTTTTGATGTCCATATATTTTGACGTATTTCTGTGTATTAACATTCAAAATATTTAAGTATTGAGCCGCTTGAAAATTTGTGTTCATGGGCAATATGAATGCCAACTGGACAATGACAAAGGCAAACGCTTCAAGTTGGATATGCCTTTATCCAATTGACATAAATATTGTTCTAAGAAATCCAACCTAGAATATTATAATTATTTTCAATATCCATCTATTTATAAGGGGGATTCAGTCTCAATTTGTTTATACAACTTGCAGAATTCCTAAGCTCTTGGCAGTTCATGGGCTGGTAATACACAACAGAGTTTGGAAAGGTTTGACTGTCGTAAGCCTAATAAAAGTAAATATATGAAACCCTTTATCAGACGACCCACGTGATCGTTACTGGCTGATCGCGGAACAGTGTTACGACTTCCGGCTTTACCTCTAGGTATTGATGTCAATGATACAAGCAAACATGACAGCCAAGTTTATTTGCTTTACGGCGATAATATAACATATGCTTTGGGTATGGTTTAACAAAGGCTGAAAATTTACAAATACTTTCGACGAATACCGTATCTGCTTTTGAAATGAGCGTAAGGCTACCTTTGTGCGAAAAGTAACTCATGTTTATACTAGAGTGTGATGAGAGTGTACATAAGACCAGAAATAAACGACATGTCACAAAATTTTAAATGCATTTACACTGAAAATAATATGCATTTCGTGTTTATATACAATTTCAATGATTCAGTAATAGGTTTCTCACATTGGGTAGACGAGGAATTGCCTCGTAATAGCAAAACCTATTTCTAATTATATAATATACAATCTCTTTAAAATAAGATAAATTTTCGGTCGAATACAATCATGACAAAAGTATTTCTCCTACTACGCAGAATGGTGTCGTAGACGGTAATTTGGACGCTTAATTCCTTGTAGTGTGCGTCGTTTCCAAATTTTAAACACTAAAGAATTTTTTTTTCATTGCAGTCTTGCTACTGTCTCTATGTGTTCACTGAATCGGTACGTTCAGATTACGGTGCAGAAAATACACATGTACATGACACAATTCTAAAATTGTCTGATTATCTAAGTATGGGGCTGCTGCACCTCCCCGTCTTGGTTTTGACATTTTCTTTTTATTACTCTGGATTCTCCTTAGTCGCCTCATAGGCTTTAGATTTTAGGCCCCTAGCATCACTGACGATTCCTAGAATGACTCAACAGCTGTATGATGCAGCTTAATTCATTGTTTGGCTCCACTGTATTGCACTCTTTTCACTTGTGTGTCTTTTGTACAATCATTGATATGCGAAAGAGATACTTTCACATTGGGTAAATTACAGTGACTTTATTTCTTCATTTCTGACATCTTATGTTACCGATGAGGTTTGGAACAGTTTCTAATCGATATATCTACATGAAGTATTGTAGAAATATCCGTTCTTTTCTGAAATATGAATTGTCAGGAAGTTAGCAACAATTTTACACTGTTGAAATTTAGAAATCAAAGAAACGATATCATTGTATCATAAATCATTTAAAATTCTTGTGGTTCAAACATCTCCTCATTATGTAATTTTTTTTTTATTTTTATTTTCAGGAAATGGGCACATATCTGCTGTTAGTTTTGAGTATGATCCTAATACCAAACAGTTTAGCAACGCATACGACTTCCGCTTGGAATTACGGCGTAATGTTTGATGCCGGAAGTTCGAGTTCAAAATTGAAGATTTACAAATGGCCGACTCGATTGTCCACCGCCGACGCGTTTGATATGGACCTTATCTACACTCAGCGATACAAGCCTGGGATTAGTGACTATGTCGACCATCTTAACGATATTCCTACTTACCTAGAAAAAATGTTGAATAAGGCAAAGTCGCTCGTACCAAGTAGTCAACATCATTCTACGCCATTGTTTATGATGGCGACAGCTGGTATGTATTCAAAATGTGATGTTTTCAAGAATTATCATATTCATTTATCTAATTCGAAATTCAACTGCTCGCAATCGCCGAGTAAAGAAATATTCAGATGGATATCCATCAGTATTGTACACATATATTTTGAGAAGATGCAGCGATTAAAACTGTATTTCTGAGAATCCGAAATTATCTGTTTCCTTTATCAAACAATAACTTAGTCTGGACGACAGTTCAATATCTAGCGATTGGACATAAATGTCAAGTAAGTTGACAAATTGTCACGACCTATTTGCGTTCCAGTAACACTCTTATACTGCATATAGGCGGTCTGAGTGACTGCTGATGTCTCATTCATGCTGATCCTTATTATATACAAAGAAAGAGATCTGTACATGAACAAGAACTGAAGATAGGAAACGTTAACTTCATTGTATAACACTAGACACTCAGGATATCCTCTCAATATCACAGATAATACGTAGTTGCCAAGATTTATCTTGAGATTGATTTTCAAGCTTTGTTTTGCTGTCGTTGTCAATTCATAAATTGTGTTTTTATGGGTTTTTTTATCCTTAGTAGTTGGTATATACATACATGTACATTATGATATATAAATAAATATAATTACATCTAAGACAAGAAGAGGTTTAATAGGACATGTAAATATAATTCGAATATTGAAGATTTTGTTTAAATCTGCGTTTTCGAATATTTCCCAATATTCAACAAGCGTGTTCAAAATGTCTGTTTACTGTAGATTCGACCAAATAGTGCATAGTCAAAAGAGCACACTGACTGTATGAATGAAAGTATTCAAACCGTTCAACTTTAAAAAGCCTTTGAAACTAAGAAAAAAATGTGATATATCAAATATTGTCTCTGCTTTACGATTAATTAGTAATACTACTAATTAAAATTTTCATGTCATAAAGAATTAATGAAAATATCGATGTGTACATTTTCGAAGGTTTACGAGTGTTAGCGGAAAGTGACGCCATAGCTTTGATGACGTCAGCACGACAGTACTTGGGGAACTCCACCATTAACCCGTTCACATACAACCAACACAAAGTGAGGATCTTATCAGGGGAGGAGGAAGGGGCGTATGCCTGGATCGCTGCTAATTACCTCAGGAATTTCTTCGGCTCAAATAAGTATGGTTCTCACCACATTGTATATGTAGGTAGATAATATGTGTAAACATGTATGTAAAATAGATACAACAATTACAGGAAAGTATGCCAAGACGTCAAGTAATGTTAATGTATAGGTCAGAAGCAAACCTGTTGTGTTTACTTTTTGAAGATTCTTTAGCGCTTTGAACCAAAACAACTATCTTTGCGATACAAGGATTTCGCTTGACACGTTTCTGCTGTCATCCCAGGAAACAATTAATCAGAGTAAATGTTCCTAGCCTTAAAATCTTATAGTCTATTCATTTCAGACTCAAAATCAAGAGAAAATGCGGCCAACATGACATTTATGTTGCATTTCAGTACAGGATGCAGGTTGCTGGAAATCATTGGAAAGTTTTATGGTCGTCATAGTGATGCCCTTGAGAAATATTATATTTCTTTGTGTAATATGAGTCAGGACGTGTTTGATGCTCGTCAGTTTACCTGTTGGTTCGGTTGTTGCATAATTTGTTCTCATTTGAAAACGTGACATTACGTACCTGGATTGACAAAGTTTACATGGCGGATGTCGACGGTGAAGCAAAATACGTTTACTCTTCCGGAACACTTAGCCTCCGTGTAAATCTTTCTTTTTTCGTATTTGGCCATGGTTTTAAGTAATTTGAGTTTGGATTATAATTATGTTGCCATGTTGGTATTTTTCTCAACCAGTCGATTAGTAGACCTAAATTATCCGCGAGCACACACGAAAGCGAAATCTTTGAATATCTCTCAAAGCTTTGTATCCTATTGTGATAATTCTATCCTCTGACGTCAATGATAATTGCACTTTCCGGAAGGTAATATATGATTAAAGCCATGAACATAAACAAACATGCCTTGTACTTGTTTTCTTCTCTTAAATATCTTGTCCTTACCTTTTGTACTATTATACTATTCTGCGTGTGTTGTGTTTGGTCATGATTCATTACACAAGTATGTTGTTTGATGACTGTTTTCTGATAAAAACAGCTTATCGCTGCCAGTTTCTCATGCAATGAGCTCCCTATAGATTTCCTAGCTTTGGGTATATGATGCTGGAATTGTGACGTTTTGATTTCTTTAACTTTGAAATTAACTTGTTTTCGTATATAAATTTGTTATTCACACGTCCGTTTGATATGATCTTGAAAGAGGTTGTGTATGTTCAAAACTTCAAACCTTAAATAAGAGTTTTCCTATAGGAAAGTTGGACACTAAGACTTATCTTGAAAAAATGACTGATAATGGAAAGACTCCGTCCAAAATGGAGAGATTTATGCTTATCTCTTTTGTCAGGCCGCCATCACAAGCAGTCGGAGTGCTGGAGATGGGAGGGGGATCTACACAGATTACCTTTGTGCCAGACGGTCCCATCCTCGCTAACATGTTCCCAGTGCGCATGGCCGGGGTGACGTATTACCTGTATGCCCATAGTTACCTATATTACGGACAAAACTACATGGCGAAAAGAATACGGCGTTACCTGGAAGAGGAGAGTCCTTTTGAAACCGAACTGTATAATCCGTGTATGCTGAGGGGTGAGTTTATCTTTACAAGTCAGATGTCACATAAAGAATGAATTACTCCTTTTAACCCGGATGTACCAGGTAACGAAGCACCGTCTGGAATAAGTCTATGCTTAGTTAGCAACTGCACATGATAGATTTAGCTAGAAGATCCAGTTTAGAGATTGAAAGTAAGACGTTTAGAAACTGCCAAGGGAGCAGTTCAAGAATTAATAAGAGAGGTACAAAAAGAGAGATAACTTTCGTTTTTATTCGCAGGTGACAACGTGTCTTACAGCACTGAAGAGGGCGTCACTGTGATTTTTAGGGGTGACAGTAACCCCGATAAGTGCCTTGAGATTATTAATAGCTTTCTCCAAAGTGCCGCCGAAAATGTGTGCTACCCAAAACCTTGCGCCATCGGTCAAATCTACCAACCGTCACTGGGGACTGACATATTCTTCGCCATTTCTGCATATGTCTATGCTCCGACCACATTACGGGCGCTTGATCCATTCGGAAGACTGCAAATTGAAACGATGAACACATCAGCGCACCAGTATTGCCGAATGGTAGGGGTTTTAAATAGATTGAAACATTGAGTTTTAAAACGCATTTGAAGAACAAGATGCTAGACTATTATGTCGGCTCTCGAGATAGCATCGAAATGATAAAAAAAATGAAAGTTTAACATCTCACGATGTGGACGCAGGTTAAGTCGGTTATTTTCACCACTTTATTGAAAATATTTATATACAATCAGCAAGTTCTAGACTTTTTTTTTCTAATTACTGTCTACTGACTGACAAACTCTTAAACAAGGATTCAAAAAATGCAGGTTGATGGAAATTATGAGGAAGTTTTATGTTCTCCATAGTGATCTCATTGAGAAATATTATATTTCTTTTTGGACATAAAGCTGGACGTATTTGATGCTCGTTAGTTTGCCTGTTGATTCCATTGTTGTACACCTTGTTCTCATTTGAAAACGTAATATTACTTACCTGGATTGACCAAGGTTTACATGGCGATGAAACAGAACACACCTGGTCTCATTCTCCTTGTAGTTTTTCAGGAGTCTGTAAATCTTTGTTTAATGTTTCGGAGTTGATATTTTCTTGATTTTTTTCCACCACTTTATTGAAAATCTTCATATACCATCATCGAATTCTGGACGTGAACTCTTTTCTGGTAACACTACTGCTTCCAGTAAAACTATTCTATTGCATTAGAGTCTAGATTGGTACTTTTTCGAATTATTGAGGAGACATTTAAAGAAAAAGTCTACTTCAAATGTGCATTTAATCAAGCATATTATTAATTGATAATTAGAGATGATGGCAATATATTCCACTGTGCACTTTGTAATTATCCTTACTACAATATATCGACTTGATAGGTTGAGTTCTTAAAGAAATGTTTGTTTGTATAATCTTGTTATCAGTATTAATTCCCATGGAGGCCTTTTTAAAATAGTCCTCCTTTATAATTATATCTATTTATGTGTTAATTTCATTACAGTAATGCTCTGTTTCTATTTCAGACTTTAACTCAAGCTATAAATGCAACCGGAACTGCAGCGGAGTATGCTTCCGGTTATTGCATGATGGGACTTTACATTCCTTCTTTACTAACAGCATCTTATGGTTTTCCTTCAACAACTCAGAGAATACAAGTAGCGGATAAAATAAACGGCGAATCTGTAGGTAAGGTTGTGATCAAATTTTACTTATCCGAAAAGATATCCTATTTCGTATATATATATTCTCCGGATTAATGAATCCAATTGCCGATGTTTTTTTTGGTTTATCGTAACATGAAAAATAGGCACTGCCTAAAAGTGAGTACAATTTGATCTAAAAGACGCATCCATACATGTAGATATACATTGTATAATTTTGATGTCTGTTACATGGCTTCACTGAAGTTCTTTATTCATCATTTTAAAGGAAATATCATAAACATTCAAACATAAAAAAATTAAAACACTCATGAATTAATTAAAACATATGTCACATCCAAATTATGCAGCTCTCATGCAGTTAGGAGGCGAGAAAATATTGTCGCAAAATTCATGTCAGTTCGGTACCCTTCGGCATCTTCCGTGTAAAAGAGTTTGCGTTTCTCGTTTACGGAAAGTGACGAAGGCTGATACTAATATTATACCGTTTTAAACTTGTGTACGGATCATTGAGGTTTTTTTCCGATCACAAAGAAATCCTAAGATTGTAAATTATTTAAAAATTGAACGGTTGTTGGAATGATAATAACATTTTAGATATTATTCTTAAATAACGTAATGCCAACCTTATTACGTTATTACAAAAATCCATGAACGATCATACAACAGAAGAGCTCTGTGAGATTTAAAATTTCAAATTTAATGTAAAATTAGAGGAAGCCATAATGCGTAATGTGTTAAAGACATTGGGTTTGGTTAAATCTTCTCTTACACTTTTATTCTATTTTGAATTTCAGACTGGGCTTTAGGGGCCGTGTTATATGAACTTGAACAAATTGAGTATTACAAATGGTTAGAGACCTGTGGCGAAGTCTCCGGAGGCCAAAGACCAGAGGTCACTTCTTTTGTCTTGGTGTTGTTTGGGCTGGTGACTTTCTTTACAGCAAAATTTAAACATGTTTTGTGATGGTAAGAAATATGGAGTTAGTGAATATTCAGGAACCATACCTTTACAAGTAAGAATGTCATCGACAGTTTCATCGGCATAATCATTGAGGCGCGTTAATCATTCTTATTCTGTAACTCTGCGAAGAAACGTTTTACATGTTAACAAACACATGTTATATGCGCATTTTTCTTAAATAACAAATAGTTTTTGGATTAATTTGTCTTTCCTATAATCGCCGTGATTCAGATTAATGGATTCAATTTGTCTGTTATATCGTCGCCGTGATGGAGTTTCATTAATTAAGTTTGTCGGTTCTGTCATCGCCATGAGGTCTTTTCATGAATGCAGTTTGTCTGTCCAATCATCACCATGAAGGAGTTTCATGGATTTCATAATACATCTGTCCTGTCGTAGCCGTGATAGAGTTTCATGGATTCGATTTGTCTTTCCTGTCATCGCCACGATGAAATTTCTTCGATTCCATATTTCATCTGTCCTATCTGGGCCGTGATGGAGTTTCACGGATTAGGTTTTTCTACTGTCATGGCCGTGATACAGTTTCATGGGTTAAGTTTTTCTACTGTCATGGCCGTGATGGAGTTTCATCGATTAGGTTTGTCTCCTATCGTGGCCGTGATGGAGTTTCATGGATTAGGTTTGTCGCCCATCGTGGCCGTGATGGAGTTTCATGGATTAGGTTTGTCTCCTATCGTGGCCGTGATGGAGTTTCATAGATTAGGTTTGTCTTCTATCGTGGCCGTGATGGAGTTTCATGGATTAGGTTTGTCTCCTATCGTGGCCGTGATGGAGTTTCATGGATTAGGTTTGTCTCCTATCGTGGCCGTGATGGAGTTTCATGGATTAGGTTTGTCTCCTATCGTGGCCGTGATGGAGTTTCATTGATTAGGTTTGTCTCCTATCGTGGCCGTGATGGAGTTTCATGGATTAGGTTTGTCTCCTATCGTGGCCGTGATGGAGTTTCATGGATTAGGTTTGTCGCCTATCGTGGCCGTGATGGAGTTTCATGGATTAGGTTTGACTCCTATCGTGGCCGTGATGGAGTTTCATGGATTTAGTTTGTCTCCTATCGTGGCCGTGATGGAGTTTCATGGATTTAGTTTGTCTCCTATCGTGGCCGTGATGGAGTTTCATGGATTTAGTTTGTCTCCTATCGTGGCCGTGATGGAGTTTCATGGATTTAGTTTGTCTCCTATCGTGGCCGTGATGGTGTTTCATGGATTTAGTTTGTCTCCTTTCGTGGCCGTGATGGAGTTTCATGGATTTAGTTTGTCTCCTATCGTGGCCGTGATGGAGTTTCATGGATTTAGTTTGTCTCCTATCGTGGCCGTGATGGAGTTTCATGGATTTAGTTTGTCTCCTATCGTGGCCGTGATGGAGTTTCATGGATTAGGTTTGTCTCCAATCGTGGCCGTGATGGAGTTTCATGGATTAGGTTTGTCTCCAATCGTGGCCGTGATGGAGTTTCATGGATTAGGTTTGTCTCCTATCGTGGCCGTGATGGAGTTTCATGGATTAGGTTTGTCTACTATCGTGGCCGTGATGGAGTTTCATGGATTAGGTTTGTCTCCTATCGTGGCCGTGATGGAGTTTCATGGATTAGGTTTGTCTCCTATCGTGGCCGTGATGGAGTTTCATGGATTAGGTTTGTCTCCTATCGTGGCCGTGATGGAGTTTCATGGATTAGGTTTGTCTCCTATCGTGGCCGTGATGGAGTTTCATGGATTAGGTTTGTCTCCTATCGTGGCCGTGATGGAGTTTCATGGATTAGGTTTGTCTCCTATCGTGGCCGTGATGGAGTTTCATGGATTAGGTTTGTCTCCTATCGTGGCCGTGATGGAGTTTCATGGATTAGGTTTGTCTCCTATCGTGGCCGTGATGGAGTTTCATGGATTTAGTTTGTCTCCTATCGTGGCCGTGATGGAGTTTCATGGATTAGGTTTGTCTCCTATCGTGGCCGTGATGGAGTTTCATGGATTAAGATTGTCTCCTATCGTCGCAGTGAAGAATCTCTTATGATGAAACACTACCACGGATGGATATATTTACCTGCACGGCTCATTGGTTTTAAAATGTTATTTCCACTAGATGGATTAACGATAGACAAAACATCAGATAAGTAAAAAAGGATACAAAATCATTCTTACCTTCTGTAAGATTCTGTTAACTGTAACAATCATTTAATTGTATTGTAAAAAATGTCATTTATGCATGATAATGAAAGTAACCTGTGCGTTGTGTATCAAAACGTATAAATAAACACTATTAACGCTATAAATCGGTACGGAAATGTATTTGTATGAATTAATGTGTTTCATATAACAAGCTTCAACGGTCGTGTTTAGTTCAGATTGTGTGTAATATATATGCCTATCAAAATATTAATAAAATCAGAAATGTATAAGATAAGATTAAAAAGACCGGAACAGGGAACATAACTTCATATTTAATTTTCAGCTTTTATTTTACAGTGACCGAGTTGCAGCATCTGGTCGCCTGATAATAATAACAGTGCTATTTCATGTAGTTAGAGGCACTTCGTAGCCAGACAAGGGCAAATCAGAAAATACAGCACATTTATTTAAGAGTGATGTCCCCTTTTAGCATAATCATGTATAGACTATGAGTTAAAGCCCAGTCTGGTACACAGAAAAAATGGCCTCTTTACAGAGAGAATGACAGAAATTATTGGTAAGGTATCAAAAAGATTTGAGAGGCCATCAATTGATTTAATATTACTCTGAATGTTTATTAGTTACGCGTGACTGGACTTATGTAAGGTATTTGTTTTCGCTGCATTGTATTACGTAACATATTCTAGAACAACCTGATGATTATTTTATAGATAAAGTTTATATACCATATATATGGAAATAGAATCTCACGGATTCATGTGATTTTGTTATGAATTTGTTCATATTAGCTTAAAACCATTGTAAATAAGATTTGAGTTTGATATCAGATATGTATTACCGACCAAACTCATTCTGTACACTTACTTAAACATTTGTATGATTTTTGTACTTGTATTCAAGAAGAGACCCATTATTGAAATTTATATTACAATAACGTTATTACTTATAAATTGTTAAATTGTTTTATGTATTATTAATTTTGCATGTTGAAAATAATGTTCAGTTACCTAAATGAGCACCATGTGAGTCGATCACCTTGTGTAAATCTTTTCACTAAGTTTGACTTATTTGTTAATTTTGAAAGAAATATCATTGACCTCATTCAGGAATAAAACTAGGTTCCGTTTGTGTCGTTTTTTTCAGATTCTGTTGCTGCATATTTTCAGTTCAGAAAAAATGAGTATTAAATGGTCTCTGTTCAAAAGGAAATTCTTATATTTATGAATGAAGACTAGTTTCGCATTTGTTTTATTTGATACTAGCTTTTTTTTTGTTTAAATTATTTTATTTTGATTTTTGTTAAAGAGTATGTAAAGCACTTTGGTAATTATTCAGTTGTGTAACCGTTTAAAGACAGGACCATTCCAATGATGACATATAGAATTGTGGGTTTGACAGTAAATGTGCAAGTCAATTTAAATTATGAAAACCAGAATCAAGTTTATTGATTATTGCGAGGTGTTTTTCTACTTAGCTCACGGTTATTGAGATGAGCGTTAAAGGACCTGCAGCCCATCCTCAGTCAAGCTGACGAACGTGGTCGAGTCTTTCTTTCAATAATCATAATGAGATGGAGTTGTAAGGGAGTGCAGGAAGTTTTCCATGTCACTTAATGAGAGGTTAGTGTTAATTTCTGTGGCTAGTGAATTCTACAGGTCAGTAGAAGTTAGGTTGTTTAGATTATCATACAACACGTGTGGTATATTGGTGATTGTCTTCTCTGCATTATGGTAATAGTTGTGAGATTCATTGTGGAGTTTTTATCTATCTGAACTGTTTTCTTTACGTTGCTTCGCTATTGTAATTTGTCTCAACCAGTTCAACCGGTTTCTTCATGAAACCAAGCATGATTTGTTAGTTTAGTACCCCTAGTATAATTCTCACAACTTCGATCTGAATAGTCATTTAAGAGTGAGACTGGTAGATGGTTAAGCTATCCCCGACATTTACACCATAAATAAAAGGTTTGAAGGGAATTCCTGAACGTTCGTCGGTGAGACGATACTCTGTATATCTGATACCTTAACTGTTTTTAGAATGGCTAGTTTATTAGACCTCATTAAAAGGAATGTCATTCATAAAGCATGAATGTTTGCGATTTCGAGTGACAGTGTATGTATTTTATATATTCAATAAGCATTTAGATTATAAAAGGACTTATCTGCAATAATTAAAATCCGGTATGGCATATTCTTAATTTCCAAATTGAACTTTTTTTCAATTGCAGAGTACTTTTGTAAAGGTTTTTATAATAAAGATATATTGAAACCATTGTTGTTTTTATTTTGTAACCAAAAACATACGATCTTCCTTTTATTTACAAATGAGAAAACAGAAACAAAAGCTGAACAAACAAAACCAGATGAATTCAAAAACAAAAGAAAAAATATTAAAACCTGAAACAACATCACAAAATAAATCCAAATACACAAAATTACGAAGAAAACAAAAACAAGAAATAAAATTATAATTCATATAATTTCCTCCTGAAAAGTCTATCCTATTTCATCTTTATGATTGCTCCTATTACTTCGAAGCACACCAAAAATTTCCCATGACGTTGCTTACCGTATGTATAAATTCAAAACATCAAAATCATCAAGAAAAAATAGCATAGAACTTTAAAAGTTCACTTACAGCACATGAAGTTTTCGAAATAACTTCCCGTTCGTTGGATTGTAATACATTAACATTAAACATCAGCAAAACAATAACATTTTTGCTATATTTTTTCTTTCAAATTAACATTCACTACTCCGCCTGTCATTATCCCATCCCGCTGTCTCGATTATGACTGCAGGTTAACTGAAGATTTGTGTAGGATTATCAAAATATCTCAAAAGTCATGAATTATCACTTGATGAATCTCTCCCTGGTTGGAACAAATCCAATGTAGAAAGGCTCTTGATTAAATCCGTGTGTGAGAATTGGAATTTAAAGGAGAAAAACTTTTAAAATATCGAATATCCTATTGAAACCTTCACTGAAAATCCCACATTGCTGAAAAAAAATACTGATTTCTCGCAGCAAAACCAAAACAAGTTCTCGCCACATTACAAAGACAAACCACGATGAATTCAAGATCCAAAAATTTGTGTGTCCATGGGCTGCTGAAATTAATATAAATCGCTTTATTGAGATGTTCTTATCTACGAAATAAAGTATCCACATTTTTTGCTTGAAAATCCACTAAAATTGAACATCACGAATATATATGCTTCTAAAGTAAATGCCCTTGGTATACGTGGAATAATCCACATTTAATTCAAAATTCCTGATTCGGCAGACATATTAATGTACGAGTTAATATAACGGCAAATAAGGATATATTGATATGAAAGAGCCCAAGGAAGGCATTCTATCCGTCACTCCTTTTTGGTTTTCAGCAAAAAGGTATTGTTTCTTGCCTATATTCGTCAACTTCTTGATGCGTAACAGGTCAAGGAATCAGAGTTGAATAGAGCAGATATAAGTAATAAGGAAGATCACAAAATCTACAGATATGTGCAATCCGTTTCCTCGCTCTCAATGGTAAACCATTTCAAGTTCAAGATACTAACGCCTGGAGTTGATATCCTATTCCAAACTACCCATGGTTCCACGCTTTCAGCATCTGAAGGATAAATATTCAAAGACATTAAGTTGAGTCCTGTCACACACAGACTTAGCAGTAGACCACTATAAATTTAGTTCGATTCAAGTTTCACTACGGTACCATAGTGTATATATGTAATAACTCAGACCTTACTTGCAGATTCTTTAACAAGGATGCAAAATATATTGATGGTTTAAGAAGTCTACGTCTTCCTGGTGTTGTTTCTGTCCCATTCATTTCTCCCACGCGGAGGTATCCACGTATTCGTTATGCACGTGATATCCTGCTTACAGTGGAATATGTTCACATAGTGACACTGAAAACTGCTTGTAAACAATATTTCAACTTAAATTGCACAAGAAATAGAGTTCAAAGTGACTGGTCTTATTTAAAGAACATAATTAACTGAAAGGTACAAAAGTTCCAGTAAAACAAATCTCCACGTAATATAGAATAAAAATAAGCAAACTGCTGTAATTCTCAACATATTTTATTGAATGGTACAAATCACCAAATCATTTTAAAGCATATAATGTACTTTATCTGAATTTATGTGATCTCTTTAGCCTGATTAGCTAATTAATTGATTTTTTCACGTGTGGAAGCTTTCATTTTTTACTCTTCGATATATTCCTGTGTTCCAAAATAGGCTAATCTATTGAACGCAAAAAAAAAAAAAAAAAAAATTTCGACAGCACAATAAAATCCTTATATCTGTAATTGCAAAACGTAAACAACGTTTATAGTTGGACAGGTCATGCACGACATGTATAACATAGTACCAGATAAAAAATTGATATAATAGAAATATTAAAAACATACAAACGTAAATAGTCTATAAATAGAACCTGATATAAGTTCGTAATAAGACGGAAATCATGGACATGTAAACAATTATGAAGCTCTCTAGGACAATAGTGAGTTTTGTTGCCTTGTCAATAGCGAAATCACCAAAATATCAATACCAAATATCTAATTTGTTGTAAATATTTGCTAACATATCAGAAAGTCCAAAGTATCACAGATGTTTGAATAGATAAATGTATGTAGTAATTAGCATGTTGTAGATTTAAAATCAAACTTAAATAAATAAATAAACTTATTTCCAATTGTATAATTCTGAAAACTTATAAATCATCATAACCTAATCCAAATGAGACATAAGAGACTAATTCAATAAATAACAGACGAATATAAAGTACGAATAATAACATTTTTGCGCGTAAGATTGTTACGGATTTTAACAGACGCTTTGTCATCATTAAATATCAGTTTATTAGTTCAGCGGGGTTATTTCCCCTCGATTCGTGCGCGCTCCGAAAATCCCACATTTTTTCTCGTTGGAATGGAAAATACAACACACCTAAAATACATCCTTGTCGTAGCTTCCTACTTTTTTATGTATGCTCGCAACACTTTATTGGAGAGACGCTGCGTGATGGAATCCCAGAGTGGCAGAAAGAGAGTTTAGAAAATATACAGTTGTTGGGATGACAATTGCCCAATACTAGCCCAGGAAACATGTACACTGTTTACAGTTTAGTGCTTGGAAAACAGTCGCATTACTATATACGATTAAGGAGATATACGACATCCTTCATGACAATCAACCGGACGTCCAACGTAGGTTCCTAAGGATGATTTCGGATGACATGAAACGATCAAAGTTGTCAGTTGATCCTTGCTAACTCCACACAACTCGAAATAATTTTCATGTCAGGGTTGATTTATGATCAGGAAGTCCAAAGTCACCATGTCCACCACGAAGTTCATTGCAGCCGTTTTTGAGACCCAACGGAATCACAGTCAATGGAAAGTGTTATGCTAACCTGTGTCTGTGTCACACCAGCAGAGTTTCCAAAGAAGTTGTATGAGAATGTGTGTATGAACTCCTCCCTCACCCGAGCTCTTCTCCAGACTAAGTCCCCAGCGACTTCAACATCTAGAGATATAAGGTGATAATGGTATTGCTGAGGAGTGCTTTTTAGTGGGCCAAGATGACGGGTTTAACTGATCGGGCATCAGTGACTCGCAAACTTGTGTGGAGTTGGAAGGTAGTTATGTTGAAAAATAAAGCAATAGATATCACTCTCGTTCTTTGTGAGTCTCAAATACATTTGATATCCCCTCGTGTATATGGTGTGAAATTATTGTAATATATGGGGGTGGCAATGTTTGAAGAACAGCGGAACTATAGATGCATTGATTGTCCAATTTAAGTGCACCAGTACCACGTGAATCAGGAAGTGCAACTGTTCAATATCTCTGTGACAGCATTCTCCTTGTACATAGAAATACATTAAGTAGCACTCAAATAATGTAGATAATTTCAAATATATAACATATAGAGTAAACACTTTTCAAAGCCCATACGCTCTTCAATTTAAACCCATTTGAATACATTTCAATACGCAGACATGTTACTCAATACAGTTTTTCTCTCTAGTCCTCAAACATATCCCACTTTGAACAAGAGTACACATACACGCTGGCACTCACGACTTTTCACGAAACGACTTTCATTATTAACATTATGGGTGTTTTTTTATTGATTAAGAAGATGATTCAACCAATCACATTTCCCCCTTTTTCAATCATTTTCCATTGAATTTCAAATGTATACATTTCATTGAATGAATGACACAGTGTAACACACGAAAACTTTAAGGCTGTATGGTATTAAAACGTGACAGGTGCAACTCCTTTATAAAGTAATTCCTCACTAATTGAAACGTATCAAATGAGAAGGGAGATAAATCTTATGCAAACTATATTTCATCAATTCAAGGTCATTTTTTCTTTTAAATGATTCAAATTGAATATTGTATATTGAAGCTATGGAATACTGAACCATACATTTGTACGAAATCATCATCTAATCGCACTGCGCATGCTTAGAAAAGTTATCCATTTTGGACTAGAATCGCATCAGCTCTCCATAAAAGTTTTGCACATTCATAAAAGTTTCTCGATGGCTACACATGCATCAGAGAGCCAATACACACCCGGACTAGATTCATTTAGAACTAAGGAGAAAACATTGACACCTGGTATACATAGGGACGGCGGTATACGGAAAACTTGCTCTTCAAAATTCATTGCATTAGCGTCACTGTACCCAAGTAGGAAAGGCTGCCCATTTACATACATATCCACTACTCCATTGCAGTTTGTGGCACAATGGGTTAAACCTATGTTCACTGCAGTCAGCTCAAAACTGCCATCGCAACTCAAATGAAAGATTATCTCTCCTTTGCTTCTGCCAGGATAATGGAACACTTTATATGGACGACACTTCCGGTATTGATCTAGAGTCATCACTTTTGTAAACTCCACATTTTCGTAAATGTTGTTGAAGTCAAACGTTTGAAGGACCTCGACTTCTTTTCTCCTTACTGAAAGCAATAAGAACAGAAGCGTTGTCATTGAACTAAAAAAATACTGATAGCAAAGATGTGATTATCAAAAATAGAAGTGAATACACATGAATATTATATTTTTGCCTTCTATATATGTAATGTATTTTGAATTACTTTTGAGAATACCTTGTGCTATTGTCTCCGGTTGTTCCAAACGGACCTTCTTTTGTCCTGTGGAGACGACGTCCTCTTCGAGGGAACGACGTTTCCGCCCTTCCATCATCTTGGAGGTGTCCTGTGTAGGAAGAAGGGGAGGTAAGTGGGTATCATGAAGGAGTGGCGTGTAGCGGAGATGCCACACCAATACCATAGTTTAAAATGAAAAGTTAACATTCAACAGAACGCAATTTACACCAAGTCTAGTTATACTGTTACCCATATATATATATATATATATACACACATATGTGTTATGCTAAACTCAAGTCGATGCAAATAAACGAATATGCTATATAGCCGGAAGTCATTTCCGGTAATTTCCGCAAACACGTATCGTTGTTTTATATCTGGAGATATGAACGAACTTACATGTATATCTCGGTCTATTCCGGAAACGACCCAAATTTCTCATCGAGGTTTCATCAATAAGTATCGACGTACTGAATATTGATTGATAAGAAAAATGACATGAGGTCGACAATACAGATCTGTTGTATGTTTCAGAGACTCCCTGATAATTCTAAAGATCAGTCCAGCAAATTTTGAACGATATTACGTGATGATGTGTGGATCCGCCTACGAACGACAACTCCTAATACCCCTATGCCAGCTAGGGTCGCTCAAAAATCCATAAACTTGTTCGCATGATAAAACGGTATCGTTATTTTCATATTGATTATAAAGGGATATTTCTAGTAAACAAGGGTACTTATACCAAGACTACGCATTTTTAATACAACTATTCTTATTCCAGACAACTTAAGCATCTCCGGAAAGTTGATTAGTGAACTTTGTTCGAATATAAGACATTTAAATTTCACATAGCGATAAAGCACAGTCGATAATCCTGAAGGGTGAAAAATGGGAATCCGAGGCAAGAAAGGATCAAACTGGCATTCCAGAAACCAAACTTTCGATGAACGTTATAACGATAATGTAAAGGTGAAATCACGTGTTTTGAAATAACACCCATGAAGTACGGATAGTTGTCGTATAATTTTCCGATATATACGTTTATATTGAGAGTAAATAAATAGAGAACGTTCATTTAAAAAAAAAACATTCTCTATTCTTCTGTTGTTAAACACCCTGTCTCAATTATAAGAAAAGTGTTATTTGTGTTTACATGGATCCAACATGTAGATGAAATAGATCACTAACAATATTCAGGTGAAATTTTTTACATGGTTCACATTTTGAGAACGTGTCATTAAATCGATTGCTGAGTGTTGTCGATATGTATTCATCGAAAGACTTTCTTAAGTTGTAATTTTCCTAAATATATATTTTCGCTTTATCTGTTTATATAAAGTCGATATATTTGTGTTATTTACAATGACAAGGACTAATATTTCAAAAACAGGAAAAATCTTCTCAAGATTCTTGTTAGATTTGGGAGGTACATCATGCTATTTAAGCCTTAGTTTGAAATTGCTACAATCCCTCGTGTAATTTTGCCTGTCGGTCTGTCTGCCTTAGTTAGAATAAATAAGATATCTCATACAAGATGATTAAGTAGCGGATCAACACACACCTGAGCTTGCTATATTATGTTAGGTAAATATTTACATTATTTTTTTTAAAAATGATTGAACGATTGCCATGTATATTAAACTGATCGAAATACAAATTTGATGATCCTTATACTGGTGGTTCGGAATATCTTTCACTCTGGTTTTACGTTTTTCGTGGGTGGTAGACAGAGAGTAGAGGGGGTAGGGGTTACATTTTACCCTAGTTGTTGGATAAGCACATTTCCACTGACTAAGTGATTGTGACGATAGTGTAAACAGCGTGCTTAACTGTGTATTATTCTACTCGTTGTTAGTTATTGATTTAGGCCGATAAGCCTTTCAATCATATTCCAAACTAATACCGTACACTACAACTTTTTAATTTTCCAGGTCAGTTTATGGAATGGCGCGTTTTCACCACAGGAGTACTGTTGATTCACCGAAACGTTAAAAATAGTTTTCTAGATTTCAATCTTAGTGCAAAAAATAAAGCCATTTCTGAATATAGGATCAACACTATATTACCACCCCCAATTCTCTTCTATAACATCATGTCTTTAAGGAACTCTCTTGGTTATAAACCTATCTCGATCAGCGGTTAACATCCAATCTCAATTCACTGCATTAATATCATTTTTTGTCTAAATACAGGTTTTTCTTATTGTATATTTTTGTGAAACTCGAGAAGATTTCAACACACGTATATGACGTATAGTGTACATTTTTGGGCATGTATTGTTTTCATGTGCTGGTATAAATCGCTGCAATATCTTATAGGATTCCTTGCACTTCAGAATGTAACACAAAATACCCTGTACACCGTCTATAATATTAATTCACAAGCCCCTGAGACTCGAATTATAACAACATGTAACACGGTGAATGTTATCCCATATTTTAAACTTAAATGTTCATAATGTACGGGGCGTTTTGTAAATCAATACATATATATACATTGTAGTATTAAGCGTGCTCTGTTATGCAACGAGATCTATTCTGTGTTTACCATATCTGCTAGTCGATATCAAACGATTCAAGTATTTTATCGTTTAACCATTACAAACACTGAAATTATATTAATTATCAAAAGCTGATGTTCCTTGCTGTACACCAAACATTTATCATTCACATTCGATTTCTGAAATCTTGAACATAAACGTACTAATACTTGCCTTCACTTGTCAGCGTGCCGACCACAGCGCGCCGCCATATTTGTTTGAAACGCTCTGGTTCTCATCGATTTTTATAACCCTGAGATTGAGCCGACCTTTAAATACGGGTAAGATTTAACGATACACAATGAGCAATTTATAAAGCAAAGCTATGATCCGTACAAACATCAAATACACCCTAACATTGACCCGATGTAGGAACATGGTATGTGCTCACAAGGATTTATTTGTAGCCGGCATACCGAGCTTATTTAAACGAAAAGGACGACTTCATTGTGCCAAGAAAATGAAATAACTTTTCATAGCCCTATCATGTCAAATTGAGTTTTTTTAAAAAAAAAAAAAAAAAAAAACGATAATTCCAAATGATGGCACCATATTAAAAAGCTTGTCGAATAATGTCGAATACATAGTTTGAAGAGAAATGCGATTTAGACTAAACGTAAATCTGCATGAAATATTTAGATTTGGTGAAATCTAAGAATTGATGAAGCTAATATGATCGGTCTAGGTGCCCTTTTTTCATAAAAACAGATCTAGGTGCTTATACATGTGCACTAGCTTCAAAAAATAAAATATTGTTCATGATTAGACGAGGATGAGTTGGAAAATCAGGTTTCAAACATGCCAGTCAAAAAAGTTTCTATTTTTTGTAGAAGTGAAATTTACCAATAGATTTGCTGACCATTCATGAATTTTGCTGAGTTTGTTAATATACAATTTCTGCGCTATTCATGGGTGTCTTCTGCAAATAATTTGATAGTATCTCCTATACTTTTCTCTATGTCATTTATAAAGAAGAGAAACAAAAACGGACCAAATATCGACCTCTGTGGAACCGCGGCGTTAATATTCCGTTCATGACTACTCTTTGTTTGTGAAGATAAATTTCGAACCATTATAGGAGTGAGTCCCGAATTCTAAAACAAATTAAGAAAACCTACTTAGAAGTCATTCATGCCAAACGAAGACACCGTTTACTAAAATCACAAAACGCACGCATTTCTTTACCATAGTTTAAAGCAGAATAGATGAGCGATAGCTAGAAACTGATTAATGAGAGAATTGCGATTTCTAAATCCAGATTTTTGGTCAGATTTTAGAAATATTTAAAATGCAACTTTCCATCAGTTTTCCAACAATAGATAATAAGACAGACTTGTAGTTAGTAAAGATAGACTATTTATTTATTTTTTTTGTACACAGGAGTTACATTAGCAGTTTTCAAGTCAGCTTGAAAAACACAAGATGTGAAAGATTTATTTGAAGAGTGTGCTGAGGGGATTATTTAAATTATCAACAGATTCTTTAAGTAATTGAGGATTCACAAGATCAGGACCGGGGGCTTTAGTACAGTCACGATCTGGTATAGTGTCTTAAATACCAGTAACAGCTACAAGAATCTAAGAAAGAATATGGTTATATTCGTAATCAATGTTTGGAAGGACAAGGTAAGAATCATCACTAGACCGCCGAGAACAGAAAAAAAACATTGAATAGACAAGCGTTTCCAAAATCATCTGAAACAACAGTGCCATAGTGCAGAAGTGGATGTACAGAGGGTATTTTTATAATTTGGTGATAACGAGTGTACATTATACCGACACTTCTTCACACTGATATTAGACGATCTTCATGAATGTCCCACAAAGCCTGTTAAAGAGTGTTCATTTATTACACACTTGGCGGAATTTAGTTCAACTGAGTGTCAGTTTGCGTACGCTGGACACTTTAACAATTCAGTGGTGCATTTTTGTGTATTTTCTTTTTTTCGCAGTCTTTTCGTTTCAGTTGTGTTGTTGTTGGTGTGTTGTTGTCCTCGTCGTTGGATTCTAATTTGTTTGATTCTCAAAAAGAGACAGCAGAGGTCTATTCCTGGTAACAAGCGCAATATGATGTAAATAGTTAAAAGCCTACCACGAAATATGAAACTGTTCAAAGAAAGATAACTCGTGTAGTCTTTATTTTCACCACTTTGAAAATCAAGAAAAATAAAATTTAATTTCAATCTTATGAAGAAATGTAGCACATCAGAAATATTTTCAATAATACTTCGACAGCAAAGAACAATTGGCATAATTATCTTTATGCCTTTCGTGTTGAAAATTATTCAGAATGCAACGTTCTTCCGACGTAAACGTATGGTAGATTTTCATCGAATTTGATGTCAAAAATTATTTAGGAAGTATAACCCACTGTTAGCCGAGAAATGAGGCAACGAGATGGTTAGTATTCAGCTTTCTATCGTCATGGACAGGTTGAAGTGTTGGTCCGATATGCTTTGAACAAAAGCACCAACATATAAATATTCTCCATGACATTGGTCTAAAACACTTACAGATAAACAGCTAAGGATATCCTTTAGGCCTGGTTTCGTGGCTGCAATTTCAATGATCTACCTGTTTGATATCTGTAAGTTCGATCTGTAAGCTTGTTGTTTGTTTTCACGGGTTGCAGGTTCGTGTTGTCTTTGTATCTAGGTCTAGGCTTCGACATGTATGTCTTCTCTTGGCAGGTGCTTGTTTGTATAAAGTACAAGTACCGACGTTCAGAGTCCGATGTGTTGTATCTGTACCGTAAGTTGCGGGTTTATAATTCCAGTTGGAATGATGGTTTAGTTCGGTAAAAGTTAAGCAATCTGGAAATTGCTGACTACATATGTAAAACCGTCATGGCACGAAACACATGACACTTCAGACTTGCTAGATGAAAATGGTAATCTAACTCTATAGGCCACCAGAGATGTGTTTCTGGTCGGCAGTGCCACTCATTGTTTTAGAACGGTTGCTTCACCCGTGCAAATCGTCGAAGATATACATCATATTGATGTATATAAAAGTTTTTCTTCGTCTATTTGACACTTAATATCTTTTTTCAGTCACGGTCTTACACTTGAAATCACCCATAAATCTTAATTTAGAGCTGTTTCTGATTGTTTCATTTCAACAGAGAGGTCATAACAAGCTCGCCTTAAACATCAATCCATGCTGATGATGACTGATGTCAAATTTTGGTTTGACCTCGTAGTGGCTTCTTTTCTGGATATGAAGTCAATAGTTTCCGCGTGAAACACAATAGTATATGTGTGTGGTATACTGTTGATTATCGATATAAGTTGATTTATTAGCATAAGTTCCATCGAACAGGTATCTGGTTGTTCTAAATAGCCTAAACGATTTTGCTTGACCTTGAAAAAGAACTCAACATTGGTTTTCGTTATCTATAGTTGTTGGAGTTTTAAGTCTGACCAACTCACTTGTTCACTTTGTTGTCTCAACATTATGCTGCCTTTTGAATTTGATTCTTTGCCTCGTCGTAGTATGTCGTAGCTGTGGAATATACTGGTAACGGAAACAAATGTTCGTTGCAAACTCTTATTTCTTAAAATATACGTAAAATACCGACAACTGAGCAAAAATCGTAGTCACAGTTGGTAAAACGAGGGCAAAATATAACGGAAAGATTTACATGGGGATCCATGAATGTTACAGAAGGGTAAGCGTCTTCTTCTTCATTGACAACATCCACCGAGTAATGTCACGTTGCCAAAATGAGAACCAGGATCGAACAACGAAATCGCCAGGTGTGCAACTCTCACAGCAACGCTACATCAAGGATGAACTACGTACTAGGCGTACGGGGTTCGATTCCAGCACGGACGAGTGGATTTTTCTCGGGTACTCTGGTGTTCTCCCACAATAAGGCCCCTTGTGCACTTCTATTGGAGCCAACAAGAGTGATTGATAAAAACTTAAGGCTTGATTTGCAATTGTTATGAAATCAATACAGTTTATATGTTTATATAAGTATGAATTACACTATGGAGTTAGACACATAACTAACTAAATATATACTGCGTTCAGAGTTGGAGATGTAGAGGTACATTTCTAGAATGTGAAGTAGTGATGGACTAGGGAAAATCGACATTGATGTTACTAAAATGTTGAGGAGGGATAACGGAGCTGGTCAAAGTGAATCTTGGTTACAATACTCAAGATAAATAAAAATTGGTTGGAAATGAAAATGAAGTGACACATCTAATTTTGTATAAGGCTTATAAACTTGATGTATTCCAACTCATAAAAAATGTTCTCCATTACAGGCGGTGATTGAAACGTCCCTGAGCCAAAATCTTGTGAGTTATCGAAATACTCGCCAACGACGCCATAATGAAAAACTTGTGCGTACGCGCGCGTGCCCTCGCTAGACAAAATTGGCTCTGTCAAGTCACCCCACGACGTGTTTATATATGAAATAAGAAGTCTGTTAAAGAGTGCTCCATGTACATGATTATTGAGACAAAAATACAAGCCCATACATCCACATATGTATTGGACACCTTACCAAATTCAGCCGTATCAGCTCATGAGCTACTAGCGGCGTCGGAGTATACAAGTGTTGAAAACAAATTGAGGCTGCCTTGCTTTGTAACAATACAAGCCCATACATCCACATATGTATTGGACACCTTACCAAATTCAGCCGTATCAGCTCATGAGCTACTAGCGGCGTCGGAGTATACAAGTGTTGAAAACAAATTGAGGCTGCCTTGCTTTGTAACAAAATGAAAATTAAAAATAATATATATATGAGCATTTAACTCCATTTTGATTGGCTTTCCTGAGCATTATAAATGCGAAGCGGATAACGGTTAATCAAACAATCAGCCGCTGAAGCGCTTCAAAAAATTTGTCTCAGTTCTGTTGGCATTCATAATGCCCATGAACAATTATTGGAAGCAGTTCGATGCTTTAACAGATAGCATCTGGCTGTCGATGACTTGGATTTTTATGCAATACGTTTGAGTTTGAATGCCTTACACTAACAATATGTAATGGGTATGTTGAAAAAAAAAAACACTTAATATTCAATTTATAGTATGGGAAAAACAAAATTCAGATTCTTTCTGTCTGTCCATCCGTCCGTCTGAATAGACGATCCGATCGTAGTTTACCAAACCACAGACGATCAGATTCACTTTAAACCTTTTAAAGCCTTTGAGTTTGTGGCGGACAAGTCGTGTGTCCTACTTGTTTGATATGTATAAGACCCGAACTGGTGTTTTTGGTTGTAGGATAGATCAGATAATCCCGATAAGCCCCTGTTATTACATTTCATGTTTAAGTTTCATAACCTGTTTAATATAAGACTGTGTACAACATAGAACCGAAACAAAGCTGAGAATGAAATCCTATTATGCTGACGGGTTCCGTCACTGTAACAGGTACCGAACAGGTACATACCCTGAGGTGGCGTATATACCGAAATTATTATAAATCGACCCGAACAGTGAGACCTGCTGTGTTGAACTTCCAATCTACCTGAATCAATGTAGCACCAAGTTTACCTGTAACATTAATCAACGTAGGTCTCTGTTTAGCGGTGTCGGGTTCTAAAATACTGATCATCTATAATGCATAAAGGCATGCGGTTTCAATTTCAAAAACTAATTTTGTGACCTATCTACCTGTATATTAGCGTATGCTGTGACGGATTAGGGCATTGACTGTTTTCACTTGAGACTGGCGAATTTTTCCTGTAATCAAGGAGGTTGTAAAGGTATGTATATTTTGCTTATGTTCGTAATAATTATATAAAAACAATGAAAAATAAGTGTAAATCTATTGTCATGATTAGGGAACTGGTTGGTTTAATGAAGATATTTTAATTAACAAATTTAAGTAAAACAATCAACTAAGGATTAACATGTTGAATATGTTTTCTTTTTTTTTTTTTTTTTTTCATTGTGCCTCGACACCATGTAACAAGGTATTTTTATTTAAAATAAAATGTTATACACTTGGCGAAATAAGGATTTTCTTGGCTATTTCGTGGTTTTCTATTCGCATATACAGTATATTATTATTAATTGTTAATCAAGAAAAAAATTCTTGTCGTGATTTTACAATATAATATTGATACATATACATAGTGTACGGTAAAATACTGCATTTCGAAAACATGGTCATTTTAGAGACGAGACGTGTACATTTTACTTGTTTTAAACTGTGATTACTGCAACTGAAACTTTTGAACATTATATATATTTGTATGTTGAAATACATGTTGTTAAAATATTAACTCATCTGTACAAAAGTAGACAGTACAATTGTACTCTAAAAGTAATAAATATCTACTTCATGTGTTACAAAGGGCTGAACGTTCTGTTCTTTATAATAAGCATGTTAGTATATGATCAATTGGATTTTCCAGCTAAAAGGAGTTGTCAGTGGATTGAGACGTGAGTAAAAGGTGCTATAGATTTAAGGTGTCTAGAGTAACGTTCTTTGGGATACATGACTGCCTAAGCATCGGGGGAATACCGGATACAACATTTATACGCGTAATATTTTCGGTTAGAGCGCTGACCTATGTAACTTCAGATGAAGATCCGAGGTCCTTGGTTCGACGCTCTCTGTCCATGCCGTTGTTCTTTATAATGAAGCTGAGAAACGGACCGGTCTGTTCTAAGGTGGTCCTGTCCTTGGGCTAGACACACTAAACTAAAAGTTCTTGACGGCATGAGACGGGCCTCCCATATGTTGTTCAGTAAGGTAGCTATCAGCTAGTACAATATTATACACCGACTCAATATGACCACTGCTGCATGGGGCGATAAACTCCGAAAAAAATTAAGTATTGTTATGGACATTTATCATATCGAAAAAAAAGTTAAACGGAACATGCCATATAAATGTTATATTTGCAACGCCAGCTGAAATTTCGCATTGTCTTCATGATTTATAAGTGGTATCTGGGGAAATATATCACGAAGGAAGGCAATTATCAAATTACATTTTGCCTTACAAAGAGATATAATGATACTGTAAATTTGCTGACTAAGGGAAAAAAATGTTGACATGACTAATAATGTCTATTTATTTATTTATCCATTTATTTATTAATTAAATGGGTTCTACGTCTACTTTTAATACTACAATGCCAACAGATTAGAGAAAGTATATGACGCCCCTGCTAGATCATGTAGAACGAACGACATCAGTAAATGGGAGTCTTGCATGACTGGCCACTATCATTTTCTCGTCAGGTGACGTCACGGATGGCTAGCACGGACGACAACATCCCTCAAGCGTCAGATGAGGTCGCTGAGGTTCCTGCTGATCTAGGCACCAATCCAGCAGCTGAAGCAGACGCACCTGTGGAAGGTAAAACTGCAGGTAAGAAGCTCACAATATCAGTTTCAAAAGTCATATCGGGTTTTTTTTTCATTTTATATATATTTAACATATTCATGGCTACAGAACGTGTGGTGTTTTTCCAATAAATTTTCCCGCACTTTGACATGTATATGAGTGTATTTTTTCATTTGCATGTTAAACTCTCTCCAGTATATAATTGTTGTTCCTATTCATCAAATAAATATAAAATTATAAAGTAAAATGTTTCTTGATATAAAATCCTATAAATAAAATAGCCTATTACTACTAGTTCTACTGTCGAACAGAAATATAATCTACCACATGATGGAGAGTAATGCGATACTAGATGTTACCTGCTTATGTAAAACGCTGATTTTACAAAACATTGTTTGTTCAAGATGAAAACAATGCACTTCCCTGCATTCGAGGTACAAAAAATGCCACGTCTCGTATAACTCTCAACTCAAAAGCTTAAATCACATTAAAATGACCTTGATCAAACTTAATTTTATCAAATTAAATATCTTTTATGCAGTCATATTGATTTCGTTGAAACTTCGGCTAGAAATATAGCCACGAGTCTGTTTGTTCCTCTGTCAAACCGTCATTAATCTGGCTGTTAAACTCATCTCCATGTCCCACTATCAAACACCAATATCCCCGATGTCCCAGTATCAAATACCTCTATATCAATGTCCCACTATCTCATTATGATGTCTCACTATCACACACCAATATCCCCGATGTCCCAGTATCAAATACCTCTATATCAATGTCCCATTATCTAATTATGATGTCTCACTATCAAACACCTCTAATTATGATATTTCACTGTCAAATACCTTTATATCAAGGTCCCACTATCTAATTATGATGTCTCACTATCAAACACCGCTGATCCCCATGTCCCACTATCAGACACCAATATCCCCGATGTCCCAGTATCAAATACCTCTATATCAATGTCCCATTATCTAATTATGATATTTCACTGTCAAATACCTTTATATCAAGGTCCCACTATCTAATTATGATGTCTCACTATCAAACACCGCTAATTCCCATGTCCCACTATCAGACACCAATATTCCCGATGTCCCAGTATCAAATACCTCTATATCAATGTCCCAATACACCGCTAATTATGATGTCTCACTATCAAACATCAATATATCAGTGTCCCACTATCAAAAACCGCTACTTTCAAGACAAATTGCCTTTTCATAACATCTTACTATCTAGTTAACAATAGTTCATTTTTCACTAATCGCTTAGTAGTAACATTGTTGTACTAGTAAAAAGTTTGCCCTATCTCAGATAAGGCTTTCTATTCAAAAATCGAATTTAGTGTATTGTATACTAGTTGACCCAAATCAATTTTGCACAATATGTAACATTCGGTTTTTTGCTTTTAATATTTGTTTAAATATGAAAAAAGCTTAAAGTTAATTAACTTGTTGTGTAAAGACCTTTTTTTATAAAGATATATAATCCAATTTGCATGATTGCAACATGGACAGCTCCACGACGGCTTGGGGACTTTTAGGCCAGTAGTCAGTCCAATGATTTTGTTGGAATTTAGCATCATCTTTCTACGCGCATGTCTGTGGCGCTTTGTAAACCCATTTTTCCAGAAAAAGTGAAAAATCAAGGGCTTGTTCTCTTTCTTCCTAAGGGAATACTCACATTTTTCAAATTAACAGAAAGGGAAAAAAATAGAACAAATGGCGCATGGGTAGGATTAACAAAGTTTTGAAGGGCATCAGTCGTGTACGGAAAAGCTAGCATTATCTCGTTATCGACCTGTCAATATCCTGATTATATTTGACACGAACATACAATGTACCTAAATTCTAAAATACAATCTAATACACAAGATCTACTATAGATATGCTGTACGTTCATTTTTATTCATAACAGGAACGTTTCGCAGGCAACGCTGAATAATTAACCAGCGTGTCAATCGATAACGACTCGACACCATTTAGGTGTATATAACCTGCTTAGCTAAAACTGATATTCCAACACTACTGACAACTGTCTCTTCAGCTGCACGTCAACTCTGCTATTGGTCAGTTTCATGATGGACATAATGACCGTGACCTTCAGTTCGATTCCGTGCGACACTAGGTGGGAAAGTCATCAGCGAGGTAGGACGATACGCTAGGCATCTCAAACAGCAATTGAGTTTGTCAAAGGAGAGGTTATGTGGGTGCAAATTTTCTTTACAGGCTAATAACAAAGGCGTGCGCAAAGGCGCCGAGTTTTGAGAAATCTTAGTTCGCACTTTGCAGGTGTTCTTACATTTGTGAACTGATAGAATCGTGAATCTTTTTAGACGTTTCAGGATTGGAATTCTTTTATGCCGCACTTTTTTTGTAGATGTTTCATGATTGGAATTCCAGTGTACCACACTTTTTGTAGACGTGTCATGGTTGGAATTCCAGTGTGCCACTTTTTTTGTAGACATGTCATGGTTGGAATTCCTGTGCGCCATCTTTTTTTGTAGATGTTTTATGGTTGGAAATCCATTGTGACACACTTTAAAATTCCGCCAATGTAAGGTCGTTAACCATGTCAAACTATCCTCAGGGGATTGAGAGAGAATCAATTTACTTACTAATAATGCCAGGCCATGCATATCCTATACACCAAACGCATTATCGGAACAAGATATCAGGAGGTTACTTGCACATTCAATCTGCTGCTACCTGTCAAGAGTACGGATGGCTGTCATGTTGACATGAAAGTTGTACATCGTTGTACATCCTGTAGAAGCCGATGTTGATAGTCATCAACTGGTTAAAGAACCTAGCAATATTAGAGACTGCTTCATCCTCAATATTTTTGACAATGGTTGTGATATCTTGACGCCATCGGTAAATTGTTGGTTTTAATGACATGTATCTATTTTATAAAGGGATTTGAAACCAGAGTTCTGCTCTCCCCTTAACTTCAACAGCCTCCAATCCACTTTCATATATATTTGTAATGTATCGAATCGAAGAGATGCATTAAACTAATTGTTACACCAAATTGTTTGGACAGTGCAGTCAACCATAAATTTACGCTAAAGCGTATCAGATGACAGATATTAGCCTGGTAAAATTTCTTTTTAATTTGATCGTTTTTCGTTTCCAGGCATTGATGACTGGTTCGGCAGCGCACGTAATGTGAATACCTAGTCATCTGTGCATTGCGTTTTCGAAATGTTCACATTGAAGACAGTTAATGTCTTGAATGAAGCTATGAAATTGCCGAAGCCTGATATTGCCAAACTATCATGTTCATTTCTCTGTGTGTTCCCGTCCTCTACCGTTAATGAATACTCGTCTTGTAGAGTCTTTAGAGAAATGCTATAGCTATTGGTCAGAAAATCATTTCTCTAACATTATATGAGCTAATATTAATTTAACTAAAATACATGTTTCTCGTCCTCAGATATGGAAGAGCTGATACGGAGATGTAACCAGTCAATCATTGACTCGCAGAAGGCCCTGACTAAGTATGATGCGGTTCAGGAAGAGATACAGGGAGCTCGATCTAGTGTCATTGGGGGCATCTCTCGACTCCAGCGACCTTCTAGACGATGGAGGCGTGCACGAGATGATTGTACGTTATCAATATAGCTTTACACAACCATGTGCATATAGATCAGAACTCTGTAAGAAACAGACTATTTGACAAAATGTTGGAATTTTAGACCTCACACTATAGCGCGTGCACGTTCTATACGAAAAAGAATATCACTGTTAAGATGTCTTAGGCGGTAGAAAGATCGCTTCCTTGTTTTAGAAAATTAGTTTAGTTACCAAAATGAGCTCCTACATAGTTTGGTTAAAACCATTTAAGTAGTGTACTACAGTGTTACGGGAAATGACGGAAGCTGTGACGTCATAGTTTAATTTACAATCAATCGTCTGGTTACTTGCTGAGCCTACATTGGTTCTTATATGCTGTCAAATTAAGAACTAATTCTGTTTATTTGAACAGATGTTGATGGCCATTTATACGGGGCCGTTATAGAAGCAACAAGGAGGTCGGAGCCCATCGCACATAGCACGCCCAACAAGCCCGAGAGAGAGAACAGTCCTATGAGTAAGGGTCAGGTCCGGGGGATCAGAGACAAAAGTCCGATGGAAAAGGCAATGTCTGGAAGGAATGACAGAGAACTAAGTCCTTTAGCTAAGGCGAGAGCTAAACTAGAAAGAGAAACTAGCCCAGTATCGAGAGCACGTGCGAAACAGGAACGCGAATCGAGCCCAATGACAAGAGTGATTGTCAGAAATGACAGGGAACCAAGTCCACTGGCAAAGGCAATGCTAAGGAAGGAAAGAGAGCAAAGTCCGATGGCGCGAACTAGAATTGTAAAGGAAGGCAGTGAGACAAAAAAGTACATCGTACCCTCCGTAATTCTCAGTCGTGGGGTACCTACGAGGCTTGACCATCCTAGTAGTTCCTATGAAGAAGAAAACACGGGTGAAACTGAAGAAGACACGATGGATGCAAAACTGGAACAACTAGCAGACGAGCTAACAGCTTCGGCGGAAGTTCCACAAAGGAAAGGTAAAACATCATATGCACAGATCGTTATGCCAGAAGCAAAATGTTTGCAGGATCGGCTTCGGCGATACCGACTGGCACAGATTCAAGCCGACGAAATCGGTTTTCCATTATCGCTTCAGGAAACCCTTCGCTATCGAATGTCGCTGTTAGGAGATGACGATATTCTGATGCCGTCTTCCCTAACTCTGAAAGAAAGACTTCGGTACAGGATGTCTCTTCTTGAAGACGATCTTGACGACGAAGTTTGGGAGCGTATTGCATCTCGTGTGGCTCAGAACAAAGATGCTGATATTGCAGTCCCAATTTCTACAATGAATGGGGAAACACTTTACTACAGGGTGTCTGCTACAGATGCCGAAATCCCGAGAGGACTTTTCCATCACGCGGCCAGGAACGGGGATCTCGCTCTGGTTCAAACACTCGTTATGGATGGGGTCGACGTCAACGAAGTTGATGGGGAGGGAATGTCGGCTTTACACCATGCCGTGTCTAAGTCCCAAATTGCTGTAGCCAAGTTTCTGCTTTCGTTAAAATCTATAATTGTAAACATGGCTGATATACAGGGAAAGTCTCCTCTTCATTACGCCGTAGAGAATGGTCACACTCCAGTTCTCGTCTCTCTCTTATCACACGGTGCATTTCCAAACAGCACTGACAATCAGAAACAGACGCCACTTCACAAGGCATGTCGCGATGGGAAACACAATATAGTCGATATCCTGCTGGAAAATGGGGCTTCACTTTTCGCTTTCGATGACTCTATGAAAGCCCCGCTGCACTATGCTGTTGAAAACAACCATCCTGCTTGCGTAACGACTCTTCTCAAGAAAGGTGCACCTGTGAACAACAGCGATGGAGATCAGCGCACTCCGTTGCATTATGCAGCTCAACTAGGATTTTTCTTGATTGCTGATATCTTGCTAGCCAACGGAGCAATGACAGACGCGCTTGACAAGGATATGAAAACAGCTCTGTTCATCGCCGTGCAGAGTGACTTCATCTCCATGACAAGGACCCTTATCTCTTATAACGCATCTGTAAACACAGCTGATGTGGAGCGTTTGACTCCGCTTCATATCGCCTCTGTCAACGGTAATACCGACTTGGTTCTTCTGCTATTGCAACACGGGGGAAGAGTGGACGCCGTGGACTGCGCCAACAGGACGCCGATCAGTTACGCGGTGGAAAACAATGAGATAGAAGTTGTCCAACTCCTGTTGCAGTATGATGCCAGTGTCACCATTGTTGATGTGCAGGAAATGACTCCTCTACATTACTCGGCTGAAATCGGGAACGAATTTCTTGCCCATCTCTTAGCGGATCACGAGTTAAAGCATTCCTCCAGCGACACGACATACAAACGTCTTCTAGACGTTGCTTTTAAGTACCAGAATGAATTGCTCGGAAGCATGACCATGACCCACGCCCTGAAAGGTTACAGCGAGATTCTTCAACAAGATAATCAAAACCAGAAGAATAAAGGGGAAGCGACCGAGTTGATGAAATCGTTGTTGAACATGGTCTGCAAGCACTTCAGTCACTACCACGGAGAGAAGCTAGTCCGTGTGTGGCCGGGATACAAGGAATTAGCCGCGGACAGCCCGATGATTGTTGTGAATGTTTCCAACCTTCCGAAGGTGAAACCAAACGTTTTCATGGGACTTCCGATAGTTTACAAATTGTACGGCTTTGTCAGTGACGAGGCACTTGTTCTTAGCTACTCCAAATTTGAAATAGAAAAACTAACAGATCCTTTAGAAATAATGGCTATTCAACGCACCATCAACAGAAATATTGCTCGTTTGAAACTAGATCACAGCAACCTCGTGAAGGTCAGCGCAAGCGCAGTTCGGTCATTGCAAAATGGTTCATTGCTTGCAAAAGAAGCTTGCATTGTATTGTATTGTCGATGTAAGGGCATCATCCCGTTTGGTGAGAAACCTTTTCCGAAGTACATCGACGATGTCCCAATAGATGTTAGAGATGGTTTGGCGGGCGATACAAGCGATCATCAAATCAACGCCAGCAAACTTAATAGAGAATCTACCGACGGATCAAGGGGTAGTGAAGATAGTAGCCGAAAGAAGCTCGAATTCTGAATCGGCTTTTTTTCTTTTCTTGCGGAGTCATACCAGTTTTCGGTGACTGCTGTGTTGTTGCGGTTGATGTGGAAACACTGATTTAAATTTCAGAAGAGATATTCAGACTTTAATGTTTTTACACGTTATTCCGAATACTGTGTTGTACATGTGATGATGGTTATTTGTTTTTGACTTACATCACTGACGTTCAGTGGTACGCTCGCTACTAGTCTCAATTTTAAATCACAGTATTATTGTTTAGCTGCATCATCACACATTTTTCTGCGTTTTATGAAGGATGCCGGGTATTGTAATTACTACTAGGTATTGTTATAAGTTACCGTGCAGTACCGGCGATGTGTGGTAACTTGTGCCATGGCAGTTTTGTACTAGCTATTCCTCAATCGTTTCAGTTCACGAAAAAACTGATTGGCTTTTTGACATTAATCTGAATGTAAAGCACGCACTGATTTTTTTCTGTCGTTATTTGCAGATTGTTGATTATTTACTGTTATGTTTTGTTGTTTATTTACCACGATGTTCAGTTCTATACGTTCATATTTTAATAAACACACGATATAATTTTCCAGTTTTTTTTCTCTTTTCTTCCTTCGGTGTTAAGCTTTGAAACACAAGAAATAAACTAAACTTGGTGAATTGGTAGTTAATAATTTCCTGCCCGTAGTTCATTGCGTTCAATGTGAGGTCCGAAAAATAGCATTTGATAGCATTTGGAAGTTCCTTTATTGCAGAAAAACACGTGATAATACATACAATATGTCTTTAAGTGAAACACCTTACGAAATGGCATCGCATTTTGAGCTTCAGACCTTGCGGAAACAGTCTGATATAGGTCAAATGGAGATTATGACGGTGAACTTCAGCCTCAGCAACTTCAAGTTTCAAATAGTTTACAAATGCATCATCAAGACCAATTCACTAAGGTGACTGTGAACAAGTATTTAGTGGAAGTTGTCTTACAGATCATACGAGGAATAATTATATACAAATCAGGACGACCACATCTTGACGGTAAACTTCAGAACTTGAATTCTTCACTTTTATTTACCATCTGAACTGGTCGGTGACCAAGTAGACTAGATTGTCTGTGTAATGTTGAAAATGGACTCGCGTTGAAAATGGACCCCGGATCTGTTTTCAACGGGGGTCGATTTCCAACGTTCCACCGTGTGTAGTTTTTTTTTTACTTTCCGCAAGACTACGATTCGGAAAAACAACGAGCAGTCTAGAGAAGAAAAGGTGTCACTAAGACAGGTAATTGGTGTCCAAAAATCTATACTTCTTTTGGAATAACCTTTAAAATATTTTACCTTTATTACGGTAGTCACGCGACGTTCAACAAACTGTGACGAGATATATACACATTATGTTCCTTGGGATAAAGTTCTTGAGAAGGGGTACATATTGTAAGCTTCCAACTCCTCCAACCTCATGGCCTTACATCTTTGTTATCATCTTATAGTCTAAAGACAGCAATATTTAAAATTGGACGGCAAATTGTAGAACACGTTTCAAAAATATCAAATTGTCAAGCCAATTCTTCTTTAGAACAAAAAGACCTAGAGTCATGGTATTTGTCCGATAGCTGGCAATATCTTATTCACATGTAACGTGCAAATACTGATGTAATGGGATGAAGCAAAACATTTGTTCCGGTGAATACTTTTCAAATTTGTTGAGGTTGCGTTCCCTATGGACAGGGGCAGGCGCCCCTACAGAACACAGCATCTGTTCCCACTGACCCAGCAAGCTCCTGAACAGGTAACATAACCAAACATAGAAAGAAGAAATCACTTCAAGAACTAGATTCAAAGTGAACAGTGGTTCCTATTCCATTGTACAGTTAATTACATCATCAAAACAATCAGAAAAACAAAACTTGCTTTGCACAGGAATTTACTAAAATATATCACATATAATGGATCATAAATCAACACACCCTACATGTTGGCAAAAATATTGCACTGAAATGCAGATAAAACATCAGCTAAAAACACCAATGTGTCCATGTATAGTATGTCATTACACTTATCTATATATGAAAAACCATGTGGTTTACTAAAATCCTCACTAAATCAATTGAAAAAGTAAGAAATGAATGCTCTATGAGAATATTTTTCAATCAAAGTAAAACTCACTTCTTCTTTCTGTGAAATTATGAAAAAAGATAACATGCTATGATAGCTATTTTACAAAATTTCTCCTTATACTGTAAGAATATTTTTTTCTGGAAAGGAAATATTTAAACATTTTAACTTGAAATAAAGGGGTCTTTTCAGCAATTAAAATAATGGTATGTTTTTAAAAATACAGATGAAGCAACATTGATATTTGACATTTTTTTCATTTTCCTTCATTTTCATTTAAGGTACCGATCAGTTCAATTCTTATCCTATACCGAAGTGGAACACAGAGCAACTTTATGCATGGAAACTCTGTCTCCCATCAGCATATAGTCAGGATTAGATTTTAGGAGATGGTCTTATATACATATATGATCAATCCGAGATAGGACAAAAGCTGTACGGACTTTAATACAGATACAGAGATCAAAACCAGCCACAGGATGTGTAGGAGCATCTCATAATGTAGGTCACCACAACAAACTTCAAACACATTTCTTAAAAATTAGTGCATGAATATCCCTAACAGGTAGAATTCTTAGATCAATCCAAACCAGGAAGTCACAGGTAAGTAATTTTAAAAATAGGGATTTATTTCGAAGCTGACAGTTAAAAAATGAATGAAATTCTTATTTGGTACCAACTACAGAATAAGGACCATTAAAAAATGCTTACGAAATGATCAATGAATTCCTTATATTGCAATCACTGATAATCCATCAATATAGCATTTCTGTTGATCAAGCTGTTAATATAACATAACAATATGACATTGGCATCAATATTTAATCTTATTTAAATAAAAAGGAAATTTCTTTCTTAAAATATCTCTCGTCTAATAATTAATATTTCAATTTCTTTTGAGACAAAAATTTCTATTCAAGACGCTTACTGAATTCTGAGTTCTATATAAGCTTGTTTATAATATTGTTTCTTACGTAAAGTTTTTTTGAATGAACTTGCACCAGCTGCTTTAATCCTCTCCCGCAAAACAAGTGGTATCATATGATAAAAGCTATCCCTACTCACTTGCCACCTTTTTTCAATCACTCCCACCCCCCACCCCCATCCTCTGCTATATTTATGGGCAAGGTATAATATTTAATTCATTTCATCACAAAGTTTTACTCTCCACAAATGAACAAATATCAAACTTAAACCGATAAACATATCCGTTAAGACTCTCTAATATAAGCAATGAAAAGATGACAAATCGAAAAATCAGATTTCATTTTTATAACTCTTTATTAATGACAGATACGAAAAGAACGCTCATCCACAGAAAAGACTCTGTACGTCTTATACAAGCCATTTCAACTTTGATAAATATATAGTGAAAAAGCATCACCTACATTTCAATGTAAAAGTCATGTGTGATATCAATGACCTAATTTTGACACGATTAAATCCAGGTAGACCGAAAGTAAAATATATTTATTTAATAACAAGACATTTATAAATAATGACTTTGCCATGATAAAAGTTTTAATGACATATTCTTTTGTATGCTAGATGCGATGAGTGTAATCAAAATTCTAAAAAGTTCGAAGGTTTGATGTACAAGTACCTTAATCATTCCATACTCCCTGAAAAAGCAGTGGAAAAGACTCTGGACTGTATAATATAACTCATCAATTACCTCAAACATTTCAAATTTTTCAAATAATATCAATGAATTCGACAATATTTGCGAAAACCTTGAAAACACCCTTGCAGTCTTTAAAATGGCAGAGAAAACAAAAGTTGTATTAAATATGAATGTTCTACACCAATGTAATATAATTTGTAATATCTTTCAGTTACCGTACATAATGATATTGTTAATGCGATTCACTTTACATGGTCCCAACACTAAAAAGCATTTTACCCCCAAAAATTGAGATTCATTATAATAATATTAGGTGTAAAACACGAATGCAACACATTAGAAGTCAAAGACCAGGCTAACTGACTATATGTATTCGATATTGGACATTTTCAACTAGGCTCTTTCATATAATATGTTATTAAATGATACGACTTCAGCATTAAACTAGAAATTGAAAATGAAATCACAGCATTGTGCATATGAATTGCAATTATTGGATAGAATCTACCCTATGTAGATCAGATGGAGACAAAAGTAAAAAATGATACTGATAACTGGTATGACATGCATTATAAATATATATATAGTTCACACATATACATTTTTATAAAGCGTAAAAACACATATTTTAAATAAGAATATCAACGTTATAATAATAGACTTTGATATCATAAAACATTAAGCAGGTCTTACCAAGTAAAACAGGGATTGTGCTTGGCCGAGACACTTTACCATCAAAAAATAAAAAAAACACCTTAATATCCAGCAAACACTTAAAAATATTAAAAGGTTTGAAGATGAATGAACGTTAAGAGGTTAGCAGCTTTTATTATTTGAAAAAAATTTAAAACAAAATTATTAAAAAATAATAAAAACAGCATGATTCTTGTAGTTGTAAAATTTCAGCTAAAATTTAACACATTTAGTAAATCCCAAAGAATCGGGACTCTAGCAAGTCCAACATCCCACAGCATGAACCTGTCACCATCTTTTTAAGACATTTCTGCAAGGATGCTGGTCTTTCCACGACAAATCTTCTGAATTGTGGTACTCATTTTTACTGCAGGGTAGACTAGAGCAAATACTGTTGTGTGTTTGGCTGCATCTATTATCATTTACAACAACATCCTAACATGACAAGTGTGTAGTCACTGTAGTAAAATGTTTATAATAAGCCCACCGTGTCTAAAGTGACCAATCATTTACCTTGCGGTAACGAGAAGATGAAGTACAATGTTATCCTATTAAAATCTTTCCAATATTGACCCTACTGTTTAAACAACATGTCGGAATGCCTGTATTTACGGAAGAAAGAAAAATAACTATATCAAAAGAAGTTTCATCAAAGTTGTCTGAAATTTTCTAGCAATTAACAAAATTAATTATTATTTAGATACTCAAGCTGTTGTACATAGCACCTGACATTTCATTCTAACCATCCCAACAACTGATTACCAGACCTACCACTTACCTGCTCATGAGGAAATAATGTTCAGTTATAAACAGACATATACATATACAAATATATATATATATATATATATATTTGAAACATTATGTTGGGAATGGATTTATGCACAAATGAAACTAAATATCTTAGAAGAAATATCATAAACTTATCCCATACAATGTTAATAACAAACACTAAAAAACAAACAAAAACTTGTGTATTATCCCACTTGATAAGTACACTGTCAACAGAAACCACTGCGAGTCTTGTTTTTGACAGAAAAAATAGCTGTTGATAATTAACAGCAGCATATTAACAGGATAAAAGTACATGGTCCCTGAACTAAAGTGTAAGCTTCCGCTAAAGTTATAGCTAAGATAGCTAGGAAGTATTACAATAAACAGCTGTCATCGTTAAACAGTCAGAAATCAAAACTGTCACTACCACAACACTATCAGTAACTAGCTTCACACATAAAAGCACATGACATTTCTGTCTATAGTTAATATAAAATGTAATTTTTTGTATTAATAATAAACATTATGAAGCTCTTTCTGACTATACATAATTAGCACATGTTTCCAGAGATTTTTATGCCAGCATATTCACAAAAAAACTTTTTTTTTAACTTTTGAAAGAAAAAATAATAGCTCTTCTTGTGTCATTCATTTGCAAAAATCTCCTTTTAGCACATTTTGTGTTTATTGCAACTTTTCTGATTGTTTATATTGCAATGATTGTGTTACTTTGTTAAAAGCTGATAATTCACTCAAATTTCATAGTGCCATAATATGTATGTTTACAGTAGCTTAAGATAATGTGAAATGTATTTATTTTCAATTCCGATTGGTACAAGTCTTAAAATAATGCTGAACTTGTACCGATTTATACCTCTGAAATTATCTCTCCGAGAAACATGAGTATCAAATTTTATCATAATTAGAAACATTTACTCAAACATTTCTTGGTTTTCCTGTCAACGGACATATTCTCAAACATCGACACAAAATTATCATAAAGACAATATTCACCCCAAAGGGAAATATGAAATGTGCCAGGTGTTTCCTCAGTATTAAAATCTCAAGATTTTCAATAAGTTTATCTAAAGAAGAAGAAGAAAAAAAAAAAAAACTGAGTTGTAGTAAAAATGGAGGAGTCAGATGTTGTAATCAAAAGTCAATGTTATTAATTTATACACAACACCAGTAAGATTTTACTTAAAACAGGAACCCCATCACAGTATGTGAGATATAAAACCACAGATATCCACTGTCAAACAATACACATATACTATCTATATGGCATTCATCAAAAATTGCATTGTTACGAAATATGAGACTGAAGATACAAGGCATAGTTACATATCAGGGTGATGTGTCTTTTAATCTTTCTCAAATTCTTAGAAATCTCAAAATTCAACAACACTGACATCATTTCTGGGTAGGCAAATTGCACATCTTAAAGCACTTTCCTTTCGCCTGGGTAGCTCTGTTGGAGCTCCTGACTTCCCCACTGGACATGATTACGTATAGTCACTCACCCAACATTGTGGATTTTCCTAGATACTATAGTTTTTTACCAGCCTCTTCATGCTCTTCCACTTGTGTCAACAGTATAATTAGTTTAACATGCAGCTTGTTACATAATTTTTTTAAAACACACAATTACTTGTATCCCTCTGACAAATGAAAATATTGAAAACTTAAGTTGTATGGAAACATAATTTTGATATGTGAGTGACTTACTAAAAACTAAAACTACATGAAAAATAAATCTTTTGGATGTTTCAGCAAATACCATCATTCTTTCAAGTTGCACAAAAACTGTAAAGTTTCCCAGGCAGTAAATCTGAACAAAGTTTTATCAAAATGACAACAGAATGACATATTTTTTCCACATATAAATTTGACAGAATTTGTATTCTTCAATATCATTGAATTTTAGTTTTCTGGCTGAATTTTAATTCCTTTCTCTTAATGACACCTGTCCTGATCTTCTCCTAATCCAACGACACACACACCACAATGCAAAACCAATGCAGTACGATGCCCTGACAACATAACACTACAGTACGATGATATGCTCTCACGGCATCAGGACATCATGTGAACATCGCATCACTGAACTACTTGAGCAAATCCTTCATGTCCGACATAGCCTCCAAAATAGCATCGGCCATCTTGTCTGCTGAAGTTGTCTGGCAGTACTTGTTGCTTGTCACATGGAAATTCACTGAAAATAAATGGATGAAAAAGTCTCTTCATTACCTCATCCATGCACAGCATGTGTCATTCTTTCAAAAAGTAATTACCCGTATTAAATACGTCTTACAAGATGCTAGGACAGTGGAGTGTCAACACACAGCCATTACATTTTAGATTATTTCAGAAATAGGCTGGCTTATTCTTGGGTATTGGACAAATGGACACTGACTTCATATAAATAGAATTGGTAAGAACATTGCTAAAACAGCAATAGATGTGAACTGGCTTATTACCAGCTGTGGGTTTTAGATTGTCAGCTTAATATGGTACACATAATACCTTCACTTAACTTACACAGAGCTGTTCAAACCAAATTATTTTCACTTGGATCCAATCCTTGATTAATCCAATGTCTAGCTTTTAACCACTTCTTTCCTATTTTCTTCCTTTTTTTTAACAGACTATCTCTGTTATTTAATTTTGACTGATGTGTTATTCAACCACTGACAGTGGTCTCTCTTCGTACCCATGGAACATATATGGTTTTTACCATAAGATTGCCGTGATAAGCCTAAATCAACGCAGTAATTATAACGTTAAATCAATTCCTATTTAGAGTTCATCTGCAATAACAGACCACTCTAGACTAAGAAAATATGTCTTTTAAACACAGGTTTGACTGCAACAAAAGAAACACGAGATCACAGAGGGATCTTGGCACCCATCATTGTCTGATCTATATCTGTTCTTTAGAAGTTGGATCTTTTCCCTGATTTCCTCTGGTTTTTCAATTATCTTCTTGAAATTAAAAATCTGTCTAAGAAATAACGATGATAGTCTTAACTGCCAAGTCTAATATGGTTGCCTGTTACTATTTTCGTTTTTTCTTATCATCATTCCCAAAATAAAATAGACACAACCAGGGACAAAGGGAAACATTCACATGAAATTTGAGAGAGATCCATCCCCACTTCTTAAAAATAGCAATACCAAACTTTCATAGTGAAAATCAGAGTAACCCACACGTAATTAGCTATTTTGTTTTTCTGATCTGTCTCAAAATCAAAATCTAACAGACACAACTAGGGACCAACGGAAACTTACATATGAAATTTGAAAAAGCTCCATCTACTAATTTTCAAGAAATAGCAATAACAGAAACTGTATACTGTTAGCAGGACAGAAAGACGACGGGGCAGACATAAGAGTGATTTGAATAATTAAACCCAAACACACAGAGAATAAAATATTTTGAGAAATATAGTACATACACATTTCTTCCCCATATATCATGTAAGACACTCCGTAACCATCAGGTGAGGCTGGAGCAAAGCCACCACCCATGCAGGACGTCTCCATGGTCCACTGGTCAGTGTAGCGTGTCGGGGTCTGTGATGTACTTAGTTTGTCCTGCATCCAGAAACTCTACAATTCCAAACATATAACACAATTCAATTCACATTTTATCAATGAATATATTCTCAATGATCGATTTTCAAATCTATGAGTAAAAGCTGTTCAATAACTGAACAATTTTTTAATGCATGATACAATGAAACGTAGCCTTCCTTTTTTTTGAGATAAATTAAGTAAAATTTTCTAGATTCTCAAAACAGACAAATTCAGCCTGACAGAAAATGATCCTCAATCCCACGTGCCTATTATCATACAGAATATTAACCATATTTACTATTTTCCCATTTAATATTATATATGACAGAATCTACTCTTGAAATATGTATGATTTAATATAGGAAACCACTAAATTACCTTTTATTACATTTTCAAATGAAAAATGAAAAGGAAAAAATGATGAAAATATCAAATGAAGCAGAGTCTGGGAGATATAAGTGTGTTTTTCAACATCAGATAGTTTGATCTAATGTTTGACAACAAGATGACACTATTCTGAATGGCTGCTTTTCAGGGTATTGTAAACCAAATAAGAGAAAACCAGATAGAAATCTTATTCATGACAACCTACACTTCAAGTACTTCCAAACAGGGAAATTAAAGGTAGCAACTAGATAGCACCATTTGGTTGGTCAAAATAACATAAATTTATATAACCACTGAAATATCATCTTTGATGATGAGACAGGATTTTATCAAATTTATAAACTCCTACATTTCCCTGACAAAAATATAATAAATAGAGGTTATTTAATAGTGTCTTCAGCAATAACTTTATTTCACTAGTATGTCCAATATTTTAGTATCTTTCAAGAGTGGGCAGCAACAACGAAAGATACAAAAAAATATTAGACACACTTTCATCAACGAGATATTCCTCTATATTTCACTGGTAAAAATGTAATAAACAGCTTTAATTTTACATGTGTTACACTGATGTAAGAGAAATGAAGATTTATCACCATATATTCATGAACCTGTCTTTCATTCTATCGTTTTAATGTTTCTATGTCATTTACATTAACCATGGTATAGCAGAGAAATTACATGAGACAAGGTATTTCTCAGCCATATCAACTATATGAAATCACAAACACCTCAATGAAGTCCCATATATACTGGTAACAAATCAATGAAAAAGAAATATCCTATTCACACAGTTATGGCAGGTACAACTATCCTTCAGGTGCTTGATGCAGGTACTTCAAATTCTATACAAAAAATTCAACCAATGAACACTTTTATGAGGTAAATAACTAATTGTCACCTTGTCTTGGAACAGAGCAGGGGTTGGTATCTTGAGTTCCTGTGAGGCGGCAAACAGTCCAATGAGATGTCTGTCCCACCCTTGTCCTATGCTGGCATCGACCTTGATCTGAGTCTGATACTGTACCGCCCGCTTCAGAAGCATGATCCGCTGTTCTCGTGTCGCTCGTTCATTCTGCATACTTTTTACCCACTGTTTGGAGTATTCCGAGACTGAACGAATTGTCTCCGTTCTACCGTTAAGGAACATCCTATATATTTAAAGAGAATTTATTAAAATAATTAGTAAACATGCATGAAAAATAATACATTAGCTATTTGCTCTTTTCATTTAATTTAGAGTGAAATAATTAATTTTTGCAGTCGTTTTATTTTTGCGGAATTCCTGGTTACTCTTCATCCACAAATCTATACGTCCAGGAAACAATAAAGAGATAAAAAAAAAAACTGACATGGATTTAAGTACTAGTGAATTTTATGAGCAAAGTTTATCCAATGAATCGAGTGCCAACGAAAATACAGTTTTGTGAAATAAGGACATTTAGACCCCATCAAAATACGACATTTTACAGTATTTGAACGACATGTACAAATAGGCTCATATCAAGCCAAATTTACGTGGACCCTATACCCTTGTAAATCTCAACTCTGGTGAAATCAAGATATATGTAATATGCATCTGTTGTTATTGTTGCTAAAGGAAGACAATGAAGTATTTGCTGCTTTTGTTCTGTAAGCCTGAAGTGACTAACCTTGTTGACGCGGATTCGTAGGTCTTTGGGACTTGGTCGTACAGCCTATAGTAGGCTAACTGTAGAGCCATCTGTAATAAGAATTACTGTTGAGTACTTCATACCAATTGTAGGGTCAATTGATTTTAAACACTCAGATATTCAAAAGACTATATATTATCTGTACACCATAGTTATCTACAATTAGCCACCAGTTATTACAAGGAGACCAAGGACACTCTCAACATGACTGGCTGTTCATTAGGGGCCATAATGCAGCTACCAGAAGCAACAAGGTAACAGGGCCAATATATTTGACTACTTTCTGAAAATCTGGGATGGGCTTATTATTGGACAATGAAAAATCATCGACTGATCATTAAACAGCAATATATAATAGTGGGTGTATCATGACGTATGGGCTTATTACATGATTACAATGGTAGGGATTTCTCATTGTTACACAGCGTTATTTATTGCTATTTATGGACCTCATTCTTATTTGAAATTATTTCATATTCAAGTCACCAAAATTTGCAATTTCCTTCCCAATTCATGAATCTTTTTCCCAAAATGAGGCCAAAATATCTATTTCAAATAGGCGAAAAAAGTTCTGAATGATACACAAGTAATATTCATCCCTGTAAGGACGTCAAACACCAGAATACAATCTCAGAAAAAATTTATCAAAGTTACAAAATTTTTTGCAGAGAATCAACATTACTTCTTACTCAAGTTTAGGGTTTGTGCTACACACAAAACAGCGACTTGTATATGTAAGTTTGCTGACCAGCATATATATATGTATATATATTGGTGGGCTTATTACCTGACATAGACTCAATACATATTCCAAAGATTGATTTTTAAAAAATGACTCATGTTAATATATTCAATATATATTTTTTTGAATCTGTAAATGGATTGAAATCCTATTATAAAGTCTAAATTTTTTTATGGCATCTGGAGACCAGGATTGAAGAAGTAAAACAAACCTGGATGTAACCATCAGGACTCATTCTCTTCTTCTTGATGTAACCTTTCCCATACTCAGGGGACACAACTCTCAGATGAAATCCACCAGCCTGTAAACACGTAAGATGCATTAAAGATTCTGTAGAAGAGCTCAATAATAGAACATTTTAGGAATTAACTTCAAGATCAACAAGCAATGTGTGTGTGTCTACATCAAGAGTTCTCTTAACATATCAATAAGCAGATAGCTGTAGATATATGTATTTAAACAAGAATAATGAGAATTTACAAACTTTATGTGAATTTGGATTGTCACAATCACAATGGTGACATTGTACAAAACTGTTTGACATCTTGTGTATATGATACTTTTAAGTCTATATCTAAGTACTGCCAATGAATGCTAAAACCCAGCAACAGGTTTTCGAGAAGGTGACTCCATACCATTCCATGTCTGTTCCCGGAATCAAACCCTGGACATCTATAGGAACAGTGAGAACATTATCACTGTGCCATCCGACACCCTTTCTATCTAATGATTATCTACACAAACTAACTTATTATAACAGTAAAAATCAGCATCAGCAGCAACTGAAAATTCTGTTATCATTGTCTTCAATGATATATATTTTTTATTTTGTTTGTTTTTATAACCAACATTATCTAAACCTTTAAGGAAATTTATAAATTACCTACCAGTTTTCTGTAATGTTCAACTGCTTCTTCCAAATCTTCCTCAAATCCAGTCATGTCCCATTTCAACCTGCAAGAATTAAGATATAGAAAATATAGATAAATGAAGTACATTGTTTTCTCATGAAAATGAAAGAAAACTTTATCAGCTACTTCTCTTCTTAAATCTTCCTTCTGTATAATACAGATAACAAATCAGTTAAGTTCTTGATATCGAACACATCCTTTTTTTCCTTTTTTTGAGTTTAACCAGCCTCATATTTGAATTAATAAGGTGTAATTAATCTGAACAATCAATAGACATACAATATACATTGTATAACTCACCTTTCCGCAGAAGGAATTTTCTTCTTACGAGACCTCTCAGCAATGATATTACCATCCTTGGTGTACTTCTCATTCTGTAAGTAGTATTCCCACATTCTGCCTGGAAGCTGAAAATTAAGTCATGAAATAAGTACACACATACCTTTTATATTTTCTGATAAGGTATATGCAATATTGAAAATCAATGTAATCTGTCGTTCAAACATTTCCTAAATTGTATATATATCTAATTCTAAAAAGAAAGCAAAATACTGTTTTTTTTTATGATGTGACATTCATATAATTTGCAGACTGCTATTTGTATTTTGGTATACCAGTATTATGCATCGAAGACAATTCATATATATTTAAAATATTATTCAGTAACATTGAAATTTCATCATTCTTCATGTTTTATCATAAGTTCATTAACATTGTTTTATAGTATATACATATATATAATGAAATTACTTTCAAAATGACTAATGGAATATTTTTCATTCCCAAAATCAAGAAATTATCTCCCCATTATCAGGTAATGCACATTAATTAAGAGACCAGTATTACCACATTATTATCATAAATGCTTGTTTATTGTGCCTGGGACAAGATGTTTAGAAATTCCTAGCTTACAGCGTCCCAACATTTCTACAAAGACTATAGTAAGTAAGGCTAAACAACAAAAATTATAAAAACATTGATGTTAACACAGGTATCTATTGAGCAAAATATCGGGTCATTATAGCAGTTTTTAATTTTGACAAAAATGCCATTTCATGCAATAAATTCCCTTCATGATCAGTTACTGACTCTCTGTAGAACCAATGAGGCAAAGATGCAATGAAACACTCCAGCTTTATTCAACCCCTACCCCTGTACTAAGCCCCTACACCTAACCTGAACCTCCATATCCCTATTCTTAACTCCCACTACGAATGGGAACCCCTCTATCCCTGTCCCAAACCACTACTCCAAGCCTGAACTCTTTCTTCTTCCAAAACCACCACCACTAACCTGAACTTCCCTATCCCCTTCCTAAATCCTTACCCCTAGTTTGAACCCCACCTACCCCAGGCCTAAACCTCCACCCCTAACTTGAGTCCCCCTCACCCAACCTAAACCATCAGCCCTTACCTAAACCCTCTTACCCCTTTCCCAAACACCTGCTCCTAGTCTGAACCCCACTACCCCATTCTAAAATTCCAACCCTAACTAGAGTCCCTCTACCCCTATCCTAAACCCCTGCTCCTAGTCTGAACCCCCCTACCCCTATCCTACACCCTAACCCTAACTGGAGTCCCCCCTACCCTCATCCTAAACTCCCACCCTAACTGGAGTCCCCACTACCACTATCCTAAACACCCACCCTTACATCCCCAAGAAACACTCTTAACAGGTTATATAAAGGATCAATACGTGACAAGTCATGCATGTTAGTAAGGATGCAACAAAATCTTGAAAGGAAGTAATTTAACTACATTTCATTTCTAGGTTCTGTCCAAAATCCTCTTGATTGAGAGATTTTAGGACTATCTGGTTGAAATAAACAAGCATTTTAAACAGAGTTATGTCCCTTAGTATGATTATTTTTATAGGGATGACAAAATCTAATAATGATAATAATCAACAGAAGTGGTACACTACTGCTGTTTTCATAAGAACAAGAGACCACACAGGGATCTTTTCCCCTCTGCCCTCTGTTTTGGTCTTAATTGTAGGAAATTTAAAATTTCCTGTATGACATAGCAATTTTAATCTTTGAATGCCTTTTTTTCAAGATGGTTGCTGGTTTGCCACTTTTCTTTTTCTTATTGGTTGCAAAAACAAAAGGGCGCAACTAGGGACCAAGAAAATCATATATGAAATTTGAGACAGATCCATCAAATACTTCACAAGAAATAACAATAACAAACTTTCATTTTCAAACTTCAAAATTGCAGCCTGTTTTTGTTTTTGTTAATCAGTCCTAAAACCGAAGTGTACATCTAGGAACCAAGGGGTCTCCACCATATGAAATTTGAAAAGGATCCATCCTGTTACTTCTCAAGACATAACACTAACAAACCTTCAATGTCAATATCCAACATGGTCGCCTATCAGCCCTTTAGTTTTCCTAATAAGGTACAAAATTTATTAGCTCATCTTGGGAAAAAGGGGTCCCTATAAATGCAATTTCAGAAAGATACATCCAGCACTTCTCAAGAAATAGTGATAACACACTTTCTTTCTCAAAATCCCTGACAGCCATTTTGTTTTTCTGATCAGTCCCAAAATTAAACCGACATAACTAGGAACTAAAGGGAATCTACATCTGGAATTAGAGAATTATCCATCACACACGCCTCAAGAAATAGCGATAATACATTTTCATAGTCAAAATCCAAGATGGCCACCTGTCTGCCATATTGTTTTTTCTGATCAATCCCAAAATCAGATAGGAACAAGTAGGGACCATAGGGAACCTACATATAAAAAATTTGAAAATCCAGCCAGTAATTTCTCTGGATACAGAAATAACAAAGTGTCATTTATGGATGGATGGATGGACAACAGACAACGGACATCGGGTAATTGGAATTGCCCAACAATTGATGATGGTGGGCTATTAAAATGATAACTGACCTGATGGATATTTTCTTCACATTTTCAAAGCAATAAATAGTGATGATAATAAATGCAACAATGATGACAATGAATATTCGATATAGATATATATAGATATACATACATACTGGTATAATCACTATGCCCAAGACAACACAACACATGCAAAAGATAGAGGGAAGTTTTATCATAGTTTCTATATATAGTTTTCTGCTGGAGATCATGATGACAATTTCAAATGTTCATGTATGTGAACATATTTGAACTTTTCAAAAATAAAAATATAATAGTAACAGGTATCCTGTTGAAAGCTAGTGGTATTATATAGATATATCACTGTAATTTATCTTGTAATAAGCCCAGGAGGCCACACACAAAAATAATGATATTGAATATCAGGAGTAACATGTTCAATTTCAATAGTTTTTGCAATAGATTTAATGTTATATATAGATTATGTTTTGGCAATTAACAAAACTTGAAAAATTGGCTGTTATTTGAAAATAAATTAATGCTACATTCCATCACCTGGCCCCAGTTGTTCATGTTTTGGCAATTAACAAAACTTGAAAAATTTGCTGTAATTTGAAAAAAAATTAATGCTACATTCCTTCACTTGGCCCCAGTGGTTCAAAGGTTAATCAGACCTGACAGGTGGTTAGTGAAAATTCACAGTGTCATCATTAAAAATACAAGAGCAAATTTTACACTCAAAAGTATCAATATGACCTGTCAGGACAAATTTACAAATGATAAAGAATTCTCTTTGATTATGTTAAAAATTTTCATGAATCAATGATTTATCGGGACATGATGTTGTACCAAAATGTTTGGTAATACTGCAGAACAGCTAGAAAGAGGTTTTCACTAGAGGTGGTAACATTTGCCAGCCTGTTACGAAAAGTCTAAAAATATTACTTAAAGTGGAGGGTGGGTATATCTAAGGACAACGAAATTGCATTTTTAAACAATTTTACTAACTGCAGTTGAGATGGTTGTGCTTATGATCAGGTACAGTCTTAATTCCAGGTAATTTTTTTTTAATAATGTCTTTCATAAAAATTCCCTCATCTTTCTTAGCAAGCAAATTCAATGAATATACCAACAGCAATGCAGGATACACATTTGTCATAAATATAAACAGAATAACCAGCTAGATATACATGGATTGTACAATGCTATACAGATATCCAAAGCAAAGACAACCCCGACACCAGTGGTATAATGATACAGGGTTAAAGGTCACGATGCTACTCAACTGTCTGGTGCATGAACTTACTGTGGCATCAGTGCAACTGTGTTCTCCGTTACAACCACTTACACCATTGGTGCAAATAGTGAACGAGATGGATTTATCATACCACCTGTTGGGGGGAAATTAGCAACCAGAACTTTTTAGAGAGACAGATAAAAAATTGTCAAAACACTATAAATAGTAACACATGTATCCCGAAATTCTTGTCGCCAATGTGTTTGAAACTGTGATGAAGAAAGAGTAAGCATTAGCATTGAATGCCATTTTGACCTCCATATACAGACGACCTGTGTCAATTCCATCTCAAAATATTTGTGTGAACTTAATTTCAAATTCCTTGCTCAGTAGTTTCAATGCTGATGTCATCAGCAATACTGTATTGTCAATATTAACAAAATATATATTTAAATGTGAAGATAACAAGAAAAACTGTGCTCAAGTTTCAAAGTAACATTTTAGAGTCTGATTTTGGTTTAGAAATGTCCAGATCTGACTGTATTGGTGTCACTATGGCCTCAAGAGTGAGACATTCACAGCCCTGAAGATTCAAAATATGTTCAGGGTTAAAGGTCAAATGCTGTAGTTATAACGGCAGACACAATTCTCATGAATTTTATGTACAAAGCAAAGAAAAACAAAAATCTCAAAGAAAATGTTTAAAACCTACAAAAAAAAAAAAACACCAAACAAACAAACAAACAAACAAACAAAACAAGCAATGTGGAAAGGATCAAAATATTCAGTCAATTAAGTGCCTGAATGCATTTAAGTATAATGTATACCTGTCTACTCTAAACATTTCTAAAGCAGTGAATTTTTTTTAAAAAAAATCAGTATTTCTTATAATCAAGCATTTAATTAATTCTGTGTATATTTGCATTTGTAACTATCGGTACATTTCATAAACTGTGACATTTAAGCAGTCTTTTTAAATTTGGTCTTTTCATCGTTTATTTATTTGCTGATAATATTGTACATTTGTATCAATTCCGCAAATGGCACTTAATTCACAGATTTACAGAGAATACAAATCCAAAGCTACATACTAGACACGCTACAACACATACAGTTAACTTCAGGTAAATCTGTGTAACTGAAGCAAACTAAAAATTCATTAGCATGTGAGTGCATGTGTAATATATAAAATACAGTGATTACAGAGTGCTAATAGTGCGTATACAGGTTAAATGTTGATTAGCTACTACGCGTGATTAAAGCTAAAACTACAGGTAAGTCAAACAGGTGTGCAATTAAGGTCATTGATGCCAGGTAAGTCAAACTTGATTTAATTTTCAGTCAAATTTGATTTAATTTTCAGTCCAACTTGATTTAATTTTCAGTTGAACTAGATTTAATTTTCAGTCGAATTTGATTTAATTTTCAGTCGAACTTGATTTCATTTTCAGTCGAACTTGATTTAATTTTCCTTTTTAGATACTTTGATATAAATATCTGAGGTCACTGTGATATCATTTTGGAATTCTTCGCACTGAACATTGTGCTATAATATGATTGCATTAATTCTCTATGTTGTTTACATCACAATATCATGGTAAGACATAAATTGATCATTGTGTTAATGTGCCAAAAAGTACTAGTGCACCAATATCTGGTTGTATGCACAAAATGAGGTAAATTTATAGTACCTAGTGTGGATATCAAGCCAAGTTAAATTTTTTTTTTTCAAAAAGTAAGAATAAATTCATGTAAAAGTTAAAATTTCTGAAATCAAGTTCTCTTAGTTCTCTTTCAAAAATTGAATTCCAGATATGATTTTATAAAAATGTTGAACCAGCTCGACTTCCTGACTTGTACAGTGAAATCTCATAGTTCAGAAAGAAGTACCTTCCCCAGAAAAAATGAAGGAAAAGCAGAAATGAATTATCCAAACAAAACTGGGTTTGTTACTTTAGATTTTTTTCCAGGGATTAAATCAATGAACAAGATTCCACTGTAACTTAACCTTAACTGTAAATCATATTCAACAGGCGAGTACTATATAAAATGGTGATACAAGTCATGTTATGCAAGTTGTAAACACTGTCAAATGAAAGGTGACTATCAGGCCAGGAAACTCACTGTAGCATCACCTGCCGAGTGCTCCACATTCACGCCCGTTTTACCGTTAGCAAATATGGGAAACATCATTGACTTGTCAAACCATCTGTCCAACAGGAAGTGATATGTCAAGGTCACAAGGAAGGTCAACAACAAAATAAACTAAATCATATTGTAACAAATGGTACATCAGTTAATATGTATCCATTACGTAAAATAAACATTATCTACAATGAAAATCAATTTAATAAGCTTAAAATAAAATTTGATTTTCTAGATATGAAAAACTTAACTTGCTGAATCATATTTTTCATTAAATTCAACTTAAAATTATTACTGTCCATTCAGCATTTCTGATAAAATTTTCATTTTTCTATCATTACAAAAAAAAAAAAAAAAGTGATGGAGCAACATTGAAAAAAAGAAATGAGAAACAGAAATGAAGAAGCCAGTATATATGATGGATGAAAGATGATTGGTTATATTACTAAAAAACAAATTAATCATAGACTCATTACACCCCTCCCCCACCCAATCAAAACTTATCATATTGATCAGACAAATGAGAGACACTAAGACTGGAAATGATGGTAACTTGTCTGCGAAATAGTGTAAGGCAATTTTTATGCCCCCTAAGCCCAAAGCTTGTGGTGTAAATGTATAATATTAACAGTGAGCAGCTTCCTGAAAAATGTCCAGTCACTTGGATCATATATTTATGTCATCAAAGTTGTGTTAACACATAAATGTTAAAGAGTTGACAAAACCAAAGAATTTACATATCAGGGCAAGTTAAGCGTGATCGAAAGAACCTCTTTCTGAGCAGATTGAAAATTACGAATCTAAACAATAAAAGAGATAATTCTCGAAACAGATCACTAGCCATGGAGCGACAGTGATTTGATAATATCACATGTACAGGCTGATGACAAGACATCAGAACCACAGCTCTACTTGTCCATAGTAGATTCGGTATCATCAGTAACTAAGAAAGACGTACCAGAATCCTGAGCTCCATTATAGAATCATTAAACAGGAGCCAATAAGCTCATAACTTTATATTACAAGGTAACAATGAATGGACTACAATTTCACTTTTCTTAAATCAACCTGTTTGTGATTTCCAACCAAATATGATTACCTGTGCCTAGTCTACTTAACATGCAGAAAATAGGATTTTTTACCTCCATATTACGTAAGTTATCTGATCCTGAGGGACATATTTTTTAAAGTTTAAACGCAAGGCTTTTGCCGAGGGCTGAACTTCCTGATTATTGAGAAAACTCAGTTCACATTACACAGAGACCATTGTTTTTCTCCCATACATTCCAATTGGAATATATAGTGTTGTCATAATCTTTATACTTTGAACAACTAATAAATAGCCAATGACACGTGTTGAATTTCTGAAATGGGTAAGTTGATACAATTTGCATTTTGGAGTGTTTCTCCATTATTTAAGGTATGACTAGATGTACATCAACAAAGGATATCGAGTAGAACTAGACCTCCTTGTGTTAACTAGACTGTGATAACATAAACATAGCGATCCATTTCGTCATTACGTCAGTATAATACCTAGGTATATACAATAAATGGACTGTACAACATAGTAATATAATAATAATGTGATGACCTTCAAAGCATGATTAGTGAAAAAATGTCCTCCAAAAATGTCAGCACAGAGCAATCAATGAATGACAATTAATTTTTATCTAATAGAAAATGTTCTTAAGTTCTATCTAGAATTTTCTAAATCATTATATTTGAAAATAAATTTTTGAGATTTTAATTCCTTTTGAAAAGACTTTAATTCAAGGCAATTTTTACGATTATGGTTGATGGCATATTGACTAATGTTTTACAAACAGACAAATTATTTACTACACAAAACATTTGACTTCATTTCTCTCACTGGGACATAATTTTAGTGCCGGTGTGGTATGATCTGATATTGTGGTATGTGATGTCATGCTCTATGATCTTCACCAAGTACATAGTTACTATAGATATCACCGTGTTATGAAAACCGAATCAAATACTGAACACAGGGAATACATTGTTAGTGTCTTAAAATATCAGCTGTATTTTGGCGAGGGTGAAGAAAGACAAAAGCAGGAAGCCTCTGGTAGGCAACTTTTGTCTCTCTGCCTTGAGCCAAAATGCAGCTTATATTTTAAGACACTGGCTATGTATTCTATTTATCCTGCAACACTGATTGAAAATCAGACCATCAAAACTTGACAATGAATTTTGCCTGATGATGTGCTCTGTACGGAAATGTAGCTCAAAACTTCAATGGATATGACAGTGATTTTATGAATTTTTGTAAATAAACTTGTTCATTACAACATATAAAATAGCTTATTTCAACAATTATTTATATTGTTAAATGTAATTTTAAAATAAATTCAGAAAGTAATTCTGTCAAATGCTAAAAAATGCAGCTGTTTTCGATCACTGTCGAATACAACAAAAATATATGCGGCAGTTGTATTCTGACAATGGCAGAGCCAGTTGCAGAATAAAAAAACATGTATCCTGGCTTCCATGTTTATAAACTTGTGTAGATCAAATAACGGCAGATTACATAAATGGCGAAAATCATATTTTTTTTTTGTTTCGGTTCAAGATACTTATATAACTGCATGACATCACATTTCTAATTGTAAAGATGTCAGAACAATTTTGGAGGACATTTGATCTTGACTTTGGCAGTATCTGTGTACACTAAATACATATGATATACGTCTCCCATGAACATAAATAGTGCTTGATGATTATGAAATACATGAGTTAAAGTTTCAGAGTGCTACCACATTACCATATAAATACATCGAATGTTATTCTCAACTTAATGAAAATTTTTTTCAAATTCAGTTTTTTCATAATAAATGATATCAAAGTATACTAAAATTCCGAAGCCAAACAGTTATTTCAAACACTTTTCAGTTTAAGTCTGCAGTTGAAATTTTCAAATATTTTCAATGTGCTACTGTGGTTAGCATTTTGAAAATCTAATTTTACATTTTCATATACTATGATCGTTAACATGTAGAGATATTATTCTGACAAGGAATTTTCGAAGAATTCCTTTGTGAATATTATCTTAAATAAAACGCCTTTAAAATACTGGTAAAGAAATAAAAGTATCTGCAAAGTCATTATTTCAAGAAATTTTTTATACATTTAAATTTTAAAACAATTCTTGACTTAATCAAAAATTTGGTTACACAATTAATTAGACATTTCAAAAAGAAAACAAGATATTGACAAGAAAATACCTAATTACTTTGTTTTTCATTGCTGCATGATGAAGCGGTGAAGATTTTTATTGAAGTTTGCTGGTACTGAACTTACTAATGTTTGGCAGCTAACAAATCATCTATATGACTTATCACATAGACATCACACTACTAAACAGAATTTGTATAGATAAGTTTCCTTCTAGGTAATTCTATCTTACTTAAATTTTTACCTGTTGAATCCATTTCCAATCATGATGTACTTTCCATTATCTTCAATTGTCTGAAAAGACACAGAATAAACAGGTTGACACTCAACATCATCTTATACAAATCCTCACAGTAAGGTATTTTAGTGTCTTCAATTCAGGCTATGAATGGACCATAGAATAAATCAATATTAATCTTAATAAACCCAATTTACACACAACCCCAAAAAAAAAATTAAACCCAATCAGGCCTTATCTGAATAAATTTCATTTCAATTGTTATTTTAAAAAAAATTGTTATCCTATTTTATCTACAAGGTGAAGTATGACTTTGTACCATTTATACATAATTATTTTATATAAATTACAGTCAAACTTAAAATATGATGTCCTGGTCACATTTATTGCATAAAATTAGTTTAATTCTGCAATTTTTGTGTTCTCACCAATATTTAAATTAAAAGAGATGGAACAAAAATGACCTATAAATGCTATCACACTTTATACAAAGTATAACTTAAATGTGTTATTGGTTGATACATGTATCCTGTTATGCAGTACAGTATCAGATAATAGTATTTCCTATCTATCATCATTTTACAACAACCGTAGATCATCAAAAGAGTAGCAACCTTTTTTTTCAAACTACATTGAAATAGAAAATGTAATTGACTTTCTTTTCGGGGAATAAAAAACGTAACCGAAAACAAAAAAGTTGTTAAATAAATCAACAACGTTCCAACTTACTGTGGGCAGGTCTTCATCCAGAAAAACAAGAAATATGGCCGATTCCACATCTTCTATGCTCTTTTTATTAAGTTCACTTTCAATCATTCTTGTACGTATCTGCAAACAAAAGTCATAGTTATGTAAAAATAACAGTGAATAATAAAATATATTATAATTATTATAATGAAGGAAGAAGGTCCTTCTGCAGCCACAATATATTGTAACAAGCCTATGCCCAGTATTAAGCCCACCCACATCCAAAGCAGTTTCATTACAAAAGCCATATCATCCTAAATCACTGTCCAGTTACAAACCAGTTATTGATCCACTTGGAGTCGGAGATATAGATGTATTAACCTTGTGGTCTTATCGCAGAATAAATTCAATATCCATGTCCAAACAAGAGATAAATAAAAAAAATGTAAAAAAAATTTCAGCTTTCTTTCCCAATTTTGAAAATGTTTTACTTATTGTTATGATCAATAAGTACAGGGGCACCTTTCTCCGGCTCTCACTTCCCTTTCTGATTCAGAATAATTTTCATTGATAACTGCTTTGTTTAATGTCAGAAGGTAGTACTCACATCTGCCCATTTGTCTCTTTTAAGTGCTGTAAATACAGCTGCTTGGGTGCTGTCTGTTGATTCTACAATACAGAACAGTACATTTATCGAATTTATTTCTCGATAAAACTCTGTTAGACAAATTACATAAATGTATCACACCCTCTGATAACCATTCCTGATTTATTCAATTCTATACACTCAAACAACACTGAAAATCACATTGCTGTCACTAACTTCAAATATATATATTACTACATTTGATATCCGAATATTTTTTTCTTTATAAGAAATAACAAACAAAACCTATATTCTATTTATTTAGTAAAATAATGTTTCTGATTTTAAAGAAAATCAAAATAAATTTGAATTTAAGATCAAACCTTCTGCATCTTTAAGAATATGTTCCATGATGGGGAGGATTTCTGCCGGAGTAAGTAGTCGATCCTTTCCATCATTATCAGGTGCATAGACAGGTAATTTGTAGTAACTTCCTTTTCTGTAGAAACAAACGTTTTTCATGATAATGAGTGAAACAGAACTACTGCAATAATTAATCTATGAAGTTTGAAATTTCATTCAGTTGAAAAGAAATCCCTTTTCAGTCTTTATCAAACGTATGTTATGTGCTCTTGGTTTCATTGATAATGTTTATTCTTTTTGAAACTTTTTTTGACAGAGAAGAAATATAAGTAACTGAGGAAAGTATCACTGCGTGATATCTTATATACGGGATAGCAAATATTTTCAAAATCATAATATATATTATGTAAATTACAAATTAAGTCTGTTTTTATCCTTTACCTTAATATCACAATATGCTTTGAATCCTTCCAGGTAACAAGTTCGTCTACATGTTTACCTGGTATACGTGAGGTACAAAACTGCATTCTGAAAAATATCACAAGTACAGTATAATTACCTGTAACTTTTAATACGTATCTTTTTATCAGTATAATTACCTGTAACTTTTAATACGTATCTTTTTATCAGTATAATTACCTGTAACTTTTAATACGTATCTTTTCATTAGTATAATTACCTGTAACTTTTAATACGTATCTTTTTATCATTATAATTACCTGTAACTTATAATACGTATCTTTTCATCATTATAATTACCTGTAACTTTTAATACGTATCTTTTCATCAGTATAATTACCTGTAACTTTTAATACGTATCTTTTCATCAGTATAATTACCTGTAACTTTTAATACGTATCTTTTTATCAGTATAATTACCTGTAACTTTTAATACGTATCTTTTTATCATTATAATTACCTGTAACTTTTAATACGTATCTTTTCATCAGTATAATTACCTGTAACTTTTAATACGTATCTTTTCATCAGTATAATTACCTGTAACTTTTAATACGTATCTTTTCATCATTATAATTACCTGTAACTTTTAATACGTATCTTTTTATCAGTATAATTACCTGTAACTTTTAATACGTATCTTTTTATCAGTATAATTACCTGTAACCCTCCATACATATTGGTATAATTACCTGTAACCCTCCATACATATTGGTATAATTACCTGTAACCCTCCATACATATTGGTATAATTACCTGTAACCCTCCATACATATTGGTATAATTACCTGTAACCCTCCATACATATTGGTATAATTACCTGTAACCCTCCATACATATTGGTATAATTACCTGTAACCCTCCATACATATTGGTATAATTACCTGTAACCCTCCATACATATTGGTATAATTACCTGTAACCCTCCATACATATTGGTATAATTACCTGTAACCCTCCATACATATTGGTATCATGTCCTGAAGAAACTGTGGTTTTAATGTCTCTTCCAGGATGCTTTCGTGAAATCTGTAACAAAAAATCGGATTCAATATAAATGTCCTACAATTCCACGGGATCACAGCCATTATCCTACTTAACCCTGCGTTTTTATATTGTATTTTAGCAAATTTATCCATCAATATGAATAAGCCACTAGTCACATGGGCTTGTAAAGGAATAAAAATTGTATATGTTAAGGAAATTCTAGATCCTCCAGATTTTTTTGTGAAAGGATTAAACATGATAAAATAATATCACATCCATCAAGATTTTCCTATTACGACATAGGCCTAGAGGCAATAATCTTAACCAGTCACCTAAGTATCCAGTGTGTAAGGTTTGATGCTCTGGCTGCCTGGTTAGTGGAACAAGCATCCTTCCTGTCGGTCGCATAACAGTTCACGTTCACTGTGGGTAGAATATTGATATATCATCACTAACGCTAAAATATTTGTATTTTCACATTTATTTACCAAGAGAATAAGATCCAGAAACATGCATGCTGTAACGGATTTGTGAATGAGACACAGTCTTAGTGCACAGTGTATATAAGACTCTCTCAAGTTTAATGTGATACAATATGATTAAATATTTTTATTGAAACATTTGATGCTATATCAGGTACACAAGTTGATGTAGAAAGAAATTAATCTTTTACAGTAATCAAGTAAGGTTATATCACAAGACTTGTCTTTACTCATCAGTGAAAGACATCAGACATTCAACTTTTTAGTATTGAATCTAAATCTTGTAATAAAGCTGACCCACAATTCATTATAAATGTATTGAACTCTTCCACTGTGTATTTTTCACAAAACTGTATCTGAATGTCATTAAAGAAATCAAATTTTATAAACAAAGTTTATATTTTTTTTAAACTGTCCATATAACATAGGGAGCAATGACTCCGTTTATCAAGTTACATGTATATATAAGTGTTCTGGTTTGTTATGTAAAGTTTGAAATAATGAAAATGAAATAGAGAGACCAATAATTGAGGTCAGATTTGATTTGTCAATCAACAAATACAGACAATCGATGCAAGGTGATTACAGTATATATAGAACTCTCAGTCAACAAACTATCATACTTCACCATCCACAGACTCTCACAGGATACTTCACCACCCACAGACTCTCACATGATACTTCACCACCCACAGACTCTCACAGGATACTTCACCACCCACAGACTCTCACATGATACTTCACCACCCACAGACTCTCACATGATACTTCACCACCCACAGACTCTCACATGATACTTCACCAACCACAGATTCTCACATGATACTTCACCACCCACAGACTCTCACAGGATACTTCACCACCCACAGACTCTCACAGGATACTTCACCACCCACAGACTCTCACAGGATACTTCACCATCCACAGACTCTCACAGGATACTTCACCACCCACAGACTCTCACATGATACTTCACCACCCACAGACTCTCACATGATACTTCACCACCCACAGACTATCACATGATACTTCACAATCCATAGACTCTCACATGATACTTCACCACCCACAGACTCTCACATGATACTTCACAATCCACAGACTCTCACAGGATACTTCACCACCCACAGACTCTCACATGATACTTCACCACCCACAGACTCTCACATGATACTTCACCATCCAATGATTCTCACATGATACTACACAACCACTAACTCACAATCTACTAACTATTGTAATACATAATGATCCAAATCTCTAATTATATGTTGTGATATCCTACTTGCATGGTTATATTTTTGTACAACATTTTATCTGAATATGCCATTTGATTTATAGAATTGTAATTGCGATGATGCAACGTATATTTTTTTTAACGAATCAATATCTAAAGATATGGCCTCAGGCTATTCAACTTGTTGATTAAACAAAACAACATCACAAAATAACCTCCAATCAAATATGTTGCCATGGAAACAACACTTAGTTTAACGTCATTCAGAATACGTAATAACACTTAAAATATTAAATGCCATTTGACGTTCCTGTCTTTTCAGATCTATTTTAATGAAAGAAATTCAATATTTCAAAACTGCCTCCATTTTAGCCAACAAGAGAGAGTACACTGAACTGAAATTGATTTGTCTATGACATTTTAATATCCTTGACAAGACAATGTGGAGATGAAAAGAGCAGCAGAAATGTGATACACTCACATGTGAATCAGTGTTGGTGCTGCATGAGTATTCAAAGAGGTGTTTGATTATCTATAATATTGGTGGTTAACATACTGAGAGTCTACTGCATGGTACCACTGTTTGTTCTCCGTAAGATCAAAGCTCATACCATGTAAAAGTTTGCCTATCAATATTTTGCCAGCATGTGTGAAAGTATTGATCCTGGAAAATGTAATGACTCATAAAAGATTCTGATGAGAAATTTATGTAAATAAGATGCTAGATATGGTATAATATAGGCATCATATCAAAACTTTTAATGATCCTGGTTGGTGTGTACATTGAAGTGTTAAATGTAATATTCTGGATGATACTGCTATACAATATGTATATATATCAGTAATACAGTTATATATAGGGCTTCTAAAAAACAATCTTAAAACAGGTTTATTTCTGTATAAAACAGACAGAATAACTCCTTATTAAGTACACTACTGGGGAAAATAAAAACACTGCATGGAGAACTTTAGGCCAAAATATAGGTCAATAGTGAAATAAGTGGTAGAGATTTTTCTCAAGGATGAAAAAAAAATCTGACGTCTTTTTCATATTCATCACTCAGTCTTTCCAACACATACAGTATCTGTGTATAAGTTAAGACTTTTCTTACAACCTAAGTTTTACTAATACATATACATGTAACACATCTCACAGAAATTTTTTTTTCATCGCCACCTCTCTCACAAATCATTACTGTGTGATATCTCCTGTAAACTGAATGGACGTGTGTGTGAGATATAAAAACTAGGGATATGTATACTACACAAATCTGATGTGAAGTAGTTTAAAGACATTTCCTGTTAAGTGAAATTGCCTTATTGAGAGTGTTCAAATATTTCCTTCCGTCTTCCTTCCATGGGAGTGAGTATCAGTTTAAATATGACTAAGATTATTCTTCCCCATTACTGAGTGACTTCCCCCAATGTCACACCTATGTCACTATTCACAACTTAGGATTTGAACACACACTTCCTGTGTCAGGAAATAACTACATACTTGTACACATGTGTAGACATTTACAAACAGATCATTTGCATCAACAGAGATAGTTAATATTATCTAGACATCACAAAAGCTATTTGTTAAATATTCTGAATAAAAATAATGTATGCACGTTCCTTTAATTCTCATCATATAAAACAAACAGCCTAGCCTGGGCACCTCAAAAAAAATTCATTCTTTGAAAATTCTTCTTTTAGCTATTCTTAAATTTCCTATTTCCTGTTCAATTACAAAAATTCCTCCACTGGTTTAAGAAAGAGAATGTCAGTGTTTTTTCTCTTGAATATTTTACTTGTTCAATTAACACTTAAATTAATTATTACAAGGTAACAATATAGCTTTGAGTCAAATAAATTCTATTGATGCCTATGCCAACAAAAGTCATTTCATTGGTCTGTAAATGACATTGCATAAGCTAATATCAGTAATTGTATTTATAGATACGTAATATATACAAATGGTCAACATTTAGATATATATTAGTAAGTGTGTATTATATGTAGTAATATTGCTTATCACTAATATATATCCTTAGGGTATTTAATATCAGAATTCCTATTGGTGTAGTCCTATTTCATGAAATTTATTTTCATTTTCAGCAAATGATTCATAGTCATTACAGTGTGCTATACTTATAGAAAGCCATGGAATTGTTTATATTTAATCAATATGAGTTGAGACTGTACAATTATTTGATCCTTAATTAAGAAGGGATACTCATTACCAGACCATATCTATTCGCTTTACTGAAAAATTTCATTATCGAACTGATGTTACAAAATTAAACAAACAATACCAGCAGAAGGTTCCCTGTAGCTGAGATAGGCCAGGTTCAACCAGTAATTTGTCAGCCAGTTTTCCTCTGTGGCAAACCTGTGTAAAAGCATGTATGTCGTATAAGATGGCAATAATATACAAATAACAAATTATAATTTTTAATAATTATAAAAGTAATATTCTTAAATACTGTTAAGTTTATTTTCTTTTTTCTTTTAATTCTCCTAACCATAGATCCACTAGTGACCATAACATCAATTTAGAGTGGTTTGGTGGTAAAGTGGTAACACACTTGCCATTCATCAAGATGTCTAGGGTTTGATTCCCAAAACAGATTTGAAAAGGTGAGAAGGGGTCACCTTCCCTGCCATGTGGGTTTTGACAATGTATTTTGGTTTCCTCCCACAATAAGACCCCTTTCAAGCTTACATCCAGGCCAACAAGAATGATTAGTATAAGCTGAAATAACTTCTTTCACAATTTATATTAAAGGATAGAACCCACACCATTGCCATTAGAAGGTGTGAGCTTAAATAAGGCCGTTAGAAGGTGTGAGCTTAAATAAGGCCGTTAGAAGGTGTGAGCTTAAATAAGGATGAATCAATCCACTGGAGGTGGGTTCTTCAAAGTTTTATTTAGTAGTTGGTCTACCAGTTTCCCCCCTAAATCTGGGCTTTTATCAGGAGAAGAATACCATTATATTCATCTCCTAAAGTACATTTCAGGCAGGCAGATCCAGAATATTGATTGTGACGTATACATCTAACAACGATTACTCTCATAACCATTCCTGTCCACTGAAATTGTTCAGTGTTATAATCTAATTGTTAAAATCCTTTACGATTATAGTAAAAATTATATCATGTAAATTATTTCGTAATTATAAACAGAAAAGACATTTAATGTTCATCCAAACACACTGTCGAAGAGGATTCCCACCGATAGTTTAACTTTCTTTCGCAAATGTTGCGTAAAATAAATAAAAACTGAACATATATTACACATCACACAAATTCCGGAAAAACAGAGCTTTTAACACTACAAAATGCATATGGCAAGAATTCATCAGCTATTAATCTTTAGTAAGTAAATCTATATTAGATCTAACTAAAGACAGTAGCATGTAATTGCAATAAAAAAATTCTTTAAAGCAAATCCTTTCTCTTTCCAATTATCATGAGGTTAACATTCACACATATAAAGGTCAAACATTTAGGAAATGTTTTTACATCAAAGAATGTTCAATCGCTTTATTGTGGGACTTTAACATGTTTTAACACAGCAGCTGTTTTTATAGATGTTCTGACCTACGATTTCTTATTTTTTTTAATTTTTTTTGCTTCACTATTCAGAAGTCAGCTTTCTTAACTGTAATGGCTATAGCTATTTATAACTTACTTTTGAAGCAGGTGTTTTTGAAGAGTGGGACCTTCTTTCTCCTTGAAAGACAACACTGCTGTTAAGAGGTTCATGAAGTCTTCATCTGACAGTAGGGGTCTCATCGATGTCAGGTACCTAAACAAACAAAACAAATTGATCAATTGTCATTCATATCATTCCTTTTAAGAAAGAAGACATTTTTTAAAGAGATATTTTAAGAAGTGAAGTAACAAATTGTTTGCTAATTGGTAAGAAGAACCCGGAGTGATATTTTTAAAAAAGTTTTCTAATTGTCAGCATCAAGCTATCACTTCTGTGGTCAGTTCAGACGAACAGATCTGGTGGAAATACTACATGCTAATTTATGTTACAGCACATGTATAAACACATTTTATCAATTGATGATTTTGAAAGTGAAACTAGAAGTAATGTCTGATCCAAGCAGCAATACTGTTGAGTGAAACTGAAAAAAAAAGACAAATATTGATTTTGTCGGAACAATCTCAGGATCACTCATGCATGTTTGATACCATTGCTTCTTCAGATTAATGCTCAGACCAAATTTGGATGAAAGAATTAAGGAATACAGTTCTAAAACAAAATATTGCTTAACTTCCCTTTTTTGGGGGGGGCCTTACCCCTGGTTAATTGCACCCCCAGGGACTAAGGGGTCATATCAACTTTCTGAATTTAAGAATTAACTGCCCACACATCAACCAAAATTTCAATGAAATCCATTTAAGCATTAAGGAAGAATAGTCGTTTTGAAGCAAAATATTTACTTGCTCCCTATTTTGGGACCAACCCGCAGGTCCCTTGGGTTCCAATACAGTTTCTAAATTTAATAAATGATTCTCCACTCCAAATAATGTTTCAGAATAAATTTGGTTGAAATCCATTCAAGAAGTAAGGAAGAGTAGTGTTTTAAAGTAAATTAATGACTAAATTCCCCTTTTGGGACCCCGCCTCTAGTTCTTAGAAGTCAAACCAACTTTCTAATTTCAAGAAAATGATTCCCCACCCCTAAAGATATTTCACACCAAATCTGGTTGAAATCTGCTCAGGTATTAAGCAAGAGAGGAGTTTTAAAGCAAAAACATACAGACAGCACACAATGACAGACAACACACGATAGCATTAGGTCACCCTGACCAGTCTTAAGAGAAGACATTGTCTGACTTACAATTTTCACTAAAAAAATATGATATTGACATCCAACTTACTTTTCACAGGTGATGTTGAGATCTGGAACTGGCAGGTGTGGCAGCATTGCTTGAAAGAAAAATGTTGGGAAGTTGCCTTTTCCGACAATGGCCTTCAACATCAGTCCCCATATCTGGAACACACCAATAAGTCATTATTAAAAAAAAACAGCCTTAGACAGGAATCCAACCTCACATCATGGTTCTTAAGGAGTTGGATATGACCTTTCTTTTCCATCCCTCAGTTTAATTTCCTTAATTGGTTTGGCATTGAAATGACATTATTAATCCATTTGATTACATGGCTGACATTTTTATTCGTAATGTTAACACACATTTCTTTGACAATTTAATCCACCTTATAATCAACAGTGAGAGGCAGATTCAAAGCTGTCAATACATAAATTATGTCGTAAAAGGTTGGTTTTTTATTTCTTTTTTTTTTTTTTTTTCATTTTTTTTTTTCCAGGAAAGTCTTTCATATCATTTTCCAAGTACGGATCTTGATGAATTATTTACTCTGTAACCAGGAGACATAATGGGTTCTTGCATATCATTGGCAAGTCCCACAGGAATAGCTGGAGTTCGGAGGACTCCATTAACACTGAAGCTTTGAAGGTACACATATACTCAAAATTTCTAATCCATTTCACATCTCTAATCAAACACAGCTTAAGCTGTTACAAGGATATGAAACTCAGGCAAGGTACATTCAAATTTACATAATACGTCCTTGTGGGAATCTGAATGTCACAGATTATTTTATTCGATGAAAGTTAACAAGTCGTGTTTTATCTGTTACTTTAATTTACCTTTACCACAGACATATAGGCTTTCAGCCCGTCATAATTTTCTGTTAAATTCTATTAAAGATATTAGTCAGATAATTTTTGAAAATATCTTCCTTTTCTAAGAAATGACTTATATTTAGTGGAACGGCTAAATATTTTCATATCGATTCAAAACAAGTAAACAGATTGTTACTATGTAAGCACCACCATGTTACACATCCACACAGTATGGACTGAGGTTATGAATCGATTTTTATCACATCACAAACACTGTATATATCATCATTCAAGTGAAAAACAGTCAATAAACCAGGACAAAAGCAGGTGAATTCTACTTAAATATTCTATTTTTAGCCTTATTATACGACCTATCAAGTATTAAGCTACCATACAAGTTTTAATCAATTTTTCGTGTTTATTTTCTGTTTTGCGACAAATAAGAAAGAAAAGCGATGTTGTTTTCCTGCCATTTTGTCACTACAGAAGTAATTAAATGTAAAGGAACTTAGGTTTAATGTGGCAATTTTCATTAGCATATAGGTTGAATGGGGCCTGTTTAAGGCAATTTTCATTAGCATATAGGTTGAATGGGGCCTGTTTAAGGCAGTTTTCAATTGCATATAGGTTGAATGGGGCCTGTTTAAGGCAATTTTCAATTGCATATAGGTTGAATGGGGCCTGTTTAATCCTTTTAACAGTTATGATCATTAGCATGATCGCCTCTAGCTTTGCCACACCTCATCGGCTGTAGTGCTGAAAGGCTGTAATATTATAAGTTAAATTCATCCCAGAGGGAACCTTCACTTTAGCTCAATAGGTTTCAGTGTCCAAGGCTTATAAGTAAAGTGTCGCTGGCTCAATCACTGACACAGCCACACTAATTCCCTTTTTCTAATCTGTGACACAAACTAATGATCAAGTTACCGGTTTAGTTAAGAATATCTTCAATCTGAATGTTTTAATTTTCTGAATGTATAAAACTTTGATATAGATATCCCTGTACATATGTTTTGTTTTTTTTATCAGAAGCTCTGAATTTCCAACTTCGTACAATCAATACCAAAGCTCGTCACCTAATCCAGTTGTCACTACCTCAAGTAATCTAATTTTCTGACTATTCAGCTGTGTTTCTTCAGGAGACATTTCACAATATTGACCTAATTTTCTTTAATGCAACTGTCCTTTAATCCAGCTGTTCCACAATCCTTCGAGTACCTAGTAATCACTATCGTTGGAAAGGTGTGATTGAATTAGGAGATCGTCTACACAGTCATCGATCCAAACACGTTTTCGTACATGTATGAATAGACATACATACACAAGTTTGGAGGTATATACAGAGAATTTTGTTAAATCTGTAGTAAAATTTTGTGATCAGATACACTATTCCCACATGATACATCATGTAGAATTATACCCTCGAGTACATTACTTTCCTCTCGTTCTAGGCTGCTAACAGGTCACCTATATACCTGTATTGAAGGCCTACATATGTATTTACACCGAATTAAAGAGACGTTTTAAAAGATTTAACTTGTCCTTATAAATCTGATTAATTAATAATTCATGAAGTTTTCTGAGGAAAAAATACTGATTTGTATGTAAAATTAGATATATAACTACAAAGGTCACTCCTGAAGAGCCTCAGCATCTACTACAATATTCCAAACATCATGAATACTGACCTTATTCAAGTAAGTTTCAATCACAACACACACCAAGTGTCACCAGTAAGTGGGACACTTAATGGCCTATTTACAATAAATCTAAAGGGTGTTATCACTGCATGTAAAAGTTGAAAATATCTCCTGTACTTTAATGTAACTCTACCAAGTCAGATATATAAACAACACATTCGAAAATACCTACAGCATGTTGTTTATAATGCACCCTTAACATTTTTCAATCTACCTGGGATCTCTTTTATAATAAAATTCAGAAATCTGACAGTCCTTGAATCTTTGATATTACTAAATTACAGGATAATATCATTTTCTCCACAAGATTTGATAAAGATGTCAAACTTTAAAACTTAATAACCTACAGTGATAAAAACATGATAATGAAATATCTATTATCACAACATTCAAAATATAAATATTTTTTTCATAATGGAGCACCATGTCACAACAGGTATAAACCTTTGTTAGGTCATGTACTAAAACTTGAAGTAATTAGCTGTTATAGGTAACGTACAACAGATATATTTTCACCTGGCCTCAAATATACATCGGAGAGAAATCCTATGCTGAAGGAATTCAATTCATCATTAGCGCCTATCAGAATGTTATCATCAGCATGTGATGCTATACGTCATACGACTTACACAGTTATGATCGAACTGTCAGCAGACAAATGTTATCACAAAAGTCAAATGCAGAGAGCTTGAGGTTATCAGCTCAATGTTTAAAGTCTAGTCTAGTGTAGTATTGATGTCTTTTATCTGGTTCACAATAAAGGTGTAGACATTAAAAAAATTTCATGTATGATTAAACAGCTTCTAAAATCACTGACCATGAAATTTCTGTTGAATCATTGGTAAAGAGGATTAAGTATTTTTATCACACGTGCCAACTATTACATGTAGCCACTTCACTACCTCTATCTCATCTGAAAAGGAAGTCTGGGTGTTTGAGGTGGGTCACAGTTATAAAGTAATATAAACATCTTTTTATTTGAATTGTGATATTTCAGATCCATGAACAAATATTGTCTTAACCTTTCATTAACTTTAAAGTTAAAGCTGAATTATTATTAATTTATTCGTCGTAGACATCCAGATACTATGTTAGAGTACATAAATTTACTGGTTTGGGAGCATAAATATGTTCAGACATATTCAGGAAAAATAGATGTCTTTCATAGTATATAATGAAAAGACAGATTTGCCTTATATACAACAAACCTGTGTGCAGGGCTAACATCGTAATATATTGATAACAGTGAACTAAGTTCATAGGAAGCATTAAACGGAATCAATCATGCGTAGAACTTAAAACCAATTTGTATAAGCGTCACCATGGATAAGAAATGCAGGGACAACCATGAAACCGGAACATCATGTACTTTATCATATTGGTATACAGTATATATGAAAAATATACAAATTGTACACATCTTTCAATGTCACCTGACCATGGAGTCATGTGACAATTCAGGTGTATCAAGAAATTATAACTGGACTCGAGATCAAGACACATATAACTTATTGTGACACAGTGTCTAACTTTAACCTACATACATATAGCTATACATATATATCACAAAGTATATGTCGGTCCAATTAATTTTGAACGCGATATTGGACATCTGGGGCTCAAATTTCTGTCTACAGAAAAAATGTCAGTCTGTATTACTGAACTGTAGAATGTACTGATACTAATTAGGGCAGGAATCTGTGACAGATGTCAACTCCACTGATATCTAACCTGGTTCTGGAGTTAAGCATACAGATTTAGATTTGCATGGAATTAAATCAAATGACAGATTACAATATGATGAACATATTGTGAAATATTTTGACCTAAATTGTGAAATACAACACGTCCATTTCCAATGACACAATTATTTTATCATCAGTTACCAGTCAGGATCTATATAAACAACAAATTACCTGCAGTCACAAAACCAAAAACACAACTTCAGTAAACTTAGCAAAACTACTGTTCAAATTATATATAATAACCTAGACATAGACAACAAAAAACGTTGTTTCAAGCAAAATCATACAAACTACTTCTATACATCTGAAGTTACTGGTTCCTGAATATTTTCTGTTACTTTGAATTTCATGCTTCAACACAAAATGCTCCCAAATAATCAACGATCAATTAATATTAGTATAATCTTCTCCAACTTTCAATCACAACTTTACCTTTTTTTTTTAAAAAAATCCCTGATTAATGTCAATCTGAATTTGTTTTTTAAATACCAAGTACTGTCTTCAATGATGTGAGCCTAACAGAGCCTTTCTGCTCATTTCCTGTTTTCTTTCCAAACTTAAACATTTTATGCAATTAAAATTCAAAGAAAAACTGTTAAACTTATGACTACTTTCTAATATAACCCATAAGCTTGAAGCTAAGAAGAAGATTTAAAACTTAAAAAAAGGTACCCATATTCTCCTTATCAACTTTCCTAGCAAGCTGAACAGGAAGGACACATCAATTTTATGGCTCAAATTACACTTTGACAACATACTAGCACTATATGTGTCAATTTTTTCAAGAATATCTCCTAATACAGCATTATCTCGACCAATCAAACTTATAGAGAAAATCTGCCTTCAAGAGTCTCAACATGTATGTACCTTTGGTGAAATAGTAGCCCTTGGCTAGAAAGAACTTGTGAAGAGAATCTGCCTTCTAATGTATACTACCCCTTGGCTAGAAAGACCTTCTCCATAGTCTTGCCAGTTGAATGTTTGAGGTTTTGAATCGTAGCAGAAGCATCGAAATGAATCATTACCTCTGTTATATTCAAAAGCCTCAGTATTTATATGGCTACCTGCAGGTACTTTTTCCATTTGATTTTAATCACGAACTGTTGTCTTTTCCCTTTCCCTACATATCTTCATGGCATACTTATAAATTCATCATCTTTATAATTTTAGAGTTAGACCAAGAACAACCAACAACAATTACAGCTGTTTAGCCTAAACATGCATGCAGTGGTACATGCCAACTGCATGTACCAACATGCACAAGTGCATACCACACATATTTTCTGCCCTTGACTTAGCTTGTGAGTGCTGCTAGTATTGGTATCCTGATCATAATCAAGATTATTGGAAGAAATTACAAATCAACTGCGACCATTAGATTTTGTCAGGAACCCATGATTTTTAGGGGGTACACCAGTATATATGTATTTAATGTACTATATGAAGAACTGGGATTGACCAGACACTTATTACTGTTGTATGTTGTACCATCAACAAAACAGTCATTAAATCAATGAATCGTGTAAACAACAAGCCAACTGGCTTTTTTCTGGGAGTCCCTAATATAGCTGGCTGGCTTAGCTCACAAACACTGAAACATCTACAACCTGACTAAGTCCCTAATATAGCTAGCTGGCTTAGCTCACAAACACTGAAACATCTAACAACCTGACAAAGTCCCTTAGAGCTAACTGACTTAACTCATGAACACACAAATGTGTACAACCTGACTTAGTCCCTAATATAGCTATCTGGCTTAACTCACAAATGTGTACAACCTGATTAAGTCCCTAATATAGCTAGCTGGCTTAACTCACAAACACACAAATGTGTACAACCTGACTAAGTCCCTAATATAGCTAGCTGGCTTAGCTCACAAACACTTAAACATCTACAACCTGACTAAGTCCCTAATATAGCTAGCTGGCTTAACTCACAAACACTCAAACATGTACAACCTGACAAAGTCCCCTATATCAAACTGACTTAACTCTCAAACACTCAGACTGAATGGTCAGGGACTCATCCATAAATGTACTCTTTTTGGTTTGTAATCATAGAAATAGGATCTTTTATAAATTTATTGTCTGTCAGTTTTTATCACAATCTGTAGAGACTGTTTTTTAAATCTCATCTTTAGATTTCTGATTAGGTACTCCTTTAACAACATCAGCAAAATATTTCCACACTACATCCAAAGAAAGTCATTCGTAGAACAGATCTGAAGGAAACAGGCAGGAGCCTTTTTTAATCTAACTTTGTTTACATCCAATGCTGATTCTGTATATTAATGTTTTTATAAGCAAATGATTACGTCATGTTATCTTGCAGCAAGTATTTGTATACATTCATCTGGCCACTTGACTTATAAGTTCCTAGAAAATGGGAAATAGATTAATCATATGTGGTATTAGTAGAGAAAGTCTCCTATATAATAAAACTGATGACTTCCTGCATTCTATACTGCCCTTCATTTAGTGTATAATGAGGTACAGGATTATAACCCTAACTTTTAGTTTGTTCAAAACAAACATGTGTACATAAAATCTAGCTTTTTAAGGAAAGACTTTATCACTCTAAATCTTACACATATGATCACTGACTAAAGATCTATTATGCATTGGCATTATCGCATATAAATGCATTTAATATGCCATATTATCTTTTCTTCAATTGATTTAAGCCATTTAGCAATTAAAGACTAATCTTCTATATATAAAAAAAAATCTCCTAAATATTAAAGCATACTGGTGTTAATTAAAGCTATCTTTACAAGAATATATTTGATGTACCGTCATCTAATCCAGATATCAAATTGCTTCCTTTTTTCAATATGGTCCTGACCATGTAGGTAGGTACCATGTATTCTGGAAAAGTTGTGTCCATGTTTCAGCGTTATTTTTTAATCTTAAATACTAGTACACTTCTTAATTCAACTGGTAAAAGGATTTCCAGAAATTTAACCTGAAGTATCAATATTGGTATTTAACAAAAACTGATTGCTGAATATATACAGAGACAGTAGAGTGATTCAGGAGTATAGCCTTAAATAGGCAATACTGCTAGATCACCAACATGCCTACATCGAGTGTGATCATTCACAACCTATCACTATATATGTTTGTCCAGAAATTAGTTAAATTCATTAATTAGATGAAAAGTGGTTTAAAAATGGTGGCAATGAAAAATAATATACATTGGATTCAATGACATTACAAAATTAAAATATACAAATTAAAGAATTTTAATATACAAATTTTATTAATTATATTATCCACCATCTAAGACAGCTTAACATTTTTTCAATATTAGATCTAAATTAACCACAACACATGAAAGATTTACAATAAGAGTTTTAAAGCAATAAGCTTTGTACCCCAATTAAAAATTCTGAATGATACGAAATTTATCGGGGTATAAGGTCAAAGTCCAAATTGGTTAATCCCACTGAACGAGGTGACCAGTACAGAGATCATCTTTACACATGGTTCATATATCAGTCAAGTTTGTACATATGTACACCTGTACCTGGGATACCGTGTTTATTTACGTGTCAATGACTTGGTATACACCTGGGATATCATTGTTGACATTAAACAAGCATTGTCATTCTGATTAAAAAAGATGTGTGGATGGAGCACTACTTCTCACTAATGATCACTTCCTTAAGTCTTCTGTAAAATTACATACTGTGCTAAGTATAGCTGTATTGTGTTCATGGTCACCCTTGCCATTACAATCAATTACCATTTTAAATGCTTATTCCATCTCAAAGTCAAGGAGTGGTTATTGCCGTAGGATATCACTATAGCATTTATGATAGATCTGCAATGCTTATCAAAAGCCTGTGTAGTTAATGCTGCATATAACCATAGGATATTTTTCTTTCTCTTTCAATATATTGCAAACCCCCCTATAATACTGCAAGCACCTTGGTGAATCACAATATTTTGTTTATATATAAATGTTGACTATTCATAAGAGGTATCAAGTATTATCTATTTTAGACAGTAGAGTATACATACTATGTATATTAATTCTGATAGATTACATCTTGTAAAATTACATTTCCATACAAGTATATAATTGTCATGAAATAAAAAATTTTCCACTGTATGCAGTAAATTTATTTCACTAGAATAACATAAATTCAAGGATAGGTAACATGCTTTATCAATTATTTATCATTGTTCCAAGTCAGTCTCTGTGTGTCTAGACTTTGATCAGTTATTGGTTCATCTTATCGACACACCCCCATCATTTTTAATTAAACGCAAAAAGACACAAAAAAGTGATTTCTGGTTTTTTTTTTATAATCTAGCAGCAACAGCTCTCAGAGACGCATGCATTACAATTGAAAGAAATGATTTATCTTTGAATGAGTGTTAATGAACAAGATTGGCTGATCAGTATTGACATATTTAGTTCAAGTGTTAAGTATTACAGAAATATTTACAAATGGTTTTGAAGTAGCTTATAATTACAGCCAGTAACATATATAGGCCTTAAGGAATGATTTCCACAGATCATATTATATATATATACACATTTCAAATGACAGTACACTGAATCAGAGACATTTATATGTAACATGTACATCAAATTGAAAATCACTTGGCGATTCTAATTCAGCTGCACCTGGATCTGTATAACACAGATCTAAACTCACTCTTCCTTGTTTCATACAGTATCCTTAGTATGAGTCAGGTGCAGCTGATAGAAAATCTGCGTCTTCAATTAGCCAGTATGACTGCAAAGAGGGTATTCAGCATTTCCACACAAAATTACATGTTTGCAATACCTTCATGTATATATATTGAAGGCAAATCACGTGACACAATTAAAAGATACATATTTGGCTACAAATTTCAATTTCTCAAATATACTATAATTCTTAACAGAAATGTGATTTTATTTTTTGTTTTTTTGTTTGTTTGCGTATTCCAATGAAACTGTTCTGTTTTCATTCATAACAAAATTATTATAATAAGGACTCTAATTACATTACGTCCTGGTAATTATATGAAATTACCAACATTGTGTGCAAAGGAAAAAAAAGGATGGTTAGTGTTCATCTTCAGTGTAGTTAAAAGATGTTCTTGTTTCCCCCCGAGAGGGCCCCTCAATTGAATGGCGCAGACTGCATAATATCTACACTGAACAATAAAGTAATACAATTTTTACCTTTGTAGCTGTTGATTTCGGGCTGTGCATCCATCCGTGGTAATTGAGAAGCATTTTAAGAATAGTTATTCTAGCCAACATCAGGATCTTGACCAGTCCATAGCCGACTATAAACCCCAACAATGCGATATTCATTTGGAAGGGTAATGCCGACAATTCCATCCATTTTTCACCAAAATCTACAAAATTTCTGACGGGATCGGAGAAAACGGCGAATAAAATAGCACTAAGGAACCCGACTGCTGATGCCTCACTGAAGTTCCTGTAGCTCATCAGTCTCCCCGTCGCCCCTAAAAACGGTGCTATCGCAGGACTCGGCATGATGGTGACAGCCGCGTTTCTCCTCCCTCCCTTGTCTGAACCTATCGAACGTCTAATGGAGATCTACTAGAGCGTGCAAGCATAGTACGGTCAGAGCGTTCCGAACGGAATGTGAAATTTCATTGAGTAGCCAAACAAACCCTGACGTCATATGTCGCGAAGGGAACAACGCCCACAAATTAGCCCTGAAATATACACACAAATATAGCCGTGTATGTGTGAGATAATAGGAATGTATTCGTGTGTGTGACATTTTCAACAAATAACTTTGAATTAGTCATTCACAACTCGGTGTATGGAACATGGGAATTCTGAAAAGAACATAAAATTGACACGATTGATCAAATCTTATACCAAAGATACATGTAGTATGTGTAATCAATATAGCCGAAGACACGTGTATGTGTGAGATAAGCGTTTCTATTGGTTTTAGCATTTTTTAAGGAAGTCATACTTTCAATTCGTGTGTATTAATAGGAAATCAGACATTTTCAACAAATAACTTTGAATTAGTCATTCACAACTCGGTGTATGGAACATGGGAATTCTGAAAAGAACATAAAATTGACACGATTGATCAAATCTTATACCAAAGATACATGTAGTATGTGTGCGGTGACATATGTTGTATAATATTACCTATCATATGTATATAAACAGTACGCAAAGACCACATGGCCTGGAGCTTTATATGTCAATTATGCTGCCTAGACTACCTGAGAACTGACTCGGTACAATTATCGATGTCACTTACCTATGATAGTGGCAATGACGTCAAAGTGTTACTGCTAAAGAACCAGACAAATTATAATAACGATACCAGGTGTATTGAAATAAAATGTTTTTAAAAGGGAGAGGGAATGAAAAAAATAAACATTTGTTACTGATGTTAAAAGAATTTTCAGCAATATTTCCATTTTTTATTCCACACCTTATTTTCTAACGGATGTATTGGCAGCTTGATATCAAATAGAATTTTAATGTTTTGCATTTCTGATCAAATTTAAATAACGACAAAATGACACATATATTTTTAAATGGTTTGTATTGGAAATGATTAACAGCCGTGAACATTTTTTTAAATGAAGATAAGATACTGACAACAAAAGAAATAATGGTTGTATACATTTTTAAGCTGTACAATCTTTGGATCGCCGCTCCTTGTCTGTTATCGAGAACGTCATTCACGAAGGAGGGTCTGAGTGACCTAGCAAGATATAGGTTAGTGGGTATTTCAGAAGTCTATACGATAACGGCCAAAGCGTCGAGGTCATGTCGAAGATAACGTAACATTCCGTTACTGTTAGACGTAAATCCTGAATTGCATTTTTTTTTTATCGTATTTTCATTTCATTATTTGATTTGATTTCTCGTTCAAGAGAAAGTCAACAGATAAATAGATATCGGAAGTTTGTGGCAAATGATAAAAATTGTCGAAACCTGACTGTCCTCTCCGTATGAATGGATATGAATATGAATATGATATGAATGGATTATTCTTTAAAATGATTGGTTCGATAATTTAAAAGAATTCTTTTAAAAAAAATTGTAATCGTTGATGTACCGAAATATATTTGGTAATGGTCTACAAAAGAAGTACAAATGTAAAGAATAAATGAGTATTGATATAACAAGTTAAAAAAGGAATAAATTGATTTTGATTATGTGAAATAATTCTCTAACTATACTGAATTTATTGACTCTAATAATATCTTTTAGACCATAAAATTATACAGAAGGTTGAACAATACGTCACGAGGAGGATTCTGAAAAAAAAACCAGTTTATTATTTACGGAAGCGTATTCCGGCCGCGTTATGTTTTATTTTAACTCGAACTTTCGAGATAGTAACTCAAAATATTCGAGATAAAATAAAACACAACGTGGCCGGAATACGCTTCCGTAATTATTTGATATAGATTACGAGTTAATTGAAGTGAAACATTTCAAGTCTGTTTATAACACAATTTAATGGAACCTGTGATTGCTAATTAATTATCATTAATAATTATGCTCGTTATCATTATATATATCATTTATATATATACATATCGAATGATTGTTTATTTTATTTCGAAAGCGAGCCTACATTTCTTCAAAGTCGAAACGACCAAGTGCCTAGTATGCCATCCAATTAAAACCAGATTTTTTTTCCATCGAGCAATTTCCAATGGCCAACGTTTTGGTCGAAGTTCGTGTTTCGCAAACGCGGCACAGTACTGTATACGGTATTGTTATTAAATTTTTTAAACTTCAATTCTAAAGAGAGTAAACATAATGTCCCTAGTACAATGTAATGATTATTTCCGAGGATCATTTCATAATTCGTTATTTCGAATTTTACTGCCTTTTCGAAATATTACAATACAGTTTTGTTTTAACGATACTTTAACAGGTAACTTATGTCGACAACTTCAATTAGATTCTCCACAAATTCTGGTAACTGAACCTTCGGCAATCTCCGTGAACAAAGCTAATTCGTCTGCTTTTAACATAAGAAATGGTCTTAACTCCTCAAAATCCTATTATTGTTACATTACGAGATTTGAAAAAATCGGAAATTATTCACGTTCCGTAGGCGATAAAATTTTACTTTGATGCTGATATTTTTGTCATTAAATTTCGATGTTCAAGCTTAAATTTCACTCGTGACCTTGAACATAATTATGCAAGATTTCATTATGTACATTAACTATTTAGACGTCGTCAAATCCTTTTGGAAATTCACATTACAGCATTAGAAAAGTTTACTTATCACTAAAATGTTTTCGTCGTAATTAAATACAGACAAACAACAACAATAACAGCTGCAACAACAACAATAATAATACACCATTAGTGACAAACACAATGCGAAAAACAGTTACACCTGTTAAAATGTACATCTGTGATAATACAAGGTTATAGATCCTTTTTATTGACTTTGGTTCAAGGTACAGACCACCCTGAATAGGAGTTTATAAACTTATTGATTAATGTACACAACGAAGTTCCAACAATAAATATTTAGCAACTATATAAACTTTGGAATGTCCATCTTCCATAACCCGATTCAAATAACGGGTCGCATATTTGTTTAAATCTTATTTTTTCTCCATTTTTGATCAGCAATAATACGCGCGACCACCTTCTGAAATGGTTGTACAAAGCACCCCTTACTCATTTGAAGGTCCAAAGGTTTTGAATCGACGAAAATCCTGACAAAACTGTGAGTTTAGAACTTGGCAGTCGCAAACATTTCCTTTCGTGGCATATTATCGATATTTATGATATCTTTCTTTTCATGAATCTTACTTTTGACAAATTCTTGAATCACTGAATAAATTCTGTCATATACATGGACATTTGTTTTTTAGTTTTTTTTTTTTTTTTGTTCTCTTAATATACTTATAATACAGATATAGTAAACAAAGCCCTAGAGGCTTGTCTGGTGTAAGCTTTGTGTTTGTCTGTACACGGAGTCATCCCTGATACACAAGTAACTTATATGATTCTGGATAATTTTAAACTTTTCCATTTTCAAATGGACGTTAACTCATCAACAGAAAACTTTAAAAATCAATTAGATTCGATCATTGTCGTAATTACTAGAACAACAGGTGTCCGTTCGATGTGCGTTACCTCCCTTAGTGAAAGTTTTCGTTCAACAAAGACGCAAATGTTTACAATAATATGCAGGAATGGCGCCGATCGTGTTCGTAGCGGTTGCGGGTTGGCAGTCGGTTCTGTTATGCCTATTATTCGCATGTATATACGTTGGTAGTTTGTATATTTGGACAGACGCTTTACATAAAAACAGGTGAATATTCATATGAACGACATGTATTAAATTTAATGACAAACCAGAATCAGAAACCGGCGAAGTTGTTTGGAGACTCGTCAAAACTGAAAACGTGTGCAGCAGCAGGAGGCCATTTAGGCTTAATGTAAACACTGAATTCAAAGCTGTGTTTTTACTAGTTATTTTTTTGATAAGACAATTCTAATTGGTTATACTAGAATACGTTTTTTCTCATTATTGTCAAGTGTTAAAGCTGCCAAATATTTTCCCCTCAAAGCGGCAAAATTGAATTTATTTTAAATCAATAAAGAGCTACATATGATGTTGATATTATTTATGGAGAAACGACTATTATGCAGGCCTTCTGTAGATAGGATTTTAGACTACATGATGTACTCTAACCCAAAACACGGTTACGACATATGTAAGAATAAATACCAATTTGAATGTGTTTCTGATCTTATTTATATATCATTTTCAGTGAAACTAATGGGGTCAGTTACCGTTTGTGACATTCATTTTTAACGTGTATTATTGTCTTGTATAATGCCACCATTATTTGGAATTTTAATGTGACTTCTAAATAACATTAGGCACTTGTTGGCATGATGCTATATGGATTATGGTGTTTGAACAAAAAAAAACAAAACTTTTTTTTACAGAGATGATCCAGTAACAATAAAAAGAAGATTTATGAGTGTTGGTGTAATATCTGTCATCATTCCACTATTACTAAGGTGTTTTGGAACTTACTCTGAGAATGAAGAGGTTGGTAATACTAGTCAATATATATATATATGAAGATGGTGAATTGATGGATACATATACATGTATCATATATAGCTCTTGATTTATTTATTTAACTTGTTATATTTTCCAAGTTGGTGGTAATTTGTTCGGATGTGTAAGATGAAATGTAATACTAGAGTATAATTTTAAACTTGTACTTATTGTAAATCATATTTAATGATCATTTTGTTTTTAACTTATCTTCCAATGCAATGATATTCTTTGAGGAATTTTTCAATTATCATTTTATTATGGTCACTGTGTTAAATAATGTTTATTCCAATTGATATGTATTTGCAGGCTCATGAATTGCTGGTGTGGCTCGGTGTAAGGTTCCATGGGTTCCTTCCAGCGTTACTGTTTCCATTACTACTTACAATGGTATGTCCATAAAATCAGGGACTATTTCTTGCATAGACATTGGTTTTTACCTTGCTATCAGATACTCTGTAACAAAAATAGTCTCATGCAATTGAAAGTTTTCCTCCCTGAGAGTACTTCATGAGATAAATTCATCAAAAATTTTGTCCTGATGAAGCCTCAACTTCAGAAGCGAAACTAGTAGACATAATAAAGGAAACACCCTCTTATTGGTAACGCGTGAGTATGTTGTGATTAATATCCGTTTTGCACGTACTATTTAGTTTTTGTTTAATCGTCCTGCATACCGTCTGGTATCCGTACTCACAGTGAAGTACCCCACTAAACAACCTTGTATCCAGACCTGACGTTGTCTCCTTCCTTTTGAAGTTCTTTAGAAAAAATAGTCTTAATGTTATATACAAATAATTACTTCAATTTTTGTGATGATGAGTTTACAATGTTTTTGACTTCTTTTTAGGTTCTGTTTATGGGTCCTCTAGGTCTTCACTACATGGACGGAGTGTTCCGAATCTATCTTGGTATGAACTGAAATATTCAACAGATATGAATCACATTTCATATCTACTTCTAACGTTACTCAACGGAGCTTTAAATATCTCATCATTTAAATCATCTGTCACATGAAAATGTCAGATTCAAAGTCAAATTGGAGTTACGAATTGAGAATAGGTCATGTCCTATCACCAGTAAATTGAATGAGTTCAGTGGTTGGCAAAATTGCTGCTCAATGAATACCACTTGATTGGATTTTTTTTCTGAATATAGGATGTATATAAATGCTTTATTTGAATATTATCTGCTAATCATTTTCTGTACATTTAAATGTTAAAAAAGGATATCTTATAATGATGAGTTGATATTTCACAAGAGTGAAGTGAACTGTAAAACATTCTGCTTTTATACAGTTAAATTTGTTTTAAACATTACTGTTAGAAATGTGGTGAAATAAATGTTGGTACATTTTACAGAACCAAGGTACTGGACCAACAGTTTGAAGAACTTAACCTGGATCAGAAATCATATCGTGGTATGTAGTTTGTCAGTATTAAAAGTGTTGTAGTACTAGAGATATTTGTGTATCAATTAGGAAGGCCATAGTGATCTTATTGACCACTATGACATAGATGTTAAAGTCAGATCTGTCAGGATTTAAGTCTAAAATGGTACATTGGAAAACACACAAAATTGTTTGTGTGCATAATTTTTCAAGCCCTTATAAAAATTATTGTAGTTGTGATCATGCCCCAGTAATATATATGCATTTATTATAGAATTCTGAAAAAGGTTTCGATTACTGAGTTTGGACAAATTTACCTCAAGGTCACCAATACTAGTCTTAAGACATCCAATTTAAATGTCAAATTATAATCAACAAATCATGCATATTTCAAAATCAGAAAAAAAATTGATAACACCTTTTGACAAATGTATACCTGAAAATAAATGAGTGGTATCTCTAATAAGTATGAACATTAATACAACTCCTACATTTACATCATGGATTAGTGGACTGGTACTGTAATACATTACATCATGGATTAGTGGACTGGTACTGTAATACATTTACATCATGGATTAGTGGACTGGTATTGTAATACATTTACATCATGGATTAGTGGACTGGTACTGTAATACATTACATCATGGATTAGTGGACTGGTACTGTAATACATTTACATCATGGATTAGTGGACTGGTACTGTAATACATTTACATCATGGATTAGTGGACTGGTACTGTAATACATTACATCATGGATTAATGGACTGGTATTGTAATACATTTACATCATGGATTAGTGGACTGGTACTGTAATACATTTACATCATGGATTAGTGGACTGGTATTGTAATACATTTACATCATGGATTAGTGGACTGGTATTGTAATATAGAAATCAGTAAGGTTACTTTTAATGAGAGGGTAGAAGTAATAATATGGAAATCTCCTCACATGAAGTCAGTGAAACAGGTATTTACATGTACTTAAATTCTGTTTATTTTGGGATTTCAGAAGCTGTGCATGACCAAGAAAATACTAATTCACATGTTGAATTTGAATTTTAAGTAAACTCTATTATTTTAATCAATTAATTACTGATAAACATGAACAAAGTTTGTGGCTAGTACCAAAATCTTTCGTACCGGTATTAGGATTTAAGGTTTACAGATTCTTCATCCATTTCTTAAAGAGCATTAAGGAGCAGCTATTGTAAGCATTTTTATATCAAGACTGAATTTTTATATGGTAAACATTTGAATTATAAATTTGAAAGCTGAGAAGAGTCCCAATTTTTATAGACTTGTACATGTGAACCTCATTTGTATTGTACTTTCAGGCTCCTTTTTCCGAAGAATTCATCTTCAGAGCATGCATGTTACCATTACTAGTACCCAGCTTTGGTGAAGGATATTCTGTTTTCATCTGTCCACTTTTCTTTGGAGTTGGTAAGTTTTTAAACCATTAGGCAACAATAATACACAGAACTAAAAAAAAATCATTGACAATAGAAAATCAAGGACTTTCAAACAGGAATTAATTCTCGGGAAATACATTGGACTAGATTTGAAACTGCAGGTACAGTGACTTTCAAACTTGGATTAATTCTCGGGAAATACATTGGATTAGATTTGAAACTGCAGGTACATTGACTTTCAAACATGAATTAATTCTTGGGTAATACATTGGATTAGATTTGAAACTGCAGGTACAGTGACTTTCAAATATTAATTAATTCTTTGGAAATACATTGGATTAGGTTTGAAACTGCAGGTACAGTGTGTGTGTTAAATGTGTGCATTTCTTTCTACAGCACATATTCATCACATGATTGACAGAGTAATACAGGGACAACAGCCAGTAGGAGATGCTGTCAAACAAACAGGTGAGACGACAGTGAAGATTATATTTCCAAATATCTCGGGCAAATATCAAATACAATGGTTTGACAGTGAAATTTTTACTTTCTGAGAGGTGCTTGGTACTTATATTGTCTGATGGTATAGTAGTTCATCTTGAAATGTATTCAGCTTGTAAAAAATTAAATGACAGAACATTTGACAAGTGCAAGGCAAGTTGAAATTTATGTGTACAAAAAATACACACAAGTGATAAGCACCTTTCAGTACAAATTTAAAATTAGATACAGTGTAGCCAAAGAATGAATTAAGCAAATCAGATAGTCAGAACAAAATCAGAAAAAGTTTTAAAAATTTTAGTTCTAATCTTTGACTTGAAATAATAAATGTGTTTAGATGTAATCAATGTTTTTTTCCATGTAAAAGTCAAAGTGAAATCATACACAAGGTTATCAAAGCATTTGCGATACTAATTTGGCAGTATCTTGTCAAGTTATAAAGATCCTCGTTAAGTACAGATTATTTTTGATGGTTTGATCAGTCACTGGAATTCATATTAACTGACCAATGTTGGTTTTTTTTCAGTCTTTCAGATGTTTTATACAACTTTGTTTGGAGCGTATTCAGCTTTTCTATTCTTAAGAACAGGTAAAGTAAATTTGTTCAAAGCAGCCACTAGAGATGTACAAATCTTCCAGACTGGTACTTAAACCTGTAAAAGTTCTAAAGCATCATCAGTTAACTGTACATTCCTTCTTACAGTGGAAGGGAGATAACTCTTAATAAGAGTCTTTATTTTGTTCATATTTTACTTAAGTTTTATCTAATTTGAGTTTGAATTAGTTTCTATTGACATTTTGTTATTTTCTTAGTCTCACAGCTCAGCTCTTCAGTGCTGAAACCTTATTGATTAAGAAAGTTAACCTTTAGCCTTTGTTTGATTGACAGGTCACCTCATTGCACCAGTGATAGCCCACGCATTCTGTAATCACATGGGATTCCCCTCCTTCAAGGAAGCCCTCGGCTACCCAAAGCCAACACGTTCCAAATTGGTGTTATGTTTTATCATAGGCCTTTTGGCCTGGATAGCCCTAGTGTTTCCAGTCACCTCACCATTCTTGTATGCCAATGACGTCTACAGCTTATAATCTCTAGAAACTTTATGTCTTTAAGGCAATTTTTTGTTTTAATTTTCGTATCTGTTCTGTGTTAGAATATGACGGGGAAAATGTGTTTAAATGAGGTGGTTTAGATTTTTCTATATTTTAATGATTTTTTTTTATTGACATCAAATATGTTACGTAGTTGTGTTATGACATATTTTGTCAAATGCTGCTATTATGTGAAAATTATATTAATGAGGACTTTTTGGCATTTTTTAAGAAATAATCACTTACAGAGATCTATTGCATGGTTAATATTTTTCCTTTTAACTTTACTTATATCATAAATTTCATAGTTTCATTATCATTGTTATTTTTTCTAGAAACCGGGTCAAATATCCTGTAAAAAAAATGGATGCAAATTCATATTAGAATTTTATATTTTTTGAATTTGGAAGATTGTATGATAGATATGAAAGTATTGTCAGATTACTTTTTCATTTATTCAGTCTTTAAAAGTATCCTGTTTTCTTTACATAAGGTTTTGTGTGAATTTCTGAATTCCATTATGTATGATAGACAAACTTAATCCAAAGACATTTATAACTATAAATGTTTTCAGATGAATGTAAAATTAATCTTGATATTCATTTAAAAACATTCTTAGATTTTCTGTGCAGAACATTGATGTTAAGAAAACATGTGTTGTAGGAGACTTTAAGTTGTACTGAGTAATGCAATGAATTAATGGTATATTAGATTTTTGTTCAGTATCTTTACATAACAAAAATATTGTCAGTGTTGACTGAAGCTATGTAATACAGGCGCCTCAGCACATTGTTGGCCTACAACATGACATTATATAGTGCACATGTTTGGCACATGTTGCACTCACAAAATATTGAACATGTGCTGACTTTGCTGTTCTGCTTGAATACCAGTGATTGATTCGGGTATTTCCTGCCTGGGCTTCACTGTTACCATGAAAACTGCAAAAGTTTAAACGGGCACAGCCGACTGTTACCATAGAAACTGAAAGTATAAACAGGGCTTCATTGCAATCATGGAAACTGTGAAAGTATAAACAAACTTAATTGTCATGTTTTCATTATGTTTACTAATATAAGTTGAAATTATTAAATCATTCTCATGTATGGAGTTATTTGTTTTTGACAGCTCTAGCCATTATCATTCAAAAAGCTGTAAGTAACAACTTTTGCCTGGTGTTACAGCCAAAACAGACTGCTTCCCAGCAAACTGAACTTTTTTTCATTTTATTTGTGCTCAGTTTACATTTAATTCGATTTGAGCAAAGAAGTTCCCCAGATAATTATATAGATAAAGCAAATCCAGATTAATTAATCATCATCTTTTATCTCTTTGTTTTCACTGCTAGTCCATGGTGTCTGTTATTGTAGTATTTATTGCTTGTCATTGTGTTTGTTTTACTAGTGTTAATACGCTTTGTATAGATGCCCAAATGTATCATAATATATTCTTGTATGTTGTTCATCAATATTAAGTTTTGTTTTTAAAAAAGTGAAAAAGAAAAATGACACTACTATAGTGTGTATATGTTGAAGCAGTATACTGAAATAGATTCACTTATTTAACAAATCACATCAATACCTGTAGAGTTAAAAAAAATAGCATAAGCTATGGATAAATTCCTTTTATGCAGTTGGAAAAACAGAAAATGTTTCACACAATGTAAAGGGGATTGTTCTATGTGTGGTGCTGTAATTTAAATAAGTTTTTATCAAATACAATTGTGTTAGAGAAATGCAGAAAAGCAAATTAACTTTTTTATTGTATTTCCATACCATCAAATTCATTGCTATTTCTGAAAGCAGTTCATTTTGACTGTCAGTAAACATGACTGATAAAATTTTTTTTTTCTAAATTAGATCTATTTGTTTTTCATGGGAAAAAATTTATCATTGTCAGCATCCAACAGAAACTCATAGGTTTTCAAACTTGATGTAGAATATGTAAGTAACTGGTAGATGCATGTACTGTCAACTTTGGTAATTTCTAATGTAATTAACATGGATGGTTTGTTGAAAGTTATCTGATGGACAAATCTATACAGAAGGTAGTTCAAGGAAGATTTTGTCTAGATTTGTAGTCATCCTTTGTAATTGATTTACGTCTGTAGACTACAACTTTGTCCCATTAATGATTTTTCTCATGTCTCATTTCCTTTTTTTTCTTCTTATCCAAGATGTATAGATTTGAATTGAAGATTTTTTGTTTAAATACTCAGGAGTATACAGACATTTTGTAGCTATGAAGAGAAGATTGGTGTACAATTTTTAGAATTTTGTTAAAGTGGGTACTTAATTTGCTAAAACTTAGGTGCTATTAGACCATACTTTGTAAAGTTTTTACCAGTATGTGTATCAATTGTAATTTCTCTTTCTGTGCAATGCTCTAATGAACTTAGCTTAATTATTTTGCATTTTTCCTCCATTTAGTTAAGACTGACACTTACTTCAGTGTTGTAGTTCTAAAATGTTACAATTGTATATTTGTATAATAATTTTTCTAGGAAGAAAATGTAAATTGATAATTTATCTATATATCGGTACAATGACGTGTATATATATATATATATAAATATGATATACAAGTACTGCATGTTTGTATATTAGTACTTAAATGCCTCTTTTATATATGAAATGATGTATTAAAGCTATATTAGCGCTAATAGTTTAAATATTTTGACCAAAATACTGTGGAGTATGTATATCAACCCAGTTAACATAAAGTTATTGATGGCTTTCAAGAAATGGGACCAAACTCGTCTGCATTTTATGTACACCAAATTGAAAATTTTAGTGGTGTTACAATTCTGTTTTCATGTATTTTACCAGTATAATGATAAAACTAATTATGTACGGTATTATTATGGTTTGGATAGAACCCACGAAAAGACCATTACGTCACAAAAGTATTGTTTATTTTGAGATTTCATAAAGCAATATGTGTGAAGGAAAATTTTTTTTTTATAGATATTTGGTTTTAGAGTCAGGTTTTACACATAGCGATTTTTAGTGCACAGGTACAGTCCATATTTGTCGAGATTACAATATTAATGCTTAACAGTTACCAACCTAACAAAGAAAAGGCATCAACACATAGATTACTTTCAGTTTAGCAACACATTCTGAACTGTCCAGTGTTGTCACGTAAAAAAAAATATTCAGGTCAGTCCTTGGTAAGTTTAAAAAAAAAAATTTGTTTAAGCTAAAAATATTCCTGAAATAGATAGTATCTGGATAAACTTCCTGCTGATGTAGCAATACAAAATACAAGTTTTGTTGAATTTGAGTTTTTTTGTTTCATATTAGGTAATTCTTAGCTAATTGCTGCATTTTTGAACCGGCAGCTATGTATGTTGACAATACATGAAGAGTTGATAGATCTACAATAGCAAGTGTATTTTGTACCATGTCTTTTTTTCAGTGAAAAAGCTCAGATTGATGGGAAAAAAAAAAAAGTTTTATCTGACTCCAAGATAGTTAAGTACATCCTGAATACTCCAGGGGTTTTTATCACTTTCACTCTCTGCAGCTCTAGAACATGTCTTAGCAAAATTGAAGGTTCAATATGCAACACCTTGTGGACAAGACGAAAAGACTAGTAGTTTGATACTTTGATGTACATCAAACGAATCCCTAGGTCGCATAACAGTATATTAGAAATGGCTTTGAAGTTGGGTGTCGATTGGTCAGTTTCTTTTCTCCTAGAACCAATCAAATTACCTTGATTGTGCCTTCAGCTTTGCCATGACATGTACCTGGGATGCAGAGTGTGAAAGTGATTGTATCCCCTAGAGTAACAAGGTTTAGTTAAGTAGTGCAATGGCTGCTGTTACAGGAAGATATTTTATGAATCTCAACATTTATATCAAGTCTTACCATAGTTGTAGTACAAACATGTCTATATTAGATCATTTTAAATATAATTTGTCTCTAAAATTGTATTTCTTTTCGAAACATTGTATATCATGATAGGGATAAATTAATACAATGTTATTGAATGTCAAATTATAGAATTTACAACTTTTCATTGGACAATGTCATACTTGATAAATCAGTATTAAATTATTAATTTTTTTTTAACTTTCATGACCAACATTTGTATATATTACATTGTTTAACATATTACTAAACAAATGTCAGTGTTGTTATGAAGGAATCAGGTAGGTTTTTTTTTTGACACATCTTCTGCCAGATTTCTTTCCATATTGAGAGCCGTTACACATTTAAATTTGAGCTTACAGAAATGATCAATATATATACCACATTTTCAGGGTTATAAACTGCACCGGTGTGTAATATGCAGAACCAATTTTTAATGATTTTTCCAATTGGGTCATCATATTAGCCGCACCAGAATATATTGCTTGGTGAGGCAATGTTTAAACTTCAAAATGACAGAGTTTCTTGAAATCTCACATGAAATGAAAACAAATCTGAGATGTTTTTTCTTTCTTAACTCAAGAATTGGATTTCGACAGGTTTTAAAATAAAAATGCGGAGGACGAAATCAAACAAAGGCAGCCGTTTTGTAGTGCCATTTTTCAGTTCATGATGTTACATTGTTATCCACATTATCACATCACATAGGCTTTCTTACTGGCGCAGCTAAAGAAAAACACTCCAGGCTAGGACATGTATGCAAAAATATTACAAGGGCAAATTCACTTGATAACAGGAATATTTCATGAAAGCTGATTTTATTATAGCAAAGCTGCAATAACCCTATCAATTTCCAAATGTTAGGGGATGGGCTTATTACAGGATATGAACAAGCATTGCTTTGCTTTGTAATTCAACAGGTGTAATAGAGATATGTTGATTAATTATTAGGTATAGGGGTTTATTAGCTGAGAAGTAAAATTAAAACAAAATGTAATTTTAAGGTGAAATGAAATCATTTCAAAACCAACGAGCATACACCCTTGATATGTTGAACATGTATATAAATTTTGAGTAAAAGGATATTATAAACTACAATCATTGAATTGTTTAGATGTGTTAGGCTTGTGTTCAAAATGATTGTATGGTAACTTAAATTTGCAGTGGAATCTTCTTGACATTTTCATAAAAGCTATTTAGAGTCTTAAGAAATCTATTGATGAGGAATTGCTCCAGCCTCCAGAAAATGTATTCAGTATACTGGTACAACTATACAGGGTTTACTAGGATTCCACTTTGTCAGTTCATAAGTTTTCTTTTCATAGCATCATCCTGATTTCCTCGCCCCTCCCCCCCCACCCCCCACCCCTCCTTTATCTTTGTGGCCCCTCCCCTCCTCCCACTCAAGCCATATCATTTTAACGTTTTTCTTTGTGGCCCCTCCCCCCTCCCCTCCTCCCACTCAAGCCATATCATTTTAACGTTTTTCTTTGTGTTCCCCTCCTCCCACTCAAGCCATATCATTTTAACCTTTTTCTTTGTGTTTTTTGATTGATATCAGTGATGTCAGTGTTGCCACTGTTCACAGTTTTCAAAGTGTGACCGATTCACTATATATAGTTCACTGTTTAAACCAGATCTGCCAACAATTGAATAAACCATTGAATTAAACATCTTCAAGTGTTGGTGTAATGCCTTATTTGTTCTTTTAGGAATTATGTATGATCTATGTTTAGCCGCTATTTGCCATTTGTATACACCAAAACTTTGAAAGAAGTAGTTGCCATCTGGATACACATAAAATTTGAAAGATGTAGTTGCCAGCTGTAACACCTAAACTCAGGAAGATGTTACTGCCAGCTGTAACTCCTAAACTCAAAAAGATGTTGTTTCCAGCTGTAACTCCTAAACTCCGAAAGATGTTACTGCTAGCTGTAACTCCTAAACTCCAGAAGATGTTACTGCCAGCTGTAACTCCTAAACTCAGGAAGATGTTACTGCCAGCTGTAACTCCTAAACTCCAGAAGATGTTACTGCCAGCTGTAACTCCTAAACTCCAGAAGATGTAGTTGCCAGCTGTAACTCCTAAACTCCGAAAGATGTTACTGCTAGCTGTAACTCCTAAACTCCAGAAGATGTTACTGCCAGCTGTAACTCCTAAACTCAGGAAGATGTTACTGCCAGCTGTAACTCCTAAACTCCAGAAGATGTTACTGCCAGCTGTAACTCCTAAACTCAGGAAGATGTTACTGCCAGCTGTAACTCCTAAACTCAGGAAGATGTTACTGCCAGCTGTAACTCCTAAACTCAGGAAGATGTTATTGCCAGCTGTAACTCCTAAACTCAGGAGGATGTTACTGCCAGCTGTAACTCCTAAACTCAGGAAGATGTTACTGCCAGCTGTAACTCCTAAACTCAGGAAGATGTTACTGCTAGCTGTAACTCCTAAACTCCGAAAGATGTTACTGCTAGCTGTAACTCCTAAACTCAGAAGATGTTACTGCCAGCTGTAACTCCTAAACTCAGGAAGATGTTACTGCCAGCTGTAACTCCTAAACTCCGAAAGATGTTACTGCCAGCTGTAACTCCTAAACTCAGGAAGATGTTACTGCCAGCTGTAACTCCTAAACTCAGGAAGACGTAGTCACCAGCTGTAACTCCTAAACTCAGGAAGATGTAGTCGCCAGCTGTAACTCCTAAACTCAGAAAGATGTTACTGCTAGCTGTAACTCCTAAACTCAGGAGGATGTTATTTCCAGCTGTAACTCCTAAACTCAGGAAGATGTTGTCTTATCCTTTCATGTTATAATAGAAGTAGTACAGAAAACACCCTGCTGGTTTAGAAAATAGAAAAAATTAACCAAAAGCAGTAGAAAAGAAGCACATTATTCTAAACATACATATTTTAGCAATAATATCTATATCTATGCTAGAAATGTGGTGCTGAAATATGATTGAACTAATTCTTGTAACACTTTCTGTATGTTGTTAATATAACAATTATGGCATATGTGTGAATTTATTATCGAGTTAATTTGTTCATAATTGATAATGTGCTGTAATTTTATGGATTTGCAAGAGAAGTTATCGCCGAAATCACACAATGATCCAATACATATATGCAAATTTCATGTAATCATACTTTTATCCATGATAGGAATAGATTACGTGCTATTAACAGCCAGGGTCATTTACGGATGTGCCAGATTTGGATGGTGGAAGAAAGACAGAATTCCAGGAGAATTACCATCAACCTGGGGCCAGTACCTTGCAACTTCCCAACTAAGGCCTTGAACCTGCAACCAAGAGATGGAGGACTAGTGATACAGATGTTCATACGCCTTGACCACTCAACCACCGCAGCCCCTTAATTAAAATAAATGATGTGTTGATTGGTAGTCAAAGATGGAGAGAGTTTCAAAATAATCATGCTAGTCTTGTCCGTTTTAATAAAAAAAAAATTAAGGATTTCATTTACATGTATTTCAATCTGTGAATCATTCATTAAATCCTTTTCTCAACATTTTCAAGGATTTGTTAAGAAACAACAAAAACAAAATTTCACTGATGAAGGGTTTGAAAGAAAAAAATCTTTATTTTATGTAAATTTGTTTTACAATTTATGTGAAAAACAAAACAAAGATATGTAAAATACATGCATCAAATAAAGTGATGGCTTTCAGATGGTATTGATGTGGAAACAATGGAATGTTGTGGTCTTTTTTCACAGGGTCAAAGAATTCTTATACAAGACATAAACCTTATATGTAAAACACTTAATCAGACATAATTGTACAAACTATCAATGCTGTATGGTAAATATTTCATTTGTTGAAATTTTTTATGCTCATTGATGATCCCATATTGAAATTAGATTTAAAACCTAATTTTTTTTAAAAAAAAATTGATAGAAAAACTTTATCTGCAACTAAATTGTGTCTTGAAACATATATGGTACCAAAACTCAACAGGGACTGGTATATGGATTGGTAAAAGAATAAATCCTTGATTGACCAGGTTGTATGTAAAATTCAATTACTAACTTACATTTTGCATAAATTGGGAATTCAGTATTTTATGCCAAAGTGTCTGTCCACAAATTATCTACATGTATAATGCTACACAAAATCACATTTGTTCATCTTCAGCCTTTGTTCACACACATTTATTTTATGGAAGTTTTTTTAAAAAAAAAAAAAAGAAAAAACACCTTTCACCTGTTTGAAATGGATCAGGTGGTCTGGAATTACATAAACAATGCTTTAAATGTTGGTGTAAAGCTCAAAATTCAGTTTTGAAAATCCTATCAAAAACTTAAAACCTATGAACTGATGATGAAATATCTTCCATTCTAGCGTAATATAACATATCTAGATATATGTAAGTACATGGCTTTGCTGTACGCCTGGTGTTTCTCTTGCAGATTCACTGGTCCTACTGCTTCAACCGCTTATGTAAAAGCAACCTAAGATAAGTGTTATTTATTTTATAGGTGTATTATAATATTTATCCGATATAAATTATTGGTTAGTATTGAAATAAAAGCATATTTGTTAAATCAATCCGAATATTTTCCAAATCATTTTGTATACTATAGATATATAATGATTTGCATCTGAATCCGATTTATCTCAATAAACAGTTCAGTTGATGTGAACGCAACAGTCACAGTATATTTTGTTACAAACCCTCTATCACCAATCTTGAATGAAATTATGAATGTAAATAAAAAAAATGATGAAATGTAAAGTGTTTGTATAAAATACTCGGGGAAACAAAAGAGGCAAACTCACAAAAAAAGAAATCAAATTCCTGATTAATACACACGCATTAATTTACACAATATTCACACAACTGATCTATACATGCACACAGCTACTCTTCAATTCTCTACAGTTGCACAGAAATAATGATCAAGTGTTTTTTCATGGGTTAGGCCATGAAAAGATTAATTACTATAATTTAATGATAATTTTTTTTAATCTTTTTTTCCTCAAAGGAAGCTCGCGTGATCTAACCAGATCCAATTCCACACCGAATGACACCTCTAGTCATTAACCTTTTTCTGGTATAAGCAAACGTATTTTACATCTTATTGTTGACACTATAGATTTAAAGTGAAGGCTCCTCAACTCCTCCTAATTTGTTTATTTGATAAATTCTTATTGAAAGATGAAATAAAAAAATCTGACGAATTATGAAGACGACTAGGAAAAATATTGCAGTTCTCTACCAGTTTACACTGCACAACATGAAATTCAGTTAAATATTTTGTGTAAAACTATGAACATCATGACACAGACATATACGATAAAACAACAGTAGTACTGATACACCTTGTTTTTTACACTGAATGATTCTGTGCTAAGGGAAGTGGTCCAGGAGGCCTGTATATTTCACCCAAAGTGTTAACAAAAGTGGTCCACAAGGCCTGTATGTTTCACCCAAAGTGTTAACAAAAGTGGTCCACGAACTCTATGCCTTACTTGAAATGTTAACAAAAGTGGTCCACAAGGCCTGTATGTTTCACCAAAAGTGTTGACAAAAGTGGTCCACAAGGCCTGTATATTTTACCTGGTGTTATATACAGCCTCATCAACAACCTGTATAACTTGAGCATTCATCACTTCGTACAAATCATGTTTTTGTTCTGGTGTCCAATAGCTTTTCCAATATCAGGAATAAATTGTTTTGTTGTGATTGAAATCAACACTTGTTTTCTTTCATATCTTTGTTCTTTTTTTATTATTATTTATTTGTTTTGTATGTCATTCTCATGACATCAACAAATTATATCAGAATCCTTACAACTTGCTTTAACAGAAACAAATTTAGAATTGTTTGTTTGGTAAACATGTAACATAAAGTCATCATGCTCACAACACCTAAGGGTTGTAATGAACAGCTCTATTGTAATGGCAATTATAATGGCAAAATTCAGAATTAATGAAAAAATTTAAATCTCCATTCTTCTGTATGCTAGAATGTAATATAAACAAAGTTTACCTGTCTGTTAAAAGTACCTCCGTATACAATTACAAACGTGAATATTACCTCTACGTTTTCAACAATTTTTCACCATGTTTGTGATACCTATTAATCATAATCAATATCATACATGAAACATTAATTGCCTTGACCAATCAATATTCATTCTGGGTCAAAGATCACAGGTCAAAGGTCAGGTGAACACTGAGGTGAAAGTTTGCACTCTAAACACAGTGAAGGTATGGTTTCCTAGACGACAACATGGTTACAACTCATCTCTCTTCTCCTTAGCTATCCAGTCTGACACAGAGTCCAAATCCTTGTCTATCTCCTCTTTGTTGTGAATGGGCAGAGCACTAAAAAAAAATCAAGACACATGTAGACATGAAGGTACATGTATTTTTATATTAATTCAGTACTAATCAAAATGCAGAGATGAAGCCAGTAGATTTACACAATGTCATAATGGTTAGATAAATTTTCCATGATTTTGGCAGAGTGTATTTTTACAGAATATAAACCCTTTCCCGTATGAGGACCATTCTATAACATTATTTCACCTATTTAAAAAAAAATTATTCATGAAATCAGGCCCAAACCAATGTGACATTTTTAAAACAAACTTTGTTTTTGTTCACTTCTCTATCTCACTTCAATAATATTGTTTTTTCTTCAAAGATCTTGTCATTGAATATAAATACATCAATCTTTGAATCTAACAAATTCTACAATAAAATAGAAGTAAGTACAATGCATAACCTTACCTTACTATAGCTGAGGAAACAGTGTCTAGCACACCACCTGGACGAGATAAAAAATAAAATATGTATACATTATACTGTAATATTCACAGCACCCTTAGTAAGCACAGCCGTCAACTGATGTATATAACATGGTGAGCATGGTTCAGCTATATAACAGTCTGTGGTGAGGCCAATGAAATCTAACATAATCTGCTATCTGTCATTACTTTCTAATTTATTTCAAAATATAAAATCTCCTTAAACATATCTTTTAATGCCATGTTGAATAAGAGGATAAATGATATCAGAAAATTGATGTACACTTACCTGGTTGACAAACTGTATCACAGACAGCGGAACAAAGATAGCAGAATTTGCAGTACTGAAAAGAACCAAATTGAATATATCAATAAAAGGAAATTGTCTCTTATTTTGTCACTTATGAAATAATAATTGATCATTACTTCTGTTGCAGTTCAAATCAATCTAACATTCTATCATCTTTTTAAATATCAGTTTGGATCGAAACAGATTCTGGACAGATATCCAGTCGAACTTTGTTATTTTGAAGTTGACGGGACATTTGGAAAACTTGGAGTATTCAATTTATGTGAGATCAAATACTTATTGAAAAGTTTTGCAGGGGCAGGTAAAAAACATTAAATCATACGGGTCTTCCAATCATACAAGCTTACGATGACGAGGTTTGACTTTATATCAGAATAATTTGAACTACTTCTGTTGCAGGTAAGGTTTTGTCTCTGAACACAAGTCGTGAGAGTTACATCCGCTCTAATGAAGACTTTATTAAATGGCATGTCATGTCAATCTCTCGACTGAAGTGTTTATGTATAAAGGTTGAGCAGTTTGAACTTACCTTGCACATTTTACAGTTGGGTTTAGAAGGACTGGTTTCACACGGACAGTCGGAATCACAGAGCTTACAAAACTGAAAGAACAAGAAGAATATCACACATATATTAAAAACATACTAAATCAGTGAAAAGGAATGAAAATTTAACCAGAAAACTTAACAGAAAAAACAAAATTAAACTGGCTGACCTTTACTAATACGTCAGGTTTCATAAAAATAGCTTGATTTGAATGAAGAAATGAAGTATGTTTTGTTTAGAACAAATTTTAAAGAATGGTCTTCATTATACAGCGGTGGTCTTTCTAGACAGGTTCTTTCTCTGTAAACAAGACCTTGCAAGACAATAAATAGGTATTTTGGTTTAATTATAAGGTATTTTCTCAACAGAGGGTTTTTATACACAGGTACATATTTCTCAATTGAGGTGGATTTTATACATAATTTCTCAAGGAATATTTTTCATCCATGAAGGTGGTTTTTATACACAGGTAGAAGTTAACATCTATAGAAAGAAACTGACATAGGCTATAATCCAATAGCTTACCAGTATAAAATGAAATGTTTTTAAATGTACGTTAGATAAATACAAAAGACACCATTGTACGATGCCTTAATCCTCACAAGTTATTTTTAGTACCGAGTAGAACACATTGCCTTATAATAACTTCTTTCACAAACTTTTTCTATAAGTGTCAGTTTTATACACACTAAGTCAAGACCATAATGATATTAGCAAAACTAGGTCCTCAAAAGTCAGTCTGTACTCAGTAAGGAATTAAAGATCAGGCAAAACAAAAAACAAATATGTTTCCATCTGCCCTAGATATATTCAATTTTATTTGAATTATTTCAATATGCAAAGTTGAAAGAACTGTTAGCCATTATTTGGTTTGGCCTGATCTGGATTTATATTAAAATAATCTCCTTATCATTAGACGAAAACCAAATATCAGTACAGTATATGAACAAATGTTTGAAGATTACTGGTTCATTAATTTGTAGGTCAGATATGTATATTTCTCTTGTGATCAAACATTTCATATGAAATTTTAATTGTTGTACAATTTAATTCCAGTTCTATCAAGTTTCAAACAAGCCTTTCATTTTGAATAAGTTAACTACACAAATACAGCTCTATTAAGAGATCTCCTCCGTTAAGACAACACATATCCTGCACTGCAGAGGCCATTTTGACCTGGGTCTGCACTGCAGAGGCCATTTTGATCTGAGTCTGTACTGCAGAGGCCGTTTTGATCTGAGCCTGCACTGCAAAGGCCATTTTGACCGAAGTCTGCACTGCAGAGGCCATTTTGATCTGAGTCTGCACTGCAGAGGCCATTTTGATCTGAGTCTGTACTGCAGAGGCCGTTTTGATCTGAGCCTGCACTGCAAAGGCCATTTTGACCTAAGTCTGCACTGCAGAGGCCATTTTGACCTAAGTCTGCACTGCAGAGGCCATTTTGACCTGGGTCTGCATATCAGGGTTGTATGATCAAGATCACTTGTGGCTTCATTCCTTGAAGAACTTTCATCAAACTTTACAAACTTAGCCATCTTCTACATAGCACACAAGTCAAGGTGGAGTCATACCGATATTTATATCATTAATGATGCCTTGTTTGAATAAGCAAGCAGGTAATAATCATCAGCCATACTACTGCATTCCGGATCCATCACTCCCCATGGAGCTGAGACCCACCATTTATGCAAAATCAATCACACTTCCCCCAAGGATGCTTCACAAAATACCTTCATCCCAACTGAAAAAGAAGATAATTTAAAGTAATTCCTCTGTTTTCCCTATCGGTCCATGTCCTCTGCCCCCAGAGGAGCCAGACACATTATACACCACCCATACACTATACAAAATTAAGTCATCTTCACTAAAGGATGCTTCAGACCAAATTGGAATATTCAATCCAATAATTTGCACAGAAAAGAGGATTTGAAACGATTTACCATATTTCCCCTATTTGGGTACATCCCTCTGGTCCCATAGGGATAAGACCCACCATTATAAGTCTTGCCTATTAAGCTTTACTCCTATGGTATGGCCATTTTTAGGAGAAATGCAGAACATACAAAAACTTGCCCTTCCCCTTCTCTGAAAAATACACTTCCAAGTTTAAACTCAATAGTTATGTTATTGTCATGATGTTTCTTAAACTTTGCCCAAATTTAACATTTTGTTTTAAGTATATCACCATATCCAAAAAGGGAGGGGAAACCTTGTCTGATGTTTCACAGTACTTGATAATGCAGGATAGCTGATCTATTTGTTAACAGTGCGGGAATTCTCCCCCTAGAAATTCTGAAGGTTTTCAGTCACAATTCAAAAAGACAATCAATGTATTGAACACTTTTGACCTGCAATGCTGGAAGGAGAGGTTTTTAGTCCAGACATATATAAATTATATATAACGAATGATAAAAAAAGTTTTAACAAATATTGGTAACCATCAGTTTGTTCTCAGGGCTCTCACACCCCATTTTGGGACTGGGGACCGAGGCCCTTAGAATTGGGGAAAATAGTGGCGTTTTCCTTAGAATTGGGAAAACTTGGGGTCTAAATTGGGAAAAAAAAGATACTATTTTGCATTGGGAATTCGACCCCAAATCTGGCTGCTCGAGAGCCCTGGTTCTACACAGTGTATATGGAAAAGATGCAGAAATCCAATGTAACATTGATTTGTCATTAGTAATGGAATTTATTCACCATTGCTCAATCATTCTTATGTAATTAACGCTTGGAAACATATGGATTCTCCTTGGCATATTGACATGTTGTGTCTGGAGCAGCCATCTACATGTCAGGACTAAATGATACACGAGGATAAGGTTAAATGACCAGAAAAGAATTGTAACTTAATTGATGGGAATTAACTGATTGTTGTAAGAAATCTCTAGCAAAAATTATTTCAATCTATGTAAACTTTATAAGTAGGAGTATGCTTTTCTCATTTGTTTGAATTTTAGCATATCAACAAACATTCTTTAAAAATAATTTATGAGTAACAATTATATTAATAATGTTGATATGTTAGGTGAGTTTTTTCATATTAATCAGATGGCGTTCTGTTTGTGAAATATAGATCTTTCTCTGAAGCTAGTATCCAAGGAAAAAAGCAGGAATCCTATGTAAAAAAAGTCCAATTTATTTGGTCTTTTCACTGAAAGAGACTTTGAGATGTACATATGGCTCCCCGAGATAGATGCCATGTTCTTCTCTTCTTATTTGGAACAGGTTCAGAGCATCATTACTAAAGATGATTATGCTCTGATGCATAACCTGTTCTTCTCTCCCTTTCCGAGCCCATTTACAATTATAAGTATGTGTGATTGTATAAACTCAATCCTACACTTTATAAATACAATATGTAACCGCATGTGTTTTATCATTCATTGTCAGTCTCAACTTTGATGAGGTAGATACAGAGAAATAGTAACCAAAGCCAAAATGAATTTGATTAAACAATACAATATTTTACAATGGTGAGTATAAAGCAGATTTAAGTGACCAGGAATTCTTTTTTTTCACACGTTTATTACTCTAGGTCATTTTCTATTTTATACGATGTTTCACTATTACATATTGTTTATCAACACAATCCACAATTAATTGTGACCAGTGGAACAAACCTGAACAACCCAGGTCACATGTTTAGGTTCACGTTAAGTGTTTTAAGGGGTTATCTTACATCACTTCCGTTTTATGATAGCCTGAGGACTAAATTTGATGAAAAAGTAATTAATGTGTGGGTGATCATTATTGTGTCTTAACTTTTGTCAATACAAAACATAACAGTTTCTACTCATCTTGATACTAGACCAAAAAAATAAAAATTGTGTTGTACAATTTGCACCAACTCCATATCTTACACTTGTTGCAGTGGCCAAAAATAACTCAGATGAAATGAAACCCATAAAACAGTGAGATTTCTGATTTCAAACTGTAATTGTTTTGTATTCTTATGTAATCCGAGCACAGGGGAAAATATATCAATCAGTCAAGACTTGTCCATTTGTCTTCAGTGTTATTTCACCTGTGTAATGTATTTGAATTATGACATTGTCACCATACATATACAATACGACACATGCATCTGCAGGACAAAAATCAAAGCTAGCCAGGGGGTGAAAATAAATCAATGAGCAAATATTTCAGCTGAAAGTTATCTGTAAGTCTCAATACTTATAAACAGCTTTATATCCAACCTTACACCTGCAGATAGAATATGATTTACGACATCATATAACACAGTCCTGGCTACTATATTTCATACATGTAGTTGAAAAGACACAGCCTTGAGTTACACATGTATAAAATTCCTGCCTGGACCTGATCAGGTTAGAGAGTGCTAGTCTATCTATATATATATGCAGTCAGTGTAAATGAAAGAAAATCCTTTTGCAGGTCTAATATATGATTTTAGAAAAGGAAAATCAGGAAATATTATCAACTAAACACCTACAGGTAAAGCTGATAATTCTAATAAAATTCTATATAAAACAATGACTGTCTGTAAATGTATAAACCTACATACGATCAGACATACTGACTACGTAAAAGAACTAGTATACCAGTAAGCTATGAACTGACAGGGCTCTCACACTCCATTTTGGGACTGGGGCCCGGGGCCCTTAGAATCGGGAAAAATAATGGTGTTTTCGTTAGAATTGGGAAAACTTCGGGTCTAAATTGGAAAAAAAAAACTATTTTGGATTGGGAATGGGGCCGATCTGGCAGATCGAGAGCCCTGACTGATTTCACCTATCCGATGAGTATGTGAAGCTCATCCAGATGCTGGGTCCTGGACTTTCACCAGTGGCCATATTTTATGTAATTGTATATGTATATTATTAATTGCCTAAAATAAAGTCATATCTTCAGACTGATACATGTATGTACATCACTGATCACAACATTGTAATGGAGGAATTAAGTCATCTAGGAGGACATGTTCTGAACAATACTGTTCTGTTGTAAATAAGACTATGATATGTATGGTCTTGATTTTACATACCAGGTAATATCTGTACATATAAGTGGCTACAAGTTTGAAGGCTTATGACAAATTTCACTTGAAATATACAATCAACATGGCACTTTTTAATGTCTATGGATAGAGAAAATTTCATTTTAATTGGAAATGCACTTATTTTATAAGTAAATGAGTCTGTTTCAGTGAAAGCAAGATGAAGATTTGAAAATATTAACAAGAATGTCCATTTTGATACTAGCTTTTATCTTCTTTCTCTTTTGTCCCGCCAAATTTGAGTTAACAGGTTCAACTGTACTATAAACCTGCAGGGAAAGAGTATCTGATACATAAACCAGAGGTGTCAAAACTTTGACTGTTACAAAAGTATACGTTCAGGACGTGATTATATCACAAAATGTTATCACATCTTAAACACATTATCGTAATCATCCTGCCAATCTTATGTAATAGGAGGAGTAATAAAAAACATTCTGCTCCTGTCAGGGTTTGAACTAGTGACCCTTCAGTCTCTAGCCAGACTCCTCACCACTATAGGGAAATTCCCACTAGCCAAGGCTAGTAAAGTGACCTGTACTCTCAACTTCTACATTATTACCTCCTTAACTAATTCTTTGACATCAAAGACAACAGCAACCTGGTTTCAATATCTCTGAGAAAGCCTCTGAATCTCTTATAGCTCTTATCCAAAAAGTAGTTGACAATACGAAATCTGTAATAGGAAGGAGTAATGAAATATGCCTTGCCTCCAACAGGGTTCAAACTAGCAACCCTTTGGTCTCCAGCCTAACACTCTACCACTCTACTAATGAAAAAGGGAAATTCTCACCAGCCAAGGCTAGTAAAGCAACTTGTACTTCAATTAACATAATTGGCACCATATATGGTAGGTTATTTAGACAACCAATTCATAACTACCAGCAACTGTGATCAATCCAGATTCTGGAATCAAATATGAACAATGTGCATTAATTGTAAATAATGTAAAAAGGAACAGGTCAGGTAGGACACATAAGTAGTAATTTATGTTTGTATCCTAAGAGTGAAGGCTAGATATAATACAGAGCCGAAGTTGCTTACTCGAGTCATAAATTGTGGTCCATTATTACGAGGATATTTCGCATTATTATAGATATTGAAATTTAACCAAATATATATCTATGTACACTAAAACAGTCGGCCTAAAACAGTCACACCCGAAACCAGTTGTATGCAAGATCCACCACAGGCACCTATATGTGGCATGTAAAACACACAAGCAAAAATCCAGACCACTATGCATCAAACAAATTTTTTGTATGATGCTACTGCGGACTGGAATTTGCTAGTTTTGTTTACGCTCCAGATACATGTTCCTGTGTATTAATATACATGACGATTTGTGGGTGTCGCTTTCTGTCGGCATGGCCCTACTTTACCTGGCAGTATTCACAATAACTGCACACCGATCCTTTTGCATATTCAAGTTCCTCTGGCTCGAGTACTTTTTCTTTCTGTTCCTCGTCGGCTGCATTGACGAAGATCACCAGAATAAACACAGACAACACCGATATCATGTATACGGCCCTCATTTTGCCGGTGTGGATATAAAATAAACCAATGCGGGTCGACCACGAGTGACTTCCGGGTAGCATTAAGACAGGAACGGAACCGTAATTTAAATTCCGGATCATGCCATAGATTTTTCATGTCGCAAGGTGTTATTTTGAATATGAAAGGAAAATAAGAAATGTTCGATTTTTGATATAGAAATAATTTACAATGCATGCTAAATATCTTTGTCACGGTTACTCTTCATCACAACAACCAGTGATAGATATTTTTAACAGGACAACCAAATCAGGCGACGAACAGAGACGTACACCATAATCTTCTTCTTCCTGTCAAGCCGTCATCAGATTGAAAATTATTTGTCATGCGATGGAACTTTGAACACACAGGAAAGATATGATACAGTAAGGGCAGCTTTGAAATCTTCCACCGTATCCGCTGCAGTTTGGTTCATATTCTAACGATTCTCGCATGAAGCATGGAATAATTAAAAAAATAAATAAATAACACGTGATCTCCCTTCCCGAAATACATAAATTTTGGAACATTATTTTTCCCTCCAAATATTGAAAACATTCTGTTTTTGTATTTGTGTACAACGGGGAAAATTTCTTATATTTCCAGATTATCACACCCTGTAACACGCTTCCTACACACACACTACGCCCCAAATTTTATACATTTTTACTCTTATTGAGGAACAATGTATGTATTCTTTTATGATTTTTCTTTGAGATAACCCGTATTACAGAATAAAATGACACTTTCAGCATGTGTTGACATTTTACATGAATTATGTATAATCGTTACAAAAACTGGATTTAATCACTTGTCATTGGCTGATCACATATTATCAAAGGACATTCACTTATCTTGTTGTTGCTTTTCAATGATGATAATAACTTTAATAGAAAATGAAATTGTAATGAGTAAATCTGCAGGTATTTATGTTTCAATCACTCGCAAATAAAAAAAAAAACCTTTCTAGTCTTTGTTTGTTACTTTTAATAATACGTAGTTTCTGATCAAACGTAGACCGGAAATATCGGGTAAAATCCAATTTCCATATTTTTTTGTCATTTAAAAATGTTGTAAAATTTGAACATAGTGGCGTTTTATAAGTCTTAGTATATGAGACAAAGTCTCTCCCACGTCTTCCCTTAAGTGTATTTCTCATATTGGTTTTATTAATTCGTGTATGTGGGTGTAGAGTCATTAGCATACGTTGTGTTGTTTCACTTAAAGATCAATGCAACAAACGAACTAACCTATCGAGAGACGTTTATGTTTAAGATAACCAATTACGTAGAAATATTTTCGCAAAAAATCATTTAGTGAGATTTTGAAACTTATGAGTTCTGGTGTAGCGGATCTGTTTTATGTACGTTTAATATACGTTACCTATCCTGTGATATACATTGATATCATATAAAAATAATTGAATAAAATTAGTTAACCGGAGGTGAAGACCGAAATTAGATACCAAAGCTACACTTGAAGGGTCAAAGTCAGGGACACTGAACAAAAGAAGAAGTTGAGAGCTATCTTTCAGAAACACATGGAGATGAACAGCAGTGGAGACCATTAGGGCCATGTGGGAGGATAGAACCAGTACCAGAAACAGGTGTACGAACGTAAAGGAACCATCATTGAAGGAAATCAGAGAGATTGTCAAGAAAGCTAGATCTGGATTAGCACCTGGGCCCAACGGTATCCTATATAGGGTCTACAAGAATTGTCCGAAGGTCCTGTGACATCTCTGGAAGCTACTCAAGATTATATGGCAGAAAGGGAAGATTCCATCTTGTTGGCAGAAGGCCGAGGGCTGATTTGTTCCAAAGGAGGAGAACTCAGAGGGCATAAAGCAGTTTCGCATTATCTCGCTGCTGAATGTGGAAGGAAAAATATTTTTCTCAGTTCTTGCAAGGAGGCTGACAACATAAATGACAAAGAACCAGCATGTAGATACATCAGTGCAGAAAGGAGGAATACCCGGATTCTCAGGATGCGTGGAACATACTAGCATTGTAACCCAACTTATCCGGGAAGCCCAGGTCAACAAGAAGGATCTCACAGTAGTATGGCTGGATCTCGCAAACGCATATGGAACCATTCCCCACATGCTTATCCAGGAGGCTTTGGAACGCTATCATGTACCAGAACATTTCCGTAGAATGAGGAAAAGCTACTTCTGTGGGATACATATTCGCTTTACAACCAAGACCTTCATAACATCATTGCAGGGATTACAGAAGGGCAACGAGGTGGGATGCACCATCTCAGTAATCCTCTTCATAATGGGTATGAACATGATCATCAAAGCAGGAGAAAGAGAGACAAGAGGTCCAAAGACATCCGGACACATTAGACAACCACCGAACAGAGGCTTTATGGATGATCTGACGATCACTACAGACAATTATATTCAGGCAAGATGGATACTCTTAGCCCTAGAGAAAACAGTATCTTGGGTAAGAATGACCTTCAAACCTAGAAAATCAAGGTCAATGGTCATAAAGAAGGGCAGAGTAACGCAGCAGTTCCAACTGAAGGTGGAGATAAGGCCAACATCCAAAGGATAGAACAGCAGGTCATAGAAAGCTTGGATGTATCAGTATGGCCTCCTTCCACGCTTAGCTTGGCCCTTGATGCTTCATGAGATTACGACTTCAACAGTGGAGAAAACCGAGTGTATTATCAACAGACACCTCCGAAGTGGCTGGGGGTTCCTCCAAGCTTTACTGCATTAGACCTATACAACAGGACAGCAAAACTCCAACTCCTCATCTCTTCACTGGTGGAAGAATTCAAGACAGGCAAGGCAAGACTCATCATGACCTTGAAGGACTCCAGGGATGATAAGGTGCGATTAGCCGGCGTGGATATACGAACTGGCAGGAAATGGTCAACATCAAGAGCAGTTGACGAGGCTGAAAGTAGGCTAATACACAAAGACATTGTTGGAACAATAGCAGTAAGAAGACATGGTTTAGGAACAACTAAGTGCACCTTCTGAAAAAAAAGGCTGATGCGGAAGAAAGGCGTAGGATAGTCCAGAAGGAAATTAGAAATGGTGAGTAAGAATAAAGGCAGGCCAAAGCAGTTGCATATGGAGAACAAGGAGCGTGGACGGACTGTGTATAACGTGCTACCAACGCCAGCAAATCTCCACCGATGGGACCTTGCAGTAACACCCGATTGCCGCCTTTGTGGACAGAGAGGAACATTACAGCACGTTCTGACCTCTTGTCAGGTGGCCTTATCACAGGAAAGATATACATGGCGCCACAACCAAGTCTTAAGGGAGTTGGCAGATATTATGGAAAGGGAAAGAAAGAATGCCAACCAACCAAGGTCCAGACATACACAGATTAGGTTTGTGAAGGAAGGTGGGACACCAACATCCGCATTACCACAGAGAACTTCCGGAATTCTCTGTCAGGCAGGAGACTGAAAGCTGGCGGTAGACCTTAATCAGAGATTAACGTTTCCGGACATTGTACCAACTAACCTTCGGCCGGATATGGTTCTTTGGTCGTCAACGACAAGAATGGTCATTGTCGTAGAGTTGACAGTTCCATCGGAAGAAAGGTGCAGCGAAGCACACGAACGGAAGAGAGGAAAGTACGAATCATTGCTGATGGAGTGCAGGGAGAAAGGGTGGCAGACTTGGAGGTACCCGGTCGAGGTGGGATGCAAGGGATTCCCCGCAGAGTGTTTGTGGAGAATGCTAGCTGCATTGGAAGTGTCGGGTAGGACCAAGAGATCAGCGGTGCAGAGGATGGCCATAGTAGCAGAGAGATCTTCATGCTGGGTGTGGATGAAGAAAGACTCAAGTAGCTGGAGACCCACCACCGACGCGCAGTGACTGATCATCACTGTGGACCAACCATCCTGAGAGTGTACCGAACTTGGGGTCGAAACTCGCAATGAGGGATTGCCTAGGGTGAGGACTTCGGCGGTGAAGCAGTAGAAACATCTTAGTTGTATTAAGGTAACCACAATTTACATAATGCAATGCCTGATATGACTTCACTGTCTGATTTCACTGGTATTCTTAAATTAGCGTATTTTGAAAGGAATTGATTTGAAATACCGCGATTAAGATTTGTCCTGTTGTATATAGAATACAAAAGCAGGTGTCAACACGTCTTCGAAACGAAGTCAAGTGTGATTTTCCTGGCAGGCCTGGGTTGTCACATGAACAAAGCTCCCGGGAATAGTACTCATTTTATCCTTATATTTCTATTCTTAATCACAGTTAAGAATTCGGACAGGCTAAGTCCCTTACGGTCCGCTGAGTTTTGGTACACTCTTTCGGTTTCTTGTTAAAGCATGTTAGCAATGTCTTTAATCTATGGTATTTGTCAATTTATTTGTGGATGGTGTTAATCTATATGCATGGTCCCATTAGGCTCTTTTAATTCGCTTGTGGAATTTTTAATTAGTTTGCGTAAAATGCATCCTGTCGATATGTGGACAGTGAGTTTTAATGTCAGGGTGATATCATTCACATTGGTCACCTCGAGAAATTGGTAACAATGACAACATTGTTTTTACTAGCACACATGGATTTCTCAAACGGTGGAAGAAAGTCAGTTTAGATCCAATTTAGAACAAACTTCTATAATGGTTTAAAACCGTTACTTAAGGATGGTATGTTGGGGGTCTTCTGTTTTTGTGATTTTGTATACATGTATGTATAAAAGTTTGGGGATTTCTTTTCCTCTCGGTTGGTCGTCGTCTGAGATGTTCAGGATCATATGTTTTATGCATGACCTGTAGGCATTTCGTGTCCTTTTTGTTTATCTGATTCCAATGCCCTTAGTGTATATCTTTTTTATGTTTTTGCCCTGCTTTGATTTACAATATATATATATACGTATATTTGTTGAATTTCCTCAATAGATTGCCTTCAATAATCCAAGGCGACTTTTTTTTATGTTGTTGCAAAATGAGTTTCCTTGGGATGTTGACCTCGATTCAACTTAAGACGCCGGTTTGAAAGATTTGCTACTGT